ATGAAATCCTCCAAGTTTGACAACTGTTTTAGACAAGTCTGAGTTTGCATCTGACGCAGCAACCATTTCACGTGCTTTTGAGTACAGGGGCTGATCAAATGTAATTATGCACGTTTTTTGTTGATGTGACTTGGCAATATTTATAGCACTATGTAAAGTTGTATAAATTGTGTCTAAATTACTGGCAGGATGATCAATGAAAGGTAGAAATATAACCTGAGAAGTTGAAAAATTTTGATTATTTTTCGTAAGTTGTTGAAGATAGCCATTCCACCCTGGCAACGGTGAAAGATTCTTCCATTTTCCGTATAACCACAACAAATCAACTGCATTAAATTTTTTTTCAATCAGTACTTGATCATCATGTAGATTTTGGACTTGAATCTTGCAGTACCCAGGTACAACTGGCTTTTCATATGCTAAAAGAGATACATGTGATATTGCTGCTAACTCTTTTGCACTCGGTTTAGTTGTACATTTTTTTATGCGATCATCATAAATTACAGCATCTTTCGGAGTAATTATTTTTATCATTCCCATAACGTGAAGAGTATTATTACCGTCAAGAGTACTGACATTAATATCTGCATTGTCTCCAACATATTGTACCAACGCACCAGACTCTGATGGTAAAATACGAGGTTGTGGATGGTAAACTGATGAAACTTCATACTGTATGGTATTACTATATGATGCAGCAAATCCTAAAGATGATAAAACATCTAACAATTTTTTAGACCCATATCTTCTGTGAAGAAATACGGAAAGGCCCAACAGTAGCTGTGATGAAAATGAACGTTCTCGTATCGAAGCCATTATTGCGTGGCTAATAGATGTGCATTTCGTTTTTAAATGATCTACTTGTCCTTTTCTATTTTTTAATATCATTTCTTCCAAAAAATGTGATAATGTTTTTGGTATTTCTTCATTAATACAATCTAGCATTTTATTCGGAGGTGGATACGTTTTTGTTTCAACTACAGATGATCTGATGTCTTCCCTAATAATAGCCGCAGCAGCTTCTACAATCCGTAGACGTTATTCTACAGGAGTACTTTTTTTATTTTCGTACCAAGCTTTTGATAATACGTTAAGCTGTGTATCACGGAAAGATATAATTGTAAATGATCCAATTTTTTTTGTGATTATTATATCAGTTAAATACTTTTGTTGTAATTTTGTAATAATTGTCTTATCGTCAGGTATGTATTCCGTAGGGGCATCTTTAAGTTCTTTCAAAGTAAATTGAGAATCTTCATTATTTTCTATATAATAAAAAATCTCCTTCATTGCTTGAGTGACTTGATCATCTTGGCGAGGCTTTTTATCTGCAGATGGTACTCGGGTTAAAAAGTTGGTATAGCAAATAGTATGATACTTTGCTTCAGCAGCGATCAAATCATACTCGTAATATATACGTTCCTTTACTAATTCTCCTAAGGAATCGTTTCGTTCTTCTGCTCTCTTAATTACGTTGTCTTTGAATGCAAGAGTACTTACATTACTTATTGTCCGTCTATACTTTAATTTTTTTTTCTTTTCTGCTATTTCATCAGCTTCTTGGCCACAAAATAAGCATAACTTTCCAAAATCAAAGACTTCATTTCGTTTTTTACGAGGTGCACTTGACGTTGAAGGTTCACTCTCATCTGTGCGTCGTTTTGATGCAATAATAACATTTTTACTCGTGTACACTTTTCGACACTCGGAATGCACATTTACAGAACTTAAAGTATTTAAATAGTCTATATGTCCATCATTTCTTTCAATACTTGCAGTTTTTAAAGTTTGTAAACCACGTACGACATTCACAGAAACACCTTCTGAAAGTTTCTTATCACATATAAAACACAAATCAGCCATAGCTCTTAAAACCGTACGTCCGTAGTTGCAACGGTACAATTTCAAACTAACGAATAATCTTGACTCATACAAAGTGGAGAGAGTGGCCTTGAATACTATAGAACATCTGTCCCGGCAATGAATAGAAAAGGGCATAGGGTAGGGACAAGTATTTCCAGGTATATAAGTATTGAGAAATTTACGCGTTTTAAAGAAAAGATATATAATGTCGTGTTAACTTAAAATAAAACTAAAATATATAATCCAGAATTAATAATATTTTATACTTAAATAGTTAAATATGAATAATTATATATAAATAATCAAGTTACTTACTTTAATTAAATATAAATAATTAATAGTTAAGGCATTGTTTAATAATTATAATTTCCAAGTAAATAATTGACTTTATAACGTACTGATAACCATAACTCACGCTTGACCTTGCATTAGGCCGTATATGACTGTACGATGTGCACTTCGCGCTCTACCTTCAAAACGGTTGGTCGTATGAAAAAAAAGTTTAAACAAAAGTTGTAGGGAATTTTATAGCCTACAACTTTTATAATAAATGCAAATCTCATTCAACCGATAGGAAGCCAGATATTCGCGAAAAACCGATTTTTGTGACCTTTGACCTTGAATATCTTAAGACGCGGACACGATAACGATTGTGACTTTTGAGACAACATTTAGAATGACAAAACAAAGGTTCATACCAATTTGCAGATTATTATCTTTCATTCCGAGGTTGACCCCTTTTTTTACCTAATATGACTGGGCTATAAGTTATTTCCGTATTAACGATTCATCTCGAATGACAGTCTTCATATTATACGACTATTTTATAAAATAGCATATGGATATTTCTTATTTTGTGAATAAACAAATCAGAAAAAATACACAATTAATGAATAATCTATTAGACTCTTTTATCAGATAAAAGAAATAACAAGAAAAGTTCTTTATTATCAATACATCTTTTATTGTTGTTAAAAATAAGCACTTATTATAAATTATTCATCATTATGTGAAAAATATAGCAAAAATCAGCTCGTTTTGAATAGAGTTTAAAATGCTGTACACCAATGCACTTAAACTAGCCAAAGAACAATCATTAAATAACGATAGATCTATTAGTAAACTAAACATTTAAGATTTTAACTTTATAATAAATAACTATGACGAATAACATTACTGAATTAATCAAATAATTAAATTTTTATGAACTTTTCTCTTCATTTTTTGACCTAAGCATATATTTGAGTATAAAATATTATATTTTTAATAATCATGCAGCAAAATAATCTAAGAAATTAAATTTTTAATATATTTTTGGTAAGATATATTAATAAAATTTCTTGAAAATTGAAGAACTCCGCTTTAACAATACTACCATGACAAATATAAAAATTTTTTTTGAATAAAATTTAACATTAAATAGTATGTTTTTGGTAACATAATAAAAATCATTTTGACATCGTAATAACAAAACATAAAATTGCAATAAAATTACTTATTCGTCTACTGAATTTTCTCGTAAATAAAGTACTCCATGTGGCACAACTTGTCTTAAATGTTCACTACACAACTTGCACACAATGTTTGGAACCCACGGCTTGTTCAGAGCCTTCATCTCTATTTTAAAGTAATCAATATATGTCTTCTTCACTGAATCTGTTATAGGTTTTCTAAACTTTTTCACTACATATTCACCACAAATGTAACAAAATGAATTTGGATTATTTACGCAACACCTTCTTGACGACGGCATATCAATATTATTAATTTAAAAAAAAAATATTGATTATAATGGCATTAATTATGATAAAATACGTTTTTTAGGTTATTATATCGATCGATACAAACCTGAACATAGCTTCACAATTTTGACAGCTTCACACGACATCTTTTGGGCTAATTAACGAAATTATAACCTAGAATTAGCGGCACCAAAAAAATATTTTTTTTTGGGGACCTGTGTTATCAATGTTAATAATAAAACTTTTACAATCGACTCCTATTTCTTTTAATAAATTCCTTATCCAACACCCCTCTGCAATTCCTTTTGCTAACGCTATATACTCTGATTCTGTACTTGATAAAGATACACACAGTTGTTTGTTGGAGGACCAAGACACTGTATTACCAAAAACTTTCATGACATACCCTGACGTAGATTTCCTATCACCTTGATCCCCTGCCCAATCAGCATCTGTATACCCTTCTAACTGCACATTTACTCCATTTCTATAAACTAATTTTAATCCAACTGTTCCCTTGATATACCTTAATACTCTCTTTAATGCTTTCCACAAACTCTCACTACCACAACTTTGAAAACGACTTAAGTAGCTCAATGCATAACATAAATCAGGACGTGTTCCTAACATGGCATACATGAGACTTCCTATTAACTGTCTGCATCTGTTAATTAATTCTTTATCTGAAGATTCTTCTTTATGTAACAATAAACCTTGTTCTATAGGTGTTGACACAGATTTGCATTCTTCCATCTTATAATTCTTTAACAAATCTTTTAAATACTGCTCTTGGTCTAATTCAATGACATCTTTCTTCCTAGTGATATTTATTCCCAGATATTTTAGATGATCACCCCCTAAATCTTTCATTTCAAATTTTCTCTGCAAAGCTTCTTTTAATTTGTTTATCTCTTGCTTATCTTCACAAATTAAAATCAAATCACAACATAATAGAACATAAAACTTTTTATCCTTTTTATAATATAGACAATAGTCACATTTATTTCTTTCAAACCCTTCCTTAATCATAAATTGATTAAACTTCTCATTCCAATATCGTGGAGATTTCTTCAGACCATATAGAGAGAGCTGTAATTTTAAAATTTTACCATCTTCTTCTCTCTTTTCTTCTTTTCTCCTCTATGTTTCCATATAAGAATGCACTCTTGACATCCATCTGTTGAATATCCAAGTTGTATTTACTAGCTATTGCTAATACTATACGCAGTGTAGGTAGTTTAGACACTGGGAATAGATTTCTGAATGATCAAATTTATCTTCTTGCTTAAAGCCCCTTGCAACTAGTCTTGCTTTATAAATATTTTTGTTACCTTCTTTCTTAATCTTGAAAACCCACTTGGTGTCTATTAACTTCTTCCCGACTGGTAAACTAACCTCTTTCCATGTTTCATTTTTACACAATGCTTCTAGTTCTGCTTGTATTACTTTTAGCCATTCTTCTTTATATTTTCCGTTAACTGCCTCTTCATAAGTCAATTGTTCTTCTCCTTGTGCTGTCATTGCTAAATCATAATCTTTAGTCCATGCTGGCTTTTTCACTTGTCTCTTACTTCTAGAATTCTTCTTTTCTTCATTTTTAGGAATATCTTCTTCTGCATCTAAAAATTCTTCATCTAAGTACTCTTCCATCATGTGTACTTCACTTGATGCTACATCTTCTGCAATGCTTCTTGCCTCTTTTTGCTGCTGGACGTCTCTTGTGTTCTCCTATTTCAATCTCGTCATCTTCTTCCTGATTTTGATCCTCTTCTTGTTCTTCTTTAATATCTCTCGATTCTACATTCTCTATTACCTCTTCATTCTCCGTTTCGTCTTTCTCTAATGCATTGTCCGAGTTACTCTTAACTTTTACAAATACAATATCCCTATGAGTTTCTACTCTTCTTGTGTCTGGATATCATACCCTGTACCCTTTGGTATGTAAACAATAGCTCACAAAAATTCCTAATTTTCCCTTGGGGTCCCACTTCAATCTGTGTTGTTTTGGTACATGTGTACATACAGTAGCACCAAAATCTCTTAACAGTGTAACATCTAAACTCTTGTTATACAACAACTCATATGGTGTTTTATCTCGAACTTTACTTTTACCTGTACGATCTATTGTAAATACTGCTGTAAACACAGCTTCAGCCCAAAGTTCTTTACCTAGATCTGACTGAATAATTAATGTTCTTGCCGATTCTACAATTGTACGCATTTCTCGTTCTATTCTGCCATTTTGTTCAGGTGTGTAACTTACTGTGGACTCATGTATTATACCTCTCTTTTTAAACAAATTCTCAACTGCTCTATTAACAAACTCTGTTCCATTATCTGAACGAAATCGCTTTATTTTACATGTAAACTCAGTTTCAAACATCTCTAGAAATTCTTCAATTTTCTCTTTAGTTTCATACTTACTCTTTATAAAGTAAACAAACCTAAAACTGCTATAATGATCTTTCAACAAAAGGAAATATGAAGAACCACATACAGATACTTCCTCCATTGGTCCGCACAAATCCATATGTTTCTCCATATCCATATGTTATCCATATCCATATGTTTCGCCTGGTTTAACTGACCTACTACTACTCTGACTAAATGGTAACCTATGCTGTTTTCCCTGGATACATGGTAAGCACTGATCAGTCTGCCCTTCATATTAATGCCCCTTAAATCTAAAAACTCTTTTACATACTTGTAATTCTGATGTGCAAACTTAATATGCCAATCTGTTAAAGTTAACAAAGCTACATTACTTAATTTAAATCTCATTACATACATTTTGTCAAACTTGTCAGCTACTGCTGTTACTGAATTATTTTTATAAAACTTACATCCATTAGAATCTGACACCATTGTGTGACCTTTATTAACAGCTGATGCTAGAGAGAATAAGTTTACTTTAAGGTTAGGTACATATAGAACGTCATCCAACGTACGGGAAACATAACTAGAACCATTAAAGGCCCATACAATAACCTTTCCTGTTCCCAAAACCTCTAACTTAGTACCATCTCCCATTGTCAGAAATCTCTTAGCTTTTAATTCACAAAACTCTGTAAAATACTTTTTAATAAAACATATGTGGTCACTAGCACCTGAATCTAAAAAGAAAATTTTTGAATCAAAAGAATAGTTACATTGAATTTCCCTAATAGAATGGCATAAAAAAAGATTCAGATTTTGAACTCTTACTTCTCTCTTAAGGCTTATTCTTTTCACTTGAATTATTTTTCTCTGACTTATTTTTCTCATTACTCTTATTCTTTGACAATTTACAATCTTTGATTAAATGACCTATTTTCTGACAATTAAAACACTTCCTGTACCTACATTAACTTATTTTATGGCCTACTTTGCCACACTCAAAACATTTAATAAGATGCCGCGTACCCACCTCTAATGCTGAGTCTTGAGGTGCCGTGCTGGCGCTGCTGCTGGGTATACTTCCACTACGCTCCTCCTCGACCAACAACCGCCCCATCAGCTCCTGCAAGCTCTGCTTCTCCTCCGGCATGCTCTCCCATGCAGATATAAAATGCTTATATTTCTCGGGTAAGGGCATGAGTATCTTCGTTATGGCCATCTTCTCCGATACTTTCTCACCTGCTGCTTGAAGCTGCGTCATGCAATCTTCCATGTTCGTCATAAATACAGCCATTGGTTCTTTGAAGGTCAAATTGAAAAACTTCTGTTGAAGTAGATGAACGCCCACCTTTGATGACGGTTCGTATATGGTCATCAGCTTCTTCCACATATCTGCACTACTGGTACAAAAAATCAAGTATCTCATCACTGTCTCTTCCACCCTGGTAACAATTACCTCCTGGGCTTTTATCTTTCTGTCATCCCATGATTCTTGTATTTTTTCCTCTTCTTTAGGCCTCACCTCTCTGCCCAAAAATCTCTAATAGTTTCTTCGAACGAAGAACAATCTGCGTCTGGAAACGCCACGCCTGCCAGTTGCGACCATTTAGAAGAATCGTCGTCTTATTATACTCTCAACTTAACATATTGCACGTTGCTTAATACACACACCTCACAATTATGAAGCAAGACGTAAACGCCGCCCTCGCTGCCAAGTTTCGTCGAACCACGTTGCCTCGTAGGACTCCAACCTTTGTTGCACCGCGACTTACACTTTTGCGGTACGATATTCGATTTTTTTCATATTTCACTTTTCACTCTTTACACTGATTATGTTGCTTGGTTGGCAATAGCTCAAAGACTAATAGTCTAATAACAATGAAATCTCGTATTTATACTAATTATGAGTCACTAAACACGTTACGATCCTAATGAGCCTAATCACCCCCCTCCAACCCTCTCATTCCGCGAACTTAAAAACGCACCCTCGTAGGTAGGTAGTAAATTGTAGAAAAAGTTCTAGAAAAAATTCTAGAAAATAATTAGGTATACCATTTGAACATTCAAAGAATGGTGATGTTTTTAGCAGTAATATAGATGTTCTTGATTTTTATTCGGCTTAAAAATCCTGGAGTGGCAGCTATCTACACACCCTATCACTCCAGGAATGCCATACTTGTTGTAGAAACTAGAAGATAAAAAATATATATCCAAAAAATAAAATAAGAATACAGTATTTGATATAATATAACTGTATACCAGTACTATGAAACACATCATATTTACTGCATTTTCAAAAAATAGAAGAACTTATACCTACTTGCTGAAAATCGAAGTGCAGCAGATACTCGTTGGCTAAATACCTGTGCAGCTAACTTAACCTTCATTTTTTTTAATTTATCCTTATTTACATGATTTTCGGTTAACTTATTTACTAGACGAATTTCATCATCACCAACGTCAATGGCCAGTAGCATTTTTAGGTGTTCCCACTTTGCCCACTTTTCTTGTCCATTTTCAATAAATTTTGCATCTTTATTTAATAAATTATTTCTAATTCCTTTGAGCAAATGGGGTGTATCAAACAATGGGAACACTTTCATGCTATTTACCTCAAAGTGCATTTGTAGGTTTCGTTCAATGTCATATTTTTTTCTCGTTTCTTCTCTTAATTCTTTTATAACTGCAACATTTGTGGGACATTGGTCACAAATTGTAGTTACTACTTTGAGTTTACTTTAATTCTTTTATTACAATTAATAATAGGGCCTTCAAGTCACTTTTTTTAGTTCCACCTTTAGTAAAAGTAAAACAAATGGGTTGTTTTTTCATGCTTTTAATGCCCTTGATCATAAAACAAAGGGCACGATCTGCAATATCACCACTTTTTGTAATGCCATTATCTTGGAAACCTACAATTTCATTCAAAAATGCACTGTACACAAGACCTGGGGCTAAGGAAATTTCGTCAAATAGTAGATTTACTAAAAATTTTTCTTCTGGTAGGCGTTCTACATTTCTTTTTAAATTTTCTAGTATATTTTTATTGATACCTGGTCTAAGTACATGTACTTAGAATTTTCTGTAAACATCGCTTTGAGGGTAAAACAAACATTTTATTTAAAAGTTTATATGCTTTAGGACTTTGTTTTAATATAGTCAAGGCCATTATTTTCTCGTCAATGGTGTATCGTCTTCCTCTTGGTTTATTTTTTCACTTTAACTGTAATTTAATTAAAGTTTGTGCTGCATCAGGTAAGTTTTCAATTGTTATTAAAAATGATTTTGACATAGTCGTTTTGCAGCTGCAATTTTTTTGGTCTGAATTTTAGATTTTTGACTCAGTTTTTGTAACTTTTTCTTCAATTTATTAATAATATTTTGAGAACATTTCTGCTTCAAATAGCTTTTCTTAGGGCCTAAAAGAAAATTGTAAGGGGTAATCTCGGGATCTACTGAACCGATTTTAAAAATTCTTTCACCAATAGAAAGCCACATTATTGCTGAGTGTCAGTAGTCCGTTTTGCAAAGTGAATTGGAGAAAAAACGGTCGCATGAAAAAAAGGATTATTAACATTATGCCCAACGAAGTGGGCACGGGTCAGCTAGTGAAATATAACCAGAGAAGCTCCATTTACACGGTCGATTTTAGTCACCAGTCGCATGCGGCCGGTTGCCGCGCGGCCAAAGTCGGATGATACCCAACTTTGGGGCTTGCGGCTTTAGTCACTTGCAACTTAGCCGAATTGCCATTTAGATGGTCGATTTACGCCGCGCGGCAAAAATCGTGCGCCTTTAGTCACCCGTGTAAACCCCTCATTACGAGCTCCTGTCACTCATCATGGTCATCCTCCACAGCTAACCTCTACGCAAGATACTCGCTAACATAATTATTGTTCAAAGATATTCGCAAAAACAAAGATGGTCGAAAGCTCTCACCGAGATTTACTTGCTGAGTGCCAAAACGAATAAAGTTTTTGAATACGTCAAAGTTTACTATCGTTAACTTGTCGAAGTCGGAACTCGTACTGCCAAAATGCAATAATACGCTCGAAAACTTTTATCGAGTTTTAGTTCCACCACGTTTTCGCTAGGGGCACTGCACGTAAATGTATGGAAGAAAACGATTATTCATATCGTCGATCGTCGTACGAGAACTGTCAAAAACTCGTACTAGGGCTAAAGTTGTTTAAGGATTTACGAACATATTTAACATAGGCGGCAGTTGAGTAAAAATTAAGTGTAAGGCAAACTTTTTCAATGCAATAGGAAATTGCTTAAATGACCTTCTCTTTTTAAATGAATTTTGAAAAGTGTTCATTAAAACACACATTTCTTCATTAATATTTAACTGCATTTTTTCTTTTTCACTTATGTAGCGTTTTATTTTTCAATTCTTTCATTACTTCTAACAACTTTTTATTCTTTATCTTCAGTATTTTATTTTTTTTGTTTTAAACTTTTTATACATTTTAATCTTCTCGATGACACAAGCTTCAGCCGTTTAATTATTTTCTCATTTTACGTTTTCGGGGTGAATCTAATATGTCCAGCATTTCTTCATCTGTTTCTACATTTAAATCGATCTCAATCCCTTCCATTCCTGGGAAGTGTACGCGTGTAGGGGGGTTTTACTGGGATTTATAAATGAAAATTAAAAACTTTGATGACTGAACAGCACGCAGTCTCAAGATTTTGAGAAGAAAAAAAAATTTTTAAAATCACCGTCTGTGCTACACATATGACAATACATGACAGGACGCCTGACAGAAAAAAAGAGCTTATGTTGGTTTATGTTATGTTGCTTCAAATTAACTTGTCGTCGTCGTCGTCGTCTTAGCCCAAACATGTCCACTGCTGGACATAGGCCTCCCCCAAAGATTTCTACGACAACCGGTCTTGCGCCATCCGCATCCAGTGGACTCCAGCTATTTTGACCAAGTCATCGGTCCACCTTGTATGAGGCCTGCCCACGCTTCGCCTTCCGGTACGTGGCCGCCACTCCAGAACTTTGCGTCCCCAACGACCGTCCGTTCTACGAGCGATGTGCCCCGCCCACTACCACTTGAGCTTGGATATTCTAAGGGCTATGTCGGTGACCTTGGTCCTTCTGCGTATCTCCTCATTTCTAATTCGATCTCGCAGGGAAACCCCGAGCATAGCCCGTTCCATTGCTCTCTATGTGGCCTTGAGCTTTCTTATCAGGCCCATCGTGAGCGGCCACGTTTCTGTGCCGTATGTCATTACTGGCAACACACACTGGTCGAAGACTTTTGTCTTGAGACACTGCGCTATTCGGGACGAGAAGATGTTGCGTAGCTTCCCAAAGGCTGCCCATCCGAGTTGAATTCGTCGATTGACCTCTTTCTCGAAGTTGGACCTACCTAGCTGGACAGTTTGTCCCAGGTATACATACTCGTCTACAACTTCGAGCATAGAATCACCGATAGAAACTGGTGTGGTTGCAACATGGATATTTGACATAATTTTCGTCTCATCCATGTTTATTTTTAGACCAACTCGTTCGGAGACACTATTGAGGTCATTAAGCATTATACTGAGGTCCTCCATGGTCTCAGCCATAACCACTATATCGTCGGCAAACCGAAGGTGAGTGATATACTCGCCGTTAATGTTGATGCACAGTTCGTTCCATTTCAGGATCTTAAAGACATCTTCCAAAATTAACTAAAAATAGCTAAATAATGGTGCTTCAACATAAAGGATTCGGGTTTATCCAAAAAAATAGCTCAAAAATTAGCCTAAAATATTAAACAAAGACAGACGGACAGTTATTTCCATTCGATGAACAAAGAAATTCTGAACTGAGTGAGAACATATTTATATTTAGAGACAATCATCATTGGAACTTCTTTCACGGATAATCGAATATGACCTGTATTTTTCTTCGGGAAAATTTTATCTCCTTCTCTGAAGTGCTTCGAGCATATGACGGTTGCTGAAGATGGAAACCAGTCGGTTTCTTTCGCAAAAATCGTATAATTTTTGTCCACTCTTCCTAGTCAAAATATACGCTAGTCAAAATATTTCAAAAGATAAACTTTTAAAAAAAATATTTAATTAAATACTTTGTTAAATTTTTTACTTAGTCTATTAAGATAGACAAGACGAGCAGACGAGCAACATCGTTCACATCACCCCAGTTTTTAGCACTTACTAACTATTCTCGTATATGTCATCAATTTGAATATTATCAGCTTGATCATCGATTTCGATGTTATCTGATTGGTCCGCCGTCACGTCATCGTCACTACATCTTTTGAGAGTAAAGCTCCTTAATGTTCGGAAGAGTTGATGTTTATTGTGAATAACTACAGAGTTCAATTCGCGACTTATTTTATCATCGCATTGAGACAATATCGAGATTGCAAAACTCGTTGTAACCTCTTCGGGTAAATTAGCGTTAGGATTTTTTTCTATAAGTTGCCATAGACGCATGCCTGCTTCGGCTGGATTTTCCTTATTACCAAGGCGAAACTATATGACCTGATCAAAATAGTCTTGCATCATCATTGGTTTGGAGAAGTTAGAGATCAAAAGTTCCTTAATACTACGCCAGGAAATTTTATCTGGCTGTACTTTAGTGAGGTACGTAGCGACACGACCCTTGAGGGAGTAAGTGCAACAGTTTCAAGTTTTCAACACCTTCCAAGTTCTTTTTTTCAATAATCATTTCGCTTAAGGTACACCAGTTAGTTATGTCAGAATCTGTTTCGTCTGGATCAAAAGACACCAACTTGATGGGAGTAGATGGATTAACGGAACGTGGATTTATACTATCCGCTATTTTTTAAAGAATGGCTTCCATACCAGAAGAGAAAAGAGAAATTTGCTGTTCTGCGAAATTATTCTGATGAGGCTGATTATGAAGTGGGAGTGAATCCGATCCCACTTCTGATATAGGAAGTGAGTCAGACATGATTATTGAAAGATAGGTAGGTATATAGAATAATAATTAATTAATTTAGAAATTAATTATCCAGAGTCAAGGATAAGCGAACTACTCGTAGTACAACAAGTGCACCGTGTCACGCCAGAGCCAAGACTGCCTTGGCAGTAGGGATATTCGATATACATCGATGCATTGAAAACATCGGTACTAACAATGCGATACATCGAATCGATCCGATGTTTTAAAATGCTTTCGATATACTCGCTGTATCGTGTTTTTTCAGTTTTTAGTAGAAAAACATCGAATCGATTATAACCAATTAATTTCATAAAAACTGAAGTTCGACCACTAAAATTTTACCTAAAAAATTTTTTCCTATTTCTTTATTTAAAAAAGAAAAGTTTATTATTCAATAGTGGAATGACAATATAATGTCGTTGCGGCCAACGTGTACTAAAAAATTATGTTGGCAGCTCTGCGCACGAGTCAGTGACAAAAAAAAACTGTTCATGTCATGTCGGCCGGCGAGCTTCTATGTTTAAAAATAACGAATTGAATTATATTTGGTTTTGTGGACGAAATCAGATTGAAGTGGATTGTGTATAATTATATGTTTATATACCTACTCATTACAATAAAATCTCATCTTTTTATGAGCTCATATATTCAATCGGATTGAGCCAAGTAAGTAAGGTTATAATAAAGTTGTAGTTTATTTATCATCATGTCAACAAGAGTAACAGTAAAATCATTAATTTATTAAATAACAGAATAAACAGTCTTAGTAATTATTAGATGAGTAAATTACTTTACCAGTAACACACACATTATTTATTAATCTACATCATTACATTTAGCTAGAAAACTCATACGCCAAATTGTATACCTATCTTCATTAATAATCAATTGGTATATTAATTGATGAAATCAAGGAATCTATTCATCATCATATTAGTTTGGATCATTCTGTAATTAGGTATTAAATTTATTTGTGTGTTTTGATAGTGATGTGAGATTTTTGATTGACGAATTTATCGATTTTGCCTACTATAATAAATGAACTAATTTTTTTTCAGTCTGACATCACGTACGATGGCACTTTCCAAGAAGAGTTCTGTATGGAGGTTTTACGATAAAACTGAAGGAAACAATAACTCCGCAAAATGTAGGCTCTGTCAAAAATTAATAAAATCTTGTGGCAATACAACTAATTTAAGTGCCCATTTAAAAAATATAATATAGCTGCTTTTCAAGAGTTCAATAATGATTGTTCTAAAAAATTCGATATTCAGAGCAACACAATTAAGAAAAATATACAATTAGTCTTCAATAATTCTGATCCACTACCATCAACATCAACGAGCTCTGCTGGCATAATGGAAATGGAATCGACTAGTAATGCTGATAAAAAATGTGACTCTTCAAAACACGATGTATGTATTTCTATCCCCCAGCTCCAAAACGTCAGAGGTCTATTGTGTCAAGTTTTAAAGAAATTAACGCTTTTTCAGAGAGAGGTGATAAAACATTAAAAATTAACAATGCCTTAATATATATGATGTGTAAAGATAATCAACCATTTACAGTAGTTGAAAATGAAGGCTTTCGCAGTTTGATTAAAGTTCTTGCGCCACATTATAAACTTCCTAGTAAAACAACGTTGACTCAATGGGTTGATGATAAATACGCAGCATTATCAACAGTCTTTAAAGCTAAGTTGTCAAATATTGAGTACGTTACTCTTACTACTGACATGTGGTCTGAAACAATGAGCATGAGAAGTTTTTTAGGAATAACAGCACACTTCGGTGAAGGTAATGATCTTTTTTCAATCTTGGAGTGTACGAGTCAAACGAACGCCATACTTCAGAACACATATCTGAAATGCTGCTGAAAACTTGTGCTGAAAGGGGTATACAAAGTTTCAGCTGTAGTCACAGATAATGCAGCTAAAATGCTGAAAGCTTTTGGAAAAAAGCATATACCATGTTTCGCACATACGTTGAATTTGGTTGCACAAAATGCTATTCCACTTTGACAGGGGTTAATAAAATTTTTATATTTATCAAGTCTGGTAGAAAGATCCCCATTATAAGCCTGCTGGATTTAAAAATTCATAAAAATCAAAACCAGATCGCAATACTATTATAGTTTTCGGTTCATCATCAAAATTATACTTATATTCAATACTATCATAGTGCTTTGCATGTACCGTCACCGCTCTTAAGCGATTCCACTGGATTTTCTCATTGTCACTGTTTTTCGATCAATTTTTATTCGACAACAGAGACTTAAAAATCAAATATATCAGAGGTTGTGATTTCTTTTTCTATATAGAAGTTACTTTCAGGTTTAGCCCAGCGAACAAGACAGTACCATTCATCTGGAACATAGATTAACATGCGATCACTAACGCGCTCAATAGTCGAATGGACACTGTCACCCTCGTTTTGGATGTAACCCTTCTCCGAAGGTCCGTTCCAAGTATATATAATGAGAGGCTAGCGAGTAGCAACTGTCTCCATACTGAAGTTCTAGGTACTGTCCACATGCAGATCATTTAGTAGTAAAATTCAAAAATCTTCTCCTCATGATGAGGGAATTGAGGTGCAGTACATCTTCTTCCGTAAGGTCTTTACCTATAAATAAATATCCCTATTCCTCCTATAAACATTGTACCTCGCATCAACTCACTACTCAGGATTGAATCATTCAACCAGGTTTCCGTTAGTATAATAATATCGTAATCAATTATTGATACATTACAAAAAACTTCATGCGTTTTAGTTCTAAGACCGCGAACATTTTGATAAAATGTACTTAAAGATGAGCAAGATATGGGTCGGCGTATAAGCAATAACCTAAGCGTAAGGCCGTAATCCATGTCTTGAAGCCAAATCTAATAAATAGGCTTCCCTTTGATATGCTGTTAAGAGCCATGCCTACCATAATAATGTGTCATAGACTCGTCTACACTGATATCTTTTTCGATTAGGGCGTATTGTAAAAAAAAATATTTTTATTTATTAAATTTAGTAAATCAAAAAGAAGGCGAACTTTTGCCATTTTATCATTAGCGCTAAGGTTGGTATTATCAGCGACATGGAAATAACGAAAAATTTCTTCGAATCTGTTGCGTCGCATGGATTTCGCCACCAAGATACTGTGGGTGTCTTCGTTACATTCCCAATACATGCGACGTCGAGGCAGTGAAGCATAACCAGTTAATATCAACATTCCTATGAAAAAATAAATCTAACTAGTCTGAGAGAGTAAAACCTGGGTTTCCACTTTGTACTGCATAAATAACAGAGTGACGTACAATGTGCACAATTACTTTGTGGCTAAAAAATAATTCAATGAAATCGACTGCTTCTGATAAAGTAATTACGGATCTCGGTAATGGTGCGATCAACTCCTCAAAACGTTGGGTTATATCTCGTTTCACCCATTTTCTGGCTACCTAAGATGGAGACTGTGGAGAATTATCAATGGCTCGCAATGGTCGACTCCGCTTACGGCTTGACGAACACTGTAGCTGACTTGGCCGTACTCTGTCTTGGAACTTCACGTTGTATTAGTACTGCAAAGGCACGACCACACTCACCTGAACTGTTTTGCACGACAGAAGAATAAGACTCCAAGGTTCTTCTTCTTCGTCAGACTCGTTGTTGTATCTGGTACTTCCATATAATGTCGTGATAAGTTATCGAAACTTACATTTGTTTCGTCTCCCGAATCCGAATCTGATACAAGTCCGTCACCTGGAGGATCGATGTATATGTCAGCCCCAGTTACTTCATCGTTTGTAGTCAACCGCTTTCTCCACCTAAAAAATAAAATTAACTTTAGTACAAGTCACATCTATGTATTTGCCCGACGTATCGTTTTCGAAACACTAAAGTTATAACAACATTTTAGGTACTTATAAATTAGTGATTACTTATTATAAATGCACGAATAAGTTAATAAATTATTGAAATCTATACATATAATAAACTTGTAACTAAGCCGAATCTGTACATAAAATATTTTTTGGAAAATCTTATTGAAATATACATTATTATCGATACAGAGGCCGACTCTATAGTTTTTAGAATTTTTGTCTGTCTGTCTGTTACTGCATCACAGAAAACCACTGGACGGATATTGATGAAGTTTGGTATGGTGATATGGTGATCCGGGTTAACATATAGGATACTTTTTACCGCGGGAAAATATCTCATTTTTGAGAAAAAAATACAAGAACTGCAATGTACTATATGACTATCTGATATGTAAAACCTAAGATTTTGGTTTTTGGCCATTTGAACGCGGGCGGAGTCGCGGGCAATGCTAGTTTATAATAAAACTTTGATAAATACCAAACTTAATAATTCAATTAATACTTACATTTTTTATGAGATGGCATGATTTTGTGCACAACGTGAATCAAGACACAATTCGCACTATTTATTTGACAGTTAATTGTCAATGCTTGTGAAAATTTTTAGATTAAAAATAGAAATAATATCCTTGACTTGCGATAGATGGCATTTTTATGTTTTGTTTTCGAATTACTGGGGATATATATTTTAATACAGAAAGAAGACATTGTCATGAGTAATGCTATTTCGGCACATGAAAGACTATTGGTAACTTTAAGATTTCTTTCATCAGGGAGATTATATGAGTGTCTAAAATTTTCAGCTATAATATCGATGCAATAATAAAATATAATAAAGATGCAAAATAAAACTTTAAATATTCCAAACCCTGAAAATGTCAAAGGAAGATGTTTGCCGTACGTCTTTATTTGTGATGATGCGTTTCCTTTGCCATATCGCAAGGAGATATAAGCACCCACGAAAAAAAAATGTTTTAACTACAGATTATCTCGCGCGAGAAATGTCGTTGAAAACGCATTTGGTATATCATCTTCACGATTTCGCATTTACCGTACTCAAATAAATGTAGAGCCAGAAAATATGCAGAATGTAGTGATGTACCCAATTATTATGCGCCTCGACAATGTTTTTATCATGAAAACACCTTTAACGGGACTACTTACCATTGGGTATACTACTGAAATGTCAAACATGGAAAATTTACAACGTAGAAGTCATGGTAACGTAATAAATGATGCTAAAACAATCAGGAAAGAGTTCCAAAATTCTTTTGTAAACGAAGGCAAAGTGCAGTGACAGGACAATTTTGTTTGAAATAAAACATCTATCTTTGGCATGTTGTATTCAGCCCTTTTTATCGTCCCAATGCTGAGCACGGGCCTCCCTTCAGTACGAGGGGAATCAGGCCATAGTCCACCACGCTGGCCAAGTGCGGGTTGGCGGACTTCACATGTCTTTCGAAAACTTGCTAAGTTCTCTCGGACATGCAGGTTTCCTCACGATGTTTTCCTTCACCGTAAGGCAAGTGGTAATCATGTTAGAAATGATTTGCACATGAAAATATCAGAGGTGCGAGACCCGGGATTTGAACCCGCTTCACTCGGTTTCTCAAGCGAGCGCGTTACCACTGGGTTACCACTGCCTTTTGCATGTATTCTATATAAATTAATAATTGCCTAAACGGATCACACCTGTTTTAAATAAGTATACAAAATGGTCGAATGGAAAAAAATCAATATCACAAGTTATTCATTTATTTATTCTCTTTAAATCAAATAATCACTGAAATCTCTAGGTACTTACTATTTATTTATTCCTAGGATACAGTATGATTCGACAAATAATATAATAAATCATACCCTAAGCTTGAAAATTGGTAATATATGATGCTACTGAATTTTCTGGAATTGACAATAATACTGCAGGAAAATCATGGTTTACTTCTGTGTTGCTGATTGCAACTACATATAGTGTAAATAAAAATATAGGCAGATATAATACATGTTACATTTGATGACAAATACGTATCAAATTTTATTAAAGTTTTGTGTAATTTTTAATATTGTAATAATTTTAATATAATAATAAATTTTAATATTAACATTATTATTGGAAAGATAATGTCTACCCATCACCATCATTTTCAATAGATTCATTCTTTCTTTGGATTATTTCCAAGAGAACTTTCAAAATTTTATTAGTGTCATCTACACTCCTTTGCAAAAAAAACGGGCACTTTTGATGTATTCGAGTACTTTTAGTACCAGTTGTAAAAGGGATTTGATGCAACAAAATAAAATAAATATTATTTACTGATGTAAAAACACTTTTGTTTGGTAATTAAGTCGATCTTAGTTTGGTTTATTTTGATTTTTAGGAAATTACTCATTTTGACAAAAAAATAAGGTAACTTCAATTGACTTTCTCCTTTATTTACTAAAACTTACATACAATAAAATAAAAAAATTATATTGATTGTGGCCTCCTCTGGCTGAAATAACTGCTGCAATTCTTCGCGGCATGCTTTGGACGAGTTTTTTTATGAGTACTTGGGGAATACGCTCCCATTCGGCCGTAATAGCAATTTTAAGCTCTTGGATGTTCTGTAGGGCTGGGTGTACAGCTCTAACACGTCGTTTTAGAAGGTCCCATAAATGCTCAATGGGATTGAGGTCGGGACTTTTACGGTATAAAATTTATCACGAATAACCAATTTAAACAAATTTACATCAACATCAATTCATTAAAATTACAAATCTCGGGCTGGTAGAGGGTAAGCAGATTTCAAGCTCTCAAGCTTGGCTTCTAATACTGCTAAGAACACACGATATTGTGCGTAGACGCTTGGGACCACTATCTCGTGGTAGGAAACTGCGATAAAATTTAGATGACAGAGACCAAGACCAATGCCTCTAGTTGTTATAGTTAACGTGATAGCCTTTAAAGTCTGGTTCTCTCCAATTTTAGCGAGCACTTCGTCGCTCGATTTTGCACCGGGATGCAGTGTTGATTTAATCATTGCATCAATTCCGATTGTAGTTTTGGCGCCTTCAGTTTTCCTTTTCGTTTCAACCCTCGCCGTTTGGTATCCTTGGCGGGAGCGCGTCTGACCTCGTCCGCGGCGTGGTGCGCGGGGAACTCCTCTATTCGCTAATGGGAATAAATTCCCATAGCTCTCGTACACATTGTAACGTTGGCGGTTTCTTGAGTAACATACTAAGAAAGTATAAACTAACTGATTTTACCGTTAATTTCATAGATGACATTCTGGTATTCTCCAAGTCTTATACTGAACACATAAACCACTTATCCCAGCTGCTGGAGGCGATTAAAAAAGAAGGTTTCAGACTAAAGTTCACAAAATGTACATTTGCTTCAGATTCTGTAAAATATCTCGGGCATATAATACAGAATAATACAGTTCGACCAGTGAGGGATAATTTAATTTCAATAAGAGATTTCCCAATACCAAAATCTCAGAAAAATATCAGGCAACTTCTGGGAAAAATAAATTTCTACCGTGAATACATACCGAAAAGCTCAATTATGTTAGAACCACTTCATAATTTACTTAGAAAAAATCAAAAATTCATTTGGTCAACTGAATGTCAAGATTCTTTTGAAAAGATTAAAAAACTACTATGCTCACAACCAATCTTAGAAATTTTTGATCAAGACTTGCCTATAAATATATACACAGATGCATCATTAGAAGGTATTGGAGCGGTGTTAAAGCAAATACAGCCGAACGGAAAAGAAAAGCCAGTAGCATATTTCTCAAAAAAACTAAATGAAGTCCAAAAGAAAAAAAAGGCTATATACTTAGAATGCTTAGCCATTAAAGAAGCAATAAGATACTGGCAATATTGGCTAATAGGTAAATCTTTCACAGTATATTCAGACCACAAACCATTGGAGAATTTAAATATTAAGTCTAGAACAGATGAAGAATTGGGAGAATTAGTATACTATCTATCACAATATGACTTTAAAATTAAATATGCTCCAGGAAGGGAAAATTTAGAGGCAGATTGTTTAAGCAGAAATCCAGTATTGGAAGCAAATAAAGATATAGATGAACAATTAAAAATAGTTAATTTAATAACATTGGATGACATAGTAACAGATCAAGAAAAAAATGAGGATATACAAAAATATAAGAATAATTTAATACATAGACACAAAATTTATTATAAGAAAGTAAAAAAACAGGAAAAAATCATACTGACAGAAGAATTCAGTATAAAACTTATAAAGCAAATACATGAAAATATGTGTCACATAGGTATAAAACAAATGCAAAATAAAATAGGAAAATTTTATACAGCAAAGAATTTAACAAGAAACATTAATGACCTTTGCAAAAAATGTGAAATATGTATAAACTCAATTCAAATTTAATATAAAGAATTTAGAATAGTAACATATTAAAGAGATCTTATTTCTTTACATATGTACTACAGAACATATTAACAGAATTACAAATTTACAAATTCAACTTAACTGGTTTCTTAATTACTCTACCTGATCTACTTTTATTACAATTCTCCTGTAAATTAATATTTTTATCCATCTCTTTACTATGAGTATACATCTGTCTGTTCCTCTACGGCATCTTGGACTGGATAAGACGATTCTAAAGATCTAATGTTAGATCTATTGGAAAAACAATATTTTGCAAAATGTCCAATCTTGTGACATATTTTACACCTTACTCCTGACGCAGGACATCTGAAACGGTGATAATGTTGACCACAATGAGTACATTTCTTGTTGTTACCTGTCTTTGGTACCGGACTTTGACTACGTCGACTAGTAAAACTCTGTGTAGATTTTTATTTGAGTTACTTCTGTTTTTACTCGTAGACTGTTTGTTTGACTGTGACTTTGTATATGACTGTGATATGTGTAAAACAGTATCAGAATGTTGGGAATTTTCCATTGGTTGTGCATTTTGTTGTGCCATAATGACAGTTTTAGCAATAGATATAGCTTTTTCAAGTTTTAGGTCAGTCTCTTGCAATAATCTTTGTCGAACATGTGTTAATCTAGAACTCATATTAGCTATAAAAATATCTTTAATTAGTGAGACTTTCAGTGTACCAAATTCACATTTATTTCCAATATTTTGTAAGTCCGTAAGAAATGCGTCGATTCCCTCTTCGGGTTTCTTTATTCTCGTAAAAAAGGAATGTCTGATAATAGTCAAGTTCTTCTGTGGCTCGAAATAGTTGTCGAATTTAGTTTTTATATCTTTTAAAGTATTTTGTTTATGTCTATATTGAAAGAATTATAAATTTCTATACCTTTTTCTCCAATTGTGTGTAACATAATTGCTATTTTCCTTTTCTCGGGGGCTTCTTCCAAACCCGTAGCAAGAAGAAAAAGCTCGAAATATTGCCACCATTTCTTCCAATTAGAATTGTTATTTTGATTCGTTGCAATGTTTAATTTCGGTATATTGCTAAAGTTATAACTTTGAGAACATGCTTCCACGTTTTGCTCTGTAGACGTCGACATTTTAAAGATTCAATTTTATAACTATTGACTTTTAGATGATGTGAAATATATATATTCTTCACTTTGTTGCGACTTCTGACACCATGTTTTATGAAGCTAGGTTAATGAATACCATTGATTGATTTGATATGACTTTATTATTTTAGACTCAAAGACGCAAGGATTTTATATATTCCATAAACAGGATTGTGCACTCACCAATAAAATCGAGCAAAGAGAGAGGTGAGTTATCGGTAGCATTGTCTCTTTCTAGTAGGGTAACCATAATATTTGTTTGCTAGGAAAATCTAGGCAAGCTTTATCTAGTAACTAAGTAAGTGATAACTTCTTATTGAAGTAATTACTTCTTATGGGAGGGTAAACTGGTACGTAATCACTTCTGTCGGACGTCCTGACTAGTCCCGAGACGCACATATAAAAAAAGGCTCGTTTGGCTTCATAGTCACCGTGCGTATTTACTGCAATAAAAATAATAATCTACAAACTTAACTATGCCTTTCCACTGGTCTGGATTTCGTTTATATTCCTCTTCCTAGGTAGTATCTAAATTTCGGTATAAAAAATATCATTACTTCTTTCAGAGATTTCGTTTATATTCCTCTTCTTAGGTAATATCTAAATTTCGGTACAAAAAATATTTACCCCAACCACCTTCATCCCTCTCCCCATTTAAATAACGCATCACATTGTACTACTCGACCACTACAATTAGGCGCATCGTGACAGTTATACGAATATTTGAATTATGAAGCGGAATGCGTAGTATAAGTGTAACTGTAAAAGCCCGAATATTGGTAATGGAGAATTTTGCCAAATTTTGATTGTTAGCTTTCTATATTCTCAGTTCGAAATAAAAAATACTCCTGAAAGAATTAATTCGATACGTCAATTAGTTTGCAAGATATAGAATTTCAAAGTGAGCGTTCGACAAATTGTCCGCGTTTAATGCGCGTGACGTCATAGTTCAACACTCGCTCAGTCTGTATACGCTCTTTTGTACTGCTGCCTTGCGCTATTTAGTATTTTGTACCTGTTTTTATGATTTTTTTTTCAATGTTCTATCCAAATACCAAAAAATCATGTTGTGTCGAAATGTACAAATAGTCAAATACCTACAACCACCAGTGCGTCGGAAAAGTTATTTTTTCTCGTTCCGATGGATTTAAAAAGCGAAAGAAATTGTTTCTAGCCATGAAAAGGTTAGGTTTAATTAGATCCTGTTGGAGATCGAAGCACAGTTTATTGTTGAGAAGATCACTGTGACGTAAGTGCAGAGATCAACTTTTATTTACATATTATTATATATTACCTATACTTTTGTAGTTAGTTATTTATTTGGTCGATAATTATGAACATAAAATCAGGTCAAAGGTGCAAAACCTTTAGGGTCAAAACTTTGGATTTCAATATGTTTACATAATTATGCTTACATTATCTTGTAATAAATCTAACTTTTTAGCGTTACTCTTTATTTTATATATGTGTGGGGTCATTATCCACACATTAAATATTTTTATTTTTTTTTGTCTTTCTTAATTTTACTTTGTTGCAATGAGTGCGAAGTATCATCTTTTTTCGTTAATCCGATATTTTGTTTGATAGATGTTAATATCTTCGTCCTCATGCTGTGACTGAGCGCCCATCTTTGACGTGCAGATATTGAGTCAGCAGCAAGATTATCAGCCAATTGATTGCAAGCATCAGCATTGATAGTTTGCTCTAGCGTCAAGTCAACCGGTGATCGAGTAAAATTTGCTGCAGATCGTCTAATTCCAAAGGCGCCTCGACGAAATTCAGCTACCAAAGATGAATTATTAGTATACAAATTGATTAAATTGCTCAAATATAACAAGGACCATCTGGCATAATTGGGCTGGTTTAACGCAAAAAATATATCAGACATGTTAAAAATCGAGTCCACGTACAGTTCAAAGTTACTGGTGCGGATACTTCTGGAAAACCGATGGTGTAAATTAATAAACTTACAGTACTGGTAATAAAATTGAGCAGTTTTCCCTTTTTCTCCGATCAAAGTCTGATTGCAGAATTCTTTATAACCGTTAACAATACGACTCAATAAATCTGGTAACTCGATTGTTTCGTTGACGTCATTCGCAGTCTGATTTGATGCATTCTGTATTTGCGTTTGCAGCAGTTCATCCATCGCCTCAAGTGTTACATTAGTTGTGGATAAATACTGTTCAAAATGTAATATTTGTAATGCGGCAGCGGTTAGCGGATGTAAGCGCTTGCAACGATTGAAATGTTTGCTATTCATGGAGCCGCCGGCTAATACTTCTGCTTGCACCAATATTTCCACTAATCCACTGCTGTCAATATATTTTCCGATGGCTCTAAAAAATGCCATCTCTGTGTGGAAAGCTCCCAAGTTAACAAAAATTTTATTGTATAGCGGTTTTTCTTGTTCTTGAATTTGCTTTACCATTTTTGCTATCGCTAAATCGTATGTCACAATAATTTCTGGCTGCTGACATTTTTCAGCGATTTCTTTAGCCATGTTTAATGTTTCATTGACTACCGCATACGACGTTGGTGATGAATTTATGGGGGGCAAATATTTAACTTTTTGCTTCTCACTGTGGTCAAAAGATATCATACAGTTATAACCCAACCACATAGGAACGGAATCAATTCTTGACAACGACATTATCCATAATAAATCTTTATCTGATGCTATTTCCGTAGCACCTTTGCATAACTCCGTTGTCCGTTGTATTGGTAAACGAATCTACAGTAATCAGCTGCATACTTGCCTTAGGTTTAGAATAATATGACCGAATTTCTCGTGATATTTCATTGAAACGCCTTCTCTTGCGGGTAGGTCCTTCTCCATTTTCGTTGTCATTTACTTGAGACGCTGATGAAGTTGTAGCTTCACCATCATCAAAATTATCAGTTCCATCACTAGAGAATTGATAAATAATTCCAACTGTGTCGTGCATTGTGTCCTTTCCAGAAGTTGTGTCAACGAAGCGGTCGAAATTGTCGAACGCTACGTGGGTGCTGTGTCCTTTTGCTGCAGTAATGCCTTTTGGTATAACTTTGTTATCTTGGATCGATGTATATGTCATTTCGGTTTCCAATTCTTCTGCCAAATTATATCCAATTGTATGGCCATACCTATTAAGTATCGTAATTACTTGCCGAGAGTTGGTTAAAGACTTTACTGCCAACCCAAGGGACAAACTTTTTGAGGGCTTACATGCACCCCTAATGACCTAGTGACAGCATAAATAATATCACTACATATTGACGTTATTTTAACTTTTAGTCCGTTCGAATCTTCATCAGAAAAATTAGGCCCTTCGATAAGATTTCGTATAAAATCAATTAATTGCTTAGGAATGTCACATTCTCCACGAATGACATCATCAGCAGTTATGTTGCGAGAAAGCGGATGAGCATCTATATTTTTAATGCAGCTTCTCAAATAATATGCTACATTTTCAAACTCATAATCATTTCTTGTCTCCAAAAGTTTGAAATTGTTTGCCATTTAAAAGAATTAAATCATTCTTTGAGTAAAAATCGATGAAAATAAATATAATTGAAAATACAAGTTCAATTAATAGATTTTCATATCATTTTTTTAAAAAAGCTTAAAAAGAAATTTTATTACCTTGTCAAAGTCCCCAGAAGTTTGGGACAGGTCTTCAACATTACTCGTTTCATCTTCAGCAACTGTAGCACAGGAATTGACACTAGGGTTTAACTGTTTTGATTCTTCTTCAGTAGTAGATACATTGGTATGCTCCTAAAAAAAAATTTTTTTGCGATTAAATGAAAATGTTTGGTATATAAATTTTATAAACGTCTTGATAGGAATAGTTGATTGAAAACATCCTCATTAATTGTTACAAAAAAAAAGGAAATCAGATCATTTTCTTGTTTAATTTATAAATTACCGTTTTTAAGTAAATTACAAAAAAAATATGTGTGTCGAAAATTAACAAAACCATAGGTGAATTTTACTAACAATTATTTAAACATGAAAAAAATATAGAAGATGTATTAGCTAAGATAATTTTAAAGATTCAATTAATAGTAATTACTGTATATTCAGCACTAAAATTAAGAAATTCTTCGTTATATTTTTTATTCAAAACGGTCACTTTTTTGAAGCACGTGTTATGATAACCTACAAATTGAAGAGACGCACTGGGTAGCTCAACAAAATTGTATTTAAAGTGTTTTTTTTTACGAAAAACTAACTTTAATACACTGTTTTTAAAAGTTTCATCATTAAAATCAATTATTTCATCATCCGATCCACACAAAAAACACTTTTTTGCCATTTTTTCCAACAATGAATAGTAGCACGTTTTTTCAATTGTATTTATAGCGACACTCTACTCCAAAATGATGCATAGTATATACGAGTCTATCGCTATCCTTTTATTTTCCAAGCCCAAATAGCATGCGCACTCTCTTTCTTTAAGTGGGCGGACTTTAAACAGCTATGCTGTGTCCTCTTCTATCGCATGGGATGGTCGGTTGGGACCTCTCAGACACACATTCACTCGGAGCAATATTTTACTTTTTAAAATTCGACAACCGCAATTCTGGACTGATTTTTCGCAGGCAACCCTTTTTTTTTTTTTTTTTTTAACGTTGGGAAATGCATTTACGCACGAGGTGTGGGACTCACCGGCAAAGCCAGTACTACCCACTAAAACCCAACAAAGCCTTCCCCCGTCTTAATGGGGGCGTCGCAGGATCGCTTACGCATTCAACTACGACGCCCCGACGGCAGGTCTGCCGAAGCAGACCACAACAACCACGGGGTTGCTCCACAGTCCACTCTGCTATCAGAGAAGTACCAGGAGCAACCCGCATAGTACACTGCCCTCCGAAGAGGGCCACCTCCCACCGCCCACCGAAGTGGGCCACCTCCCTGTGCGTTTCTTGGCTTCGCGCCCGGTTGGGTTGCCGGGCACTACTGAGCCCCCCCACCACGACAAGGTGAACGCACGTTGGGGGGGTTCGCAGGCAACCCTATACCACCGTGTTCAGAATAAAATAAACTTTAATTTCATTTAAATTTCATTCAATAAACAGACCGTTGCAAAATGCTAGTACAGATTCACCTGATTATATCTGGCAACCCGATAGTTGTGACCGGAAAAGAATAGGCAACCTAACGTTTGCATATTCTATGGGCTTCATACTTTCGATTGGTATAGAATTTATCTAATAATCATACCGGTGAAATGTTTAAAAAAATTTTTTTTTAATTATTTATTAAACATACTCTGGACTGAAATTTGCTAGGCAACCCATATGGATTATATTTATTGACATATTAAATTAAATATAAAATACGTTTCATTAAATAAGCATCTCGGTGAAGGTCGTTTTATATCGGGATCTTATACTAGAACTGTAATTGAAAAAGCAACAGAATACCAGATGCCCCTCTGGATTGCATTTATCGATTACAAGAAGGCATTTGATAGTGTGGAATCGTGGGCAGTTATCCAGTCCCCTCTGGATTGCATTTATCGATTACAAGAAGGCATTTGATAGTGTGGAATCGTGGGCAGTTATCCAGTCCTTACAAAATGCTCGAATAGACCACAGATACACAAAACTAATTAAAAACATCTACGACAATGCGACCATGAAAGTAACACTAACAGAGACAACAGAACCAATAGCCATTATAGACGATAATTCACTCGATTCTTCTGACACATGTATTATAAATCTAGGGGTCGGTGCATCTGTTACAGCATCTATCAAGCCGTCAAGCTGCAACATTTTGTCTTCTACTTTTTTTACATGTTCTATACAATTTATCCAAGACGCCGTACCAATTTTTGTTAACCCTTCTCTAACTAGCTCCTTGACTTCAGACATTTTAAAACTTTTATTATTTTTTCCAACATGTGATTTTAATTGTGCCCATATTAATTCTATTGGATTTAATTCACAATGATACGGCGGAAGGCGCAGAACAATTACATTTTTATGAGCGGCCATTTCATCGATAACTTTTTTATTATAATTGTCTTTATTAAATTTCAATAACAGTTCCGCTTTTAATTCTGAATCTCTAAAATTAATATTTTTGTTTTGTAGTCTCGCTTGTATATCTGCCTTTCGCCAATTCATGTTGGGCACTCGGTCTGCAAGCCTGGAGTGGTACGGCTCATTGTCTAGTACTATTACCGACCCTTGTTCCACTTTGTCCAAAACGTTTCTAAACCTGTGATTATATAAACGTGATTTTATTTTTGGTCAAAATATAAATGTACTTGTCTAGATGATGAAAGCCCAGGCCCTGAGGCCTAAATATTGTATAATAGGGGATCGGACAAATTTTCAGAAAGTGTTTTAAATTAATCTTCATGGATACTTATTCCCATAAAAAATAAAATTTTATTTATTTATAGCCTTTTAGGTAATCAAAATCATGTTTGAATATTGTTTGTTTAAAAATACCGCCAAACCGACACGTTGTGTCATTTGACGCGCGTGACGTCATTTGTCGAAATAACGGTTGTGTTTCGATATGCACTGCGAGCACTGCACAGTGCTCGCAGTGCATATCGGAACACACCCGTTATTTCCACAAATGACGTCACGCACTGTGATTGTTGTTTCAGTACAGACTTAAAATATTGTAAATAAAAAAAATTATTTCTTCATTTAAAAATATTTAAATGAATATTAAATTATTATTCGATAAATAATCATAAAACACTATATTTATTTTGTCTAAGAAAATTTATATTTTAATCTGATTACTGTCCGATCCCCTATTGTCCAAATATTTCTTTAAAAGCTCTATATACTGGTGCAGCTGACTGTATGTGAATAAATTAGAATGAGATATTTTTTTTAATAATTACCACTTTTCGAAGTTGTGAGCATCCATTTCCCCATGGTAATCTCCGTAACTTTTTTTAGCCTCAAAAATCCACTCTCCACCTTCAAGAAACCCGTCAACGCTTCCAATATGGCTGATTATTAATCTTTTTCCTTTTGGTGGATTTTTGAGGCCTGTTGACAAGCCATTTAAAAATGCTTGCCGAATGCTTGCTATGTTTTGGTCATTCCATACGTAATTTGAAGAATGCCCTAAAAATAGATTTTATTAAAGGTTTATGTAGTTTGAACACAATACCTACATATACAAATGTAAAGGAAAGGTATAATGTAAAGGATTATTTAAGTGATAAAAAAGCTTGGGAATGAATTGCTCTTTATACTGAAGTAAGGATGTTTGTGAAACAATGATCACAATAAAAAAAAATATTACTTGGCTGAGTTTCTTGTGGGTTCTTCTCAGACCAGGGCGCGTTACGAACCCTCGTAGCTTTAGTTTAAGTCTTCTAATTGACGTACACAAGTGATCATTGAATTGATACAATGTGTAAAAAGAAGTAAATAAATAAATAAATAAATAAATAAATAAATAAAATATTAAAAGTTACCTTCGTTTAGCCATGTCTCATCTGTATAATATATTTTCCTATTTTCTCTTCTATAGTCTTTAATTTTTAACAAATAGTTACGTCTCCACACCATCAAATCCGGCCTATCTAGTAAAATACTCTTTCTAGAGCGTTTCATATATTTAAAGTCCAATTTTTTCATAATTTTATAAGTTGTAGAGCGAGAGAATGATGGAAGATCATCGTCATCATTAATAGCACTCATAACTTTTTGTATCGTTGGTTGATCATTTTTAAAATAGAAGCTGTGGACTTTCCTTTTAATAGCTGAAAGTATGAAATCGTCCAAGTTATTTACGATTTCATATTTTGGTTTACATCGATTAGGCGTGGATACTTCTCCTTTGATTTTATAGTCATTCAAAATTCTTGAAATAGTTTTTACAGAAGTTCCCATAACTTCGGCTGTTGTTTTTAAAATGTCCCCCTTACAGGGAAATGTAGGTGACGTTCTCTCAACGTGTTTATATATGTTCATTGCGATAACCTTCTCTCTAGCAGTGAGACCTGCACGGTTTGGCATTTTTTGCATGGGTGACGTGAGAAAAGATGGTGGATCTGGGATCCTTTTTCGCATTCTGGAATGCGAAGGCCCAGCGTTCGATTCGGGTTCACTCATTTTAATAAGTACCTGTCGAAAATTAATAATACAATGATATGTTTCACGTTAATTTTATAACAGTTGTTTTTTTTATTGTCGCTTGACAAGATGACTCCATGACGCCTGATGGTAAGCGACAGTGGAATCCAGAATGAGATCCATCGGTTCCGGGACTTGATCTCGATTCCGATCAACCTCACCTTGTCGGCCTGCAATTGTGCTTTTTCAAGCTCCGTTTAAACGACCTAGGATTATAGGAAGAGGGAAACACGTGAGACGGTAATGAATTCCATTTCCTAATAGTGCGGCACAGGTAGGAGCTGCCAAACCTTTTGGTACGAGAAGGTATGGGTAGTACCGTGTGAGGATAGTATTTCCGACCATCACGTGTGGTTTTGGAGAGGAAATGAGAGGAGGGTATAAGTTGGAAGAGCTCTTAAGACTGAACACTCGCCGTAATAAACGCGATAAAAAGCGGCTAGAGAAGCAACATCTCTTCGCAATTGCAGAGATTCTAAGTACTGAGTAGCCTCAGGTACACATTATATTGATATTTAGCCCTCATTGAAAAATAACTCTCCATTTATAAAATGAAGTTTTAATAAAATTTTAAACCTGCTTTCATAAATCTGTAAAATTAAAACGATTGTTACCGTTTTATGCCATTTTTTTGTAATAAATAACATTAAAATATTAAACTTACCTCTAAGTCTGTTACATACACTAAAATCTCAATCGTATGCAATATCGGAATCAGTAAAGGGTTGCTAAAAGTCGTCAGTCCAAAGAATAACACCGTCCAAATCGTAAAACAAACACAAATCCAGTAGAAAGCCAGGTCGTTAGAAATCAAACACCAATGCGTACAAGCCGTATGCGTCGGCTAACTCCTCTATCCTAACTCCGCGGGCGTTGCGGCGGTTGCTCCCCCAGAGAGGGTTCCATCCGTTGAGATCGCCCCCCAGTATGCATTGCGTGTTCATGTTGTGTTGCAAGAAGTTTTCAATCAGTGAAAGTGTGTCTAGATGGTCATGTCGAGGTGGTATGTAAATGGAGGCGATGTGTAACTGTGTGTGTCCTATCTGTGTCCGAACCACACATAGGTCCGAGGAAGAGAATTCCGTGATGCCGAAGAGTTTGATATGTGGTTTGGCTATGATGCAGGCTCTGACAGGGGAAGAATTACTAGGAAATTGAATGATGTTTAAGGGATATCCGTAGGGAAGTTTGACTTCCTTTCTGGCGCCTATGTAAGGCTCAGATACAAGGGCGATGGAATGTGGGCTGTGGACGAAATAGTTCAAAAATTCGTGAAGCGAATGGTATGACTTTTGAGATTGATTTGCGTTAAGCTTAATTTATTGTGCAGATCCATAATCAATATTATTATCGGTCTTGGTTCGCATTGCCCTTACGATAGGACACGTGTGAGAGGTGGATCCGTGTGTAGTGTCATATTTGCTATTAGGGAACCTGGTTTTGTGTCTAATGCAATTAAAGCATTTGGGTGATTTGTCCTTGGTTGGGCAGTCGTGTGAAAGGTGCCCCTCCTCAGCGCAGTGTGCGCAGCGGTCGGAGGGGTTTTTGCAGTTTTTGGCGGTGTGCCCGAATTGCAGACACTTGCGGCACTGTAAGAACGGAGAGTGCTCCTCGACATGTACCCTATAAATATCTATACGAACTCTACCCATTGTGTTCAAGGCACGGAAGGCACCGGGAGAAGTCATGAAGACAGCATTGTATATTGGGTCGTTGCGGTTGTTACGTAAGAATTTGAGTGAGAGGTGTTAGTTGGTGTCATTATTATGTGTAAACTCACCGAGTTCGGGGTTCTGTGCTAAGATGGTGTCGACGAGCTCGTTGCTGTTCACTTCCTTGGAGATGCCCTTGATGATCACCATTGGCTTGAGTCTATGGGCTATCTCCGCAGAGACCTTGGAGTTGGGGGCAGACTTGGTGCGTTCGAGTGCGTCGTCTCTTTCTCTTTCGGTGTCGAATTCGACCCTGATAGCGCCTTTGAGAGGAACTACCCTAGCCGGATTGTACCCGAGTTCCCTGAAGGGGACGGTTTCCTTGAAAGCGGTGATAGTATTCTGAGGGTTGGCAGCCTTGTTTTTGGTGGTGACCACGATGGCTGGCCTGGTGGAGGGTGGTGTAGCTACGACCACTTTAGTTGTCGCAGGAAGCTTGGCCGCGGGGCAGGGGACGGTTTTAGAGCTGAGCTTCTTAGTGATGGAGGCGTACGAGTCAGTTATCCTTTTAGTGTTCTGCTCAGTGTTGGACTTAAGATTGATGTCCAGGCCGTCAATTTTTCCCTCGATGCGACTCAGTGCCAGGAGAAGGGATTGGCTGGTTGTATCTGTTGGGGCGGAAGCAGGAGCGGGGATGGGGGGGGGGCGCGTTCATTGATTCTCTTGTGTATTTCGAGAGCGTCACAGATTTCTTGTGCGGCCTTGATGGCTAGGTCTCTGTTAGGTGCAGAGACGCTTTTGGGCTTCTCCGTCGGAGTGAGGCACTTCTTGATGACGTCGGCGAGGGTGAGAACAATCTTCTCGAAGGAGGAAGTGTCGGAGACTTCAGTTGCTCGGACGGGTAGAACCAAGGGTTCGGGTGGGGGCTTAGTCGCCTTAAATTTAGGTTTAGTGGTGACGGCGGCACTGTCGACAGGAGAGGGGATCAATGAGGGTGGCGTTTTCTTTCCAAGGCGGCGGGAGGACGAGGTCGCCCTGCTGGGATGCGATGCATGGCGAGTGGAGGAGGAATTTTGTCCATAATCCGGTTAAAGTGAACTGCTATTGGTTTTCATGGACTTTTCATGAAAATCGAAAATGTTTTTCCAGTTATTTGATGTCCAGGTGAATGCGCATCCAATGATATATCGACGCTTAAGAACCAAGACCATCTATCTACAAAAAGTTGACTTTATAGGAGACGAAAAAAACGTTTGATTTTTTTTTTAAAAACAATTTCATTATTTTTAAGTTTGAACATTTACTAGACAGGCGTGGGAAATAAGATGTTTACATGTATTTCAAGAAAGCTTTATTAGTTTCGAAATTACTGTAGATAGCTGGTATTAGTTAAAATATTTGCAAATGTTTGTGAATTTCACTGTAAGATAGGTGGTATTGGCAAGTGAAACAAATTTAAACATTAAGTATTAAACACTTTAATTGAAACGACAACCTTTTATATTTATCATATTCTACACAGAAAAACAGTTTTATTATGAAACGGATGACTATGTACTCGTAGAACATCTTTTAATGCTTAAGATAGTTGTTTAGACAACAAACTTATAATTATACAATTTTAGTCATGAAACATTTTTATTTATTAAAAATTTAAACATGCGGCAACGCATCATAAAACGGATGACAATCTTTTGGTAGAACATCTTTTAATTGCTGAAGATGGTTATATTTGGTTGACGAAATTGGTAGGGGACTTTCATGTAATTGCGAGTAAACCACAGGAGTGTTAATGTTGCACTTTCTTTGAGGCAAAGCCCTCCAATCTTCATCAAAATCAAGTTTTATCAGGATGTCACCATTTGGTGTGTATTTCATTGCACGCAGGTCTGTGACAACAGAATCGCCAGCTTTACGTCCTGGTCGAATACTTTTATATTGAAAAGTAGAAGACTCAGCATAATTTTTAAAGAAGTTGTAGTCAACTTCAACTACCTCATAGGGCTCTTTAGTGCGAGCTTCTTTGGTAACAGACACATAATCACTCGGAAGATGAATCTCCCTGTTTTTGAGCTTTCGCTCGATGGCACTGTGAACCGAGTCACACTCCATTTGTGTGTGACCCGGTTCTAAGTACTTATGGGTTATGGTGACATTGTGCTTGATGCAAAAATTTAGAAGACCATTGGAAAGCACAGTGTTCCGATTCTGGTATGTGCAACCATCTGAATATATCACAATGGGTAACTGTTTGGGCAGACAATGAACTTCCAAATAATCGATTACAAATGAAACAAATGTGCTAGCCGTTAAATCGCCTGCTGTTTCGGTGAACCAGTAACATTTGCAGTGCCTTGTAGCTAGGTTGAAGATGGTAAAGTTATGGCAGGTCAATTTCGTTTTAAAATAAAGAGCACTTGCCGTTAAATATGGACAAACTTTAACTGCTTCCAAGTCCATGGTGAGCAGTATGAATTTTCCAGAAATAGCAAGTTTTTTGTCCGCCTCCTTTTCCTGTCGTGCTCGATTTTTTCTCAGTATGTGCATTTGGAAATCATGTTCATCATAATTTCCAGTTTTATGACTTGCGCATGTGTCACACATGTCTTTTTTTAATACGTAAAACGCTAAGTTTTTTTTATTGTATTCCTTGTCAAATGTAAATCTGCTGGCTGAAGGCTCTTCGTTTTCTGTACAAAATTTATTGTACGTTCTGTATAATTGAGAAATTGAATGGTAAACGGGTTCCAGATATAATTTTGTCGTTACTTTTCTTGCATAATGAGATGGTAATTTAGGAAGATTGTCAAAAAAATTACGCAACGTTATGGTTTTCCTGTCAACATTGCTGCTTGCTCTAGAATTACGAAAATTTTGATTGGGCACCATTGCAAATTCTGCTTGTTTTACCCAAGACTGCACGGCAGTAGAACAAAGCGATAACGTACTTAAAAACATTCTTTTGCAAACCTGGACTTTCACGTCCGATTCTATCGGCAAATAATAGCTAAATGTGCCTTCTCGTCGTGAAGTTTCCAAAGCAGATTTTGTATGGCGGGATCGAGCAGAGCGCGTGACAAGATCAGCTACATAAACTCTACGTTGATCCCAGTTCATCGTTTTCCAGAATTTATCGTGTATGGATTTCCTAGTCTCCTCTTCAAACCTTTGGCAACCTCTCAACTTACTCTTTTGACAAAAACTGGACGTACATGGTGGTCCTAAAATTTTTGCTAAACGAACTTGATCTTGTGTCGCTTTGCATCCTTTAGGTTTCCTGTATCCAACATATTCTTCACCAAGCATGCGAAGTTTCTTGGCTTTGTTTTTCTTCCAAGAATTTTCGTCTCGGATATGACGCCGCTTTCGTCCTTCATTCATATCTCCAAAATCGTCTGAAGAGTCTTTTTCAGACTCACTTTCACAATAAGTCGCATCGCTGTCTTCATTAGTAAAGTGGACAGCTGAATGAACAGAAAGACTTTTAGAAACAGGAGCAAAATGAAAATGAAGAGAAGGCGGAGCTGATAGACTTCTTGTTCTGTTAAAAGCTTTTTGTTCTTGAGTGTCAGAAGTTAAATCGGATAAAGAAACGTGTTTCTTCAAGAAACAATTCGAGATCATACAGTTCTTAGAGTTATTTCCAATTAGTTCCAGCAGGTGAGTATGCATGCTACTTGAGATAGTTCCATTAACAGATTTGGAATTCTCATCACTTTCAGACTTCTGGATACTGCCATACGTTTTCTGTGTTGAACTTTGTTGAGGAACTTCTTCTGAAAAACAAAATTTCTATCACAATCTACCCACACAGCACCACGAAAGTCGTCATCTGAAATTACTAGGTAGGCTCTTAAGGTAAGAATTATCTAATAAAAATCGAGTGAATAAAATAGGACTAAAGTAAATAAATATATTTTTAACTTACTAGCGCTATTATCTTTATCTTTTATTTCTGCTAAAATTCGACGAGCTCTCCATCCTTGGTACCTTTTCGACATTTTAACTGTAGACAAAATTATATTGCTTACTACTTGAACAGATTAATAACTAGATTTGTTATATACAATATTTAGTAGACAGTGTGCCAGCAACGAGGCACACAGTCCACTAAATAATGTATTTATAGCAAAAAGACTAAGAATTTTGACTATCTAACAGGTTTAGACCTGTTAGACTATGTTGACACGAACAAATTTTTCTTTCAATATCGCCTATCTACATCAACAAGATTCGATTTTGATTTCAATAACGCCTATCTTACATTTATTATATTTCAATGAGTAGGTAGGTTAGTTAAAATACTTAACTCGTTAAAAATTAATACAATTAGAATAAAGTAGTAAGAATAATGTAAAAATTAAGACATGCCGCCACAAAATGTATAATATTTCTCACTTAAAACGGATACAAATGATGTCGAAACTTTTTTATTGCATCATTCTTGGTAAATACTAATAAAATTAAAATAAACAATGTTGTTACTTACTTTTCACGTAAATTTTCCTTTGAATTTCACCAAATTAGCCACTAATTACAACGTCACACAATAAAAAACACCACATTTAACGCATGTCACAACCTGCTTTGAGCTAACTATTAGAAGTGTCAACAAACCGCCCCGCAACATCACCCCCGCCCGCCAAGATTCGCAACCCCTCTCTTTCTAAAAGCGTTACCACGCATTCGAACACATAACGGTTCTTTGCAACTCGCAACGGGCGAGTAAGCACGCGTACTGTGTAGATAGGTGATATTTCCATAATTTTTTTTCGTAACGTAATTTAGGTGGTATTGGTATTTTCTCATAACTCCTTATTGATTGCGAATTTGAGGTAGCTGATTAAAGAAAACGAAGCGTAAATTTATTGTAAAAAGAACTGCATTAAAAAGTAAAAATCGCCAAAAGTGTAGATAGATGGTCTTGGTTCTTAAGCGTCGATATGTCACTTTGATATTCCACTCATATCTTGGAAATGAGCGGGAGTTCCGGTTCAAGGTCACTTCACTAAAAGTTAAAAATTACCCACTAAACTAATTCCAAAAAAATCTGAAATTTAGGTGAAATGTAGAGGACACTATACACTATTTAATTATCCAATAAAAGTTAGGGGTCGTCGCGACTAATCTAATGCCGCACGCACTTTAAGTTTGAATTTTAGTAATTTTTCCCGTTTTCGCAAGGAAAAACGGGTGTGGAGCACTGAGTTTATGTCCGATTCTTAATAAAAGCACATCACCATATCTATATGGTCGTCCTCTAGGACGAACAGACGAATCGAATGGTATATTGAACAGTCACTAAAAATTACATATTGAGTCCGATCTCGATTTTTTAAAGTTTTCACTAAGTTAAAATGCAGTTTATATATACAAAATTTCACTATTTTCGTCGTAGAAAATTGAGTTTTTCACTTATAAGAAAAATGAAAGCACTTCCATAAAGCTGGCGCCAGCGCGCAACTTTTGGTGTGCGTTTCATAATTTTTGAGTTTATGAAGCCACTATTGAGTATTTTTAAGTACGGAGCGACTCGAAAACGATGCGTTCGAGGCGAGCTCTCGCGCCAGTTTTCCGTCGCTTATGGCTCAGTGGTTAAATTTTGAATAGTCTTGGGTTTGATATGATTTAAATATTACAAGGTTCTATGTTTTTTACAGGTAAGTGAGGGTGAGGGGTAATATAACTAGGGGGGGGGGGGGAAATGTGGCGTGATGCGCGGTATAGTCAGTAAGTCTGAGGGGTGCGGGTATGGGTCGCAGGGGTGAAGGGGGGAAATAGCTTGAGGGGTGCGGGGTATGGGTCGAAGGGGTCAGGGGGGTATGTACAGAGGGCTTATCTATATTTTAGAAAATATTCTAAGTTAATTCCGCTATGACTTAGTGGAAGTTATATATTGTCATAGGTTCGATATTTTAGATCTAATAAAAGTATGTCAGTTTATGAGAACATAAGGTTCAAAGTCCTACTTAATTCTAATTTATTTAATTTATCCTAGAGTCCAGCTCGAACTTGGCCGTATTTGGTCGCTGACCAATAAGAGCAATCTACGGCCAATAAGAAAAATCTACAAAACTATTGCATATTTTGATCCGCGAATCACTGCTTTCTACATTTTTTGAGCAACGCCCATGATATATATCAAACAAAAATTGTCCAACTTGTATGTTCGTTGATATTATTATTTATTTATATTATTATCTACACTGGGTAAAAGTTCTCCACTAAATGTAGATAATTTGTGTTCACTTTTTTTTAACAGTGTTAATGGAAATTTAAGAGCTTTGTAGGCATTGAAAGAAATTATGTTAGTGTCTGCACCTGTGTCCAAGAGAAACTTGACTTGTGAATTATTTATATTGAGTTGAGTCTCAAATGGGTTGACTGTGTTGACATTGTTAGTTAAAAATAATGAACCTAGAAAATAAGTACAATCAGGCATATACTCAGAGTTATTTTGACCTGTTGTTGTTTCAACTGACACTACATTGACATTATTTTGACGGCGAGAATGACACATTATTGCAAAATGATTTCTTTTACCACATGACTTGCAGGTGACTCCTACCTCTGGACAACGGACTCGATGAACTTGACCACATTTGTTGCAGTTACCCTGGGGACGGCTTGATGATCTTGACTGATTGCTTGATCCTAATCTACGATGTGATTGTGATTTTGATTGACGGTTCTGTCCTGAAGAGTGTATTCTTGCTACCATCTCATTATTAATACCTTGTGTGATTGTCCTTGTGTCGATCTTGTTATTCCTCATTGTCTTCGCTAGCTGCACAGCATCTTCAAATGTTTTAGGCTTTTCCATCAGTATTCGTTCTTTGATGAAAGTACATTCAGAATTTAGGTTCCAGGAAAATATATCACGGGTTATTTCATCGGCAAGTGCATCAAAGGCACATTGTAGACTTATATTTTTTAATGCAGTGGGGTACGTTTCTAGGTCTTCATCAATACCCTGCTTGCGGTTGAATAGTTTGTGTCGCTCGATCGTAGGGTTAACTTTCGGCGTGAAATATGCCTCAAAACGCTGGACAAGTGTTGTCAGAGGTGTAGATTCCAGTTTTAAGTCGAATGAGTTGAAAATAGGCAACGCATCAGGACCCATAATGTTAAGCAAAATGGCTACTTTACGTCTGTCTTCTTCATTATCTAAATCATGTGCAGTAAGGTAAATTCTGAACGAAATGAGGAAATCTTTCCATGCTTTGGCCAGATCAGGTGCATGAAAATCCATCTTGAAATGATGTGATGGCACCGTTTTTGAGACTGTAGGCGGATGATTTGGCATTTTGAGTACCTTGTGCTAGGCGAAACGTGGTTGACTCAGGTCGCGCTGGAAGACTTGATGGCGGCGACGATTTTAATTGAATCCGTCCGCTTCTGACACCATATCTTGTTTGTAGGTAATGAAAGGCGCTTCTTGAACGGCCGTACTTTATTATATTGGTTGTATATACAAGGATGGGCATGGATTAAGAGTGACTAACATAGATTGTAGATGACAATTCACAAGTGTAGATATAATTACATTATGCTCAAGCGTCACGACCACAGATTAAATAACGTCAATAGATACGTTCAGGATTATATAACAATTATGAACCATCAAAAGTGCTGACCAAGGAGAAGGAATAGGGTTACTAGTCGCTATTATATACATAACATATATATAACAGCCCCCAGGGTTTTGACTAAACTTACCCTTAAAGGGGTTAAGTTTATGTAATAGTAGTTGACTAAACTTACCTGTTACATCCGACCTGGGGTTTTACCAGAGTGATGAGTGGAAGCGTGAAATGTCTCCAGGTTCAAGGGGGACGAACATATGACTGCGATACACAGCGCTTATATATATCAAAAAAAAGGTACCTTGCGTTCTTCTCCTTCAATGATGCTGCCTTAGGTATAAATCTAATTACCATTAAACTACAATTGGCCAATCATAACGTCTAATGCTAACTGATTATACTCAACTGAAGGTGGCAGGATGAAGATGCTCCAGGATGCGCCTAGAAGGCCGACATACGGCATAGGCACTCAAATACGCACAAGTTTACACTGAATTGTCAGTTCACTTTCATATAAGTACAAAATAAAGTCAATTGATTCTTATTTAACTTGTTTTACGTCGGCACGTGGTCGATGCAATTATGCACTCAAAACGGGCCCCGTGCTCATCAAAATGTACAATTATCAATATGTTATTTGCACGTCTTATTTAACAGTCCAATCTAAGATATGCCGCACAAAAAACCATCACAAAAAAGGGCAAAATTACCGAGATGAATCAAACACGCGGCGTATATTTCAAAGGTTCCAACGGCAAGGGCGACAGCCGGGGTCGCCGGCGCATAGATAAGTGAAGTGTCAGTTGTCACTGTCAAGTCAAAATGATGTGACACAGACTCTTAGGTTTTTGCGTGCGCATACAATAGTTTGGTTTATAACATCTACCCGCCTCGGCCAGGACTACCTGGCCGCTAATTTACTGGCAGTCGTGACAAGGTTGATACCGCTCTCTTCAGAACAGAACCGTCCACACGGACCTCAGCAAAACGGGGCACTCCATCTGCTCCAAAGACAAGGTTAAGAATGCGCCCTCTGCGCCAACACAGTGGCGGTGAGTTAGCGTCCTTAACCAGAACGAGGTCACCAACATGAGGTGGATCAGTCTTTTCAGTCCACTTAACGCGCTGCTGGAGAATGTGCAAGTATTCTAAATTCCAACGCTTCCAAAAACTCTGAGTGAGTTGTTGGACCAACTCAAACCGCGAGAGACGATTGGGTTTCACATCAACAAGGGGGTATTCCGGCAGGGCGTTCAGTGGATGTCCAATCAAAAAATGGCCCGGTGTGAGGGCTTCCAAGTCGTTAGGGTCTGAAGAGATCGGGCATAACGGGCGTGAATTTAAAACGGCTTCAATTTTGCAAAACACAGTTGCGAGCTCTTCAAATGTCAATACAGACTCACCAATTACTCGTCGCAAATGTGTCTTGGCAACCTTTACCACGCTTTCAAATATTCCTCCCCAGTGGGGACATGACGCGGGACTGAACTTCCAAGTTATTCTGCGACTAGCTAGTCTAGAAGCAATTTCAGTCTTGTTAGACTCCAAAAAATCACATATCTCTTTTAAATGGTTGTTTGTGCCTTTGAAGTTGGTGCCGCAATCCGACCGAATCAAGGATGGTAGTCCTCGTCGTGACACGAATCTATCTAACGTTGCAACAAAGGCCTCTGTCGAGAGGGCTGAGACGAGTTCCAAATGTACCGCCTTGGTGGATAGACAGACAAAAACGCACAGGTAAGCCTTGACCGTTTTACTGTTCCTGAGGGTCGAAGTCTTAACTGAAAAGGGACCTGCAAAGTCCGTACCAGCTCCAGCAAAGGGCCTTATCTCAGTGACCCGATCCGAGGGCAGGTCACCCATGATAGGCTGCATGGTAGAGGCCTTGAGCCTATAGCAAGGCATGCAGCGAAAGACCACGCTACGGATCGTCCGTCGGGCCGATAAAATCCAAAATTCTCGCTGTAAAATGGCCAATAAGGCATTACAGCCGGCGTGGGAGTTCTTGATGTGACAATCAGTCACCAACAAATTCACCAAATGGCCACTTTTGGGCAACAGGAGGGGGTGACGAGCTCCATAAGGGAGGTTTGCGTTCCTAAGACGCCCTCCGACACGTAAAAGACCCTCACTGTCCAAGAAGGGGTTCAGTTTGCAAATAGCTCCAGACAACTTGGATTTGCCCCTCCTCAAGATGTCAATCTCGTTCTTAAAGTGTGCTTCTTGTACAGAACGAACCCAATGAAGAAGAGCATCCTGGAGCTATCGCGGCGATAAGAACGCCTCCAAACGTTTGTCCTGTGGGTGTCTACAATTTCTGATGAAGCGCTTGATCCAAGCGGTGACACTCAGCAATTTATCCAACGAGCTGTAGCGATTCATTAAAAAATCTGGGTCGAACGGACGGTCCTGCCGTTCAATCGCAAGCGTTCGCAGCCCAGGCAACGCGACAGCATCCAAGGCCGGTGTTCGTGGCCAATTAGGTTCTGACCTAGTCAACCACTCAGGTCCCCACCACAAAGAGTGCTCAACCAACAGGGGGGCCATGCATCCCCGTGATGCACAATCCGCAGGGTTGACTTCACCAGGCACATGCCTCCAAATCAACGGGGTCTCCGATTTCTGGATCTGAGAGACACGATTTGCTACAAACACCTCTAAGGTGTGGACCGACGTCTTCAGCCAACACAGAACAATTTGACTGTCAGTCCATGCATAGACTGTGGTAATGTTAACTGACGGGCGCAAGGTAGACATGACATGGTTCAAGAGGCGAGCAAGAAGGGCCGCTCCCGACAATTCTAACTTAGGAATGGTCAACGCAGTTCGAAGAGGCGCGACCTTGCTCTTCGCCATGACCAACGACACCTTCACCTGACCATCTATGGTCACGGTGCGCAAATATACGGCTGCTGCGTACCCTCGTTCCGAAGCGTCCGAAAACCCGTGAAGGGACGCTGTATACTTCCCTGGAGGAAGCATAGCACGGGGTAACGATATTTTATTGATGGCAGGCAATGAGGAAGCAAATAGGAGCCAGTCCTCCAAAACAGCTTCTCGGAGTGGCTCGTCCCATCCGAGACCTGCAGTCCAAAGTCTCTGCAGGAAGCATTTGGCCCAGAATATGACCGGGCATATCCAGCCATTGGGATCAAACGTTCTCGCGACAGTCGAAAGAACCAGTCGTTTCGTCCAAGTATGAGGCGAATCCAAGTCAACGTTAAATGTGAAGATGTCCTGGACTGGTCTGTACTGGATTCCAAGTACTGTCATCATGGCAGGATTGTCACGATTCTCAAAGAGGTGAGGATCTTGCTGGTGGTCATCCGGTAGCCCCTCCAAGAGCGCAGGCAAGTTGGAGATCCATTTACGCCACTCATATCCTGCGGAGGCTAGTATTCCAATCAACTCGTCACGCAAAAAAAGAGCCTCTCTCTCCGTGGACGCGCCAGTGTATATGTCATCAACATACAGGTCCTCCTTCAAAATGGCGGCTGCGCGAGGAAACGACATACGCTCTCGATCCGCGAGCTCCCAAAGCGAGCGGATGGCCAAAAAGGGGCTAGACCGTAGCCCGTATGTGTTCGTGTTGAGCTCGTAAACAAGCATGGGATCTTTCGGGTTTTCCCGCCACAATATCAACTGATATCGTCGATCATCAGGGTGAATTACCGTTTGCCTGAACATAATCTTGATGTCAGTCACAAAAACGAATTGATGACGCCGAAACCGCGTGATGACGTCACAAAGGTCCTTAATCAATTTGGGACCAGAATGAAGACACTGGTTCAAGGACACTCCCGATGTGGTCTGCGCAGAACCATCAAATACTGTGCGCAGCTTGCCACTTGATGGTTTTATTACCGCATGATGCGGGAGGAAAAAATGCTCCGTCGAGCTCCAGTCAACTTTTGACACGGACATGTGTCCCAAATCCTCATACTCCCGCATGAAGTCAATATATTTCTCCTTGAGTAGCGGGTCCCTGCTCATGCGGCGCTCCATTGCCAGCAAACGCTTCTCTGCAGTAGGCCGCGAGTCGCCAAGGGGCGGACGTACGGTGAGAAATGGCAATCTTGTCATGATCCGGCCAGAACGGAGGTAAGTGGTGTTATTATTATAGAACCGTTCACAATCCTCATGTTCCGGATCAGAGCGGGGCGCTTGTGGTGGCTCTTCTACTTCCCAAAATCTCTGCACGGCGTCAGAAAGGGCGGAGCCCACCATTAAGGCCGTTCCAAGTTCGGCAGGGGGGGGAGCCCTCATTACAGGCCCCATCAATGCGAACCCAAAAATGGTCCGGAGGGCCACTAGGCCACCTGGCTGCAAAACACGATCCTTACCAAGTAATATTTTGCCCATAACATCAGCACCAAGCAACAAATCTACCGTGCCAGGTAGGTCAAATTTAGGGTCAGCCAAATTCAAACCAGCGGTCAATTTTACCGCATCCGCAGACAATCGAACTTGCGGGTGGCTGCCCAGGATATTCTCCATTACAATGGCGGACGATCCCAACGTCGGGCGTGGAGAATTTGAGGGGGAGAAATCAAGCCAAACGCGGCCCTTAACCGTGGCCACAGGGGCGTTCCCGACACCTCTTATTACATCTGAATACCTTTTAATAGTCTGGCCAGTCTGCCCTACCAACCAAGACGAGGCTATGCAACCTTGTGATCCTGTGTCCAATATCGCTCGGACTACAACCGAGGCACCCGTCCGTCCCCAGACCCTGACATAGGCCGAGGGCAAGAGAACGGTCTCAAAAGGGGGCGGTGCATAGCGGGGGCAGACGCCGACATCCTAATGTTTGCGTGGCGGCGATCGAACGCCGCAGTGCCGGGACGGCGCGTCAGAATGAGGGAAGGGTTTGAACTCTGCTTCCCCTCGGTGACGACTGCCACTGCACGAGCCATAGTCGGTGGTTTATAGCCCCTGGAGCGTCCGTATCGAGGGTTGCGCGACTCCAAACGGGGACGCTCCGCCAGAGGGGGGGATGGCAGTCGTACCGGACTTGCATCACAGTAATCGTGGTACACGACCTGAGGTGACCTTGATTGGTCACGCGTGGGCAAGGGGGGCGAGCGGGACTCCAAACTGCGGGACTGGTCCCGGCGTCCGCTCACATACCCGCCCGTGGGGCTGCGCACCGAACCATGTCGGCGATCAACGGCAGCGCAATCTGCGCGGCGTGTGGGGGATGAGCCGGACTCAATACTGCGGAACTGGTCCCGGCGTCCGCTCACATACCCGCCCGAAGGCGACCCCGCGTGGTCGCGGCGGCCATTCGCGTTGGCACACAGCAGTTTCAAGTGCTGCCCTCTGCAAACAGGACACGGGTGCGTGTCGGGGCAGGCGCGCTGATAATGGTCCCCTAGGCATGAGAAACACCAGCCTCGGGCCTGAGCAATCCGCCTACGAGCGGCCACATGCAGCGCTGCAAATTCCGGGCACTTCGCCGTTTTGTGCCCCTGGGACTTACAAAATCGGCAGTCCGGTCGTGCGGCCTGAGCGACAGCAAAGCGGGAAGTCATTTTTCCCCTTGGCGCAGTTTGAGCAGTGCGACGTTGGTTGGTGGGTCTGGGACTTGATGCTCCCACCGGTGTAGAGGCGACCATAACGTCACCCATGCGACACTCGTCCTCCAGGAAGGTCAGGAGCTGTTCAAAAGTAGGGAGAGGAGAAGCCTCATCCCTAGCGTGCCCCTGTTCAAAGCGTGCCCTCAAGGACACCGGCAGCCGCTTAAGTACGATACGCACCAGTAAATAAGACCACTGGGCAACCGGCAGTCCCAAGCGGTGGAGAGAGTTAGTGGCTATTAGGAGGGGGTTGAGCAGCTCGGTCCTCAACTGGGCGGTATTGCTCACGACGGGAAGGTCCATAATCTGGTCGATATGGGCATCGGCCAGGCAGCGCTCATTGTGGTAGCGCTTGGTGAGCAATGATCGCGCGACTTCATAGCTCCCGTCACGTATGGGGAGGTGCTGCACTAAGCCCCTCGCCTCTCCATCGAGCACAGAGAGCAGATAGGCCAACTTTTGAGACGGGCCCAAATCGTCCCTAGAATCTACAAGACTCTCGAACAATCCAATGAATCCCAGCCACGTGTCTAACCGACCATCAAAACGTGGAAGATCTAAATTGGGTAGCTTTGTCAAAAGGCCCACGGGAGTTTTCAATGGAGCGCTGTGAGGCGGTACTCCGGCACGCGAGGCTAAAACCTCTCGCGCGCGTTGGGCGATGTCGTCGGCCAGGTTCATAATCTGGGTGTAGTCCTCGTGGACTTGTTCCCGCCGATGCTCCGGGAATGACTCCAGAGGTACATCATCCAGATGTGAGATGAAGCGCTGATAATGTTCCTCCACCTCCTTGAGTCGTGTAGGGCATTTCTCATGCCTATCCAACAATGCCTCTGTACGATCCTCCCTATTCACCAATGCGGCAGCGGAAGTGAACCATCTCAGGTGAGCCACAATCCCGGAATATGAGTCACGGACAATAGTGAATGCGGCGGCAGCCATCTTCAAAAACACAAAGGACACAAGCAAACAAACAAAATAATATTGTAATAACAACAACAAAAAAGTTATAACTTTCAAATGAGACAATAGTGTTATCAATTTAAATAAATATCAAATCTCAAAAATATACCTAAATAGGAGTACAAAAAACATAAAACAAATCCTTGAGGCAAATGTTCAAACAATTTATGATCCAAATTACTTATATTTATATTTATTTTAAGTGTAGTCTATTTATATTTTTATTATAAAGTTATTATATTTTATAATAAACTGAGCAACAACAAGTACAACAAAAAAAAACAATACTAAACTTTAAAGTTTAATTATTAATATACTGAACAATTTATAAAACTATGTTTAAAGTAACAAATTACTAAATTTACTTTAAGTAACCCAAATACTGCATATGTATGAATCAAATTAAAGTATTTTATCAACAAGTTAACTTTAAAATCATTAATACAAACAATTATGTAAGTTTAATAATAAACTTTATGTTTAAGCTTTTACAATAATCACATACACATTTAAAGAGTATGAATTGTTTCATATAAAGTGGAAATCTTAAGTAGTTAAGTAACAATAACTAGTAATTAATTTTACACAAAGTAGCGAGCGTATACAATATACATTTAATATCTATACCAAAAACTACGCTCTGCTACCAAAAGATGTTACATTCGACCTGGGGTTTTACCAGAGTGATGAGTGGAAGCGTGAAATGTCTCCAGGTTCAAGGGGGACGAACATATGACTGCGATACACAGCGCTTATATATATCAAAAAAAAGGTACCTTGCGTTCTTCTCCTTCAATGATGCTGCCTTAGGTATAAATCTAATTACCATTAAACTACAATTGGCCAATCATAACGTCTAATGCTAACTGATTATACTCAACTGAAGGTGGCAGGATGAAGATGCTCCAGGATGCGCCTAGAAGGCCGACATACGGCATAGGCACTCAAATACGCACAAGTTTACACTGAATTGTCAGTTCACTTTCATATAAGTACAAAATAAAGTCAATTGATTCTTATTTAACTTGTTTTACGTCGGCACGTGGTCGATGCAATTATGCACTCAAAACGGGCCCCGTGCTCATCAAAATGTACAATTATCAATATGTTATTTGCACGTCTTATTTAACAGTCCAATCTAAGATATGCCGCACAAAAAACCATCACAAAAAAGGGCAAAATTACCGAGATGAATCAAACACGCGGCGTATATTTCAAAGGTTCCAACGGCAAGGGCGACAGCCGGGGTCGCCGGCGCATAGATAAGTGAAGTGTCAGTTGTCACTGTCAAGTCAAAATGATATGACACAGACTCTTAGGTTTTTGCGTGCGCATACAATAGTTTGGTTTATAACATTACCCTTAAAGGGTTTAAGTTTATGTAATAGTAGTAGTAATTTTGGGTGATGGAATGTCAGAGGAATTGGTAGCAACTTCTGTAAGCTCTTCGGCTTCTTTAATATGAAATTTAGAATTATTTTTCCTAAATAAACCGTGACATTGACATTTGCCCGATTTGATACATTTAAATGAAAGTATACATAATGAAATAATAATAATAATACTAATAATTATCGTTGTGTAGGAATAATATTCACCGTACAGAATTTTAGGTAAGGTTTTTCAATTATTTTATCTGAATTATTAACAATTTGGCTCGTGGCCTCGTCATGCTCATATGAAATTGAATCGAGTTTTATGTTTTTCAGAGTTAAATTAGGGATACTCTTCTCTTGATTTTGCAAAACATTTAAATCACAACATTTATCATTTAATAAATCGAATGTGGAATTAAAAAATGGAATTTCAATATCTTTTATAGATTTAGGAATGAATATCAAGTCTTTATAATAAGCAATACAATTAAAAGGAAGATTAAAGAATCCAGTACCAAAAATACTTAACTCACTGTCAACAGATTTTTCACAGGAAATAGAAAGCTTAGATTTCTCTGAAATAATATAAATCCACTTATTATTATTTAACCTTTGCCAAATTATAGACATTTTCCTGTAAATCTTTCATTGGATAACATGTATGTGTTATTAAATATATCCGAATTAGCTAGTTTCTATAGTCAGTATAAAATTGTGTTTGTTCTTAAGGTCCCACTTGTGACCTCCAACGAATTTAGTTTATATAACTGTATTTCATTTCCACTTTTAAACGAATTTGAAAATAAAACTTATACAACTATTATTCCATCGACAAAATATATAGACATAACTAGAGATAGATCTTTATATTGTAAGTTAGATAATTTAGATAATTGTAAAACTCTATATAATATGTTTTTTATTTGTAACCTACTTAAGGCGCTCTTTTCCAGAATTTAGGATATTTTGAACCATTATAAAACTAATTAATTATGTCCTCTAATTTAAATGATAAAGTAAGTAAACTACTTTCCAACATATTTAGCATTTCATTAAAATTAGATTTTATAATTAAATTATCGGTTAAAAAGTTAAGTTCCTTATATTATTGGATATGCTTTCAACAGCGCTATTTAATCTTTGTTCATTATTACTAATGTCATCTATAATATTTTTATAAGAAGAAAGAGTAGATTTAGTTATCAAAATATTTTCTTTCATTAATTCCGATAATTTTAATTGATCATTCTCTACTGATTTAATGGCGCTGCTATACATAATTGCATCGTCTTCATTCATAGTTCCAAATAAATGCTTAAATGCGGTGCCTATGCCACCGAACCAGGCTGATCTTTTGGATCTCGGCTCAATGAAATGAGAAATAGATTCAAAGTCTCTAATTATGTCGTAGTATCGAACAGATAATGGTTGTAACATATTATGACATTCGAGCTCAGTGAAAGCGCTACTTTGTTTACATAGATATCGCGAGGTGCCTATCACACCGTTCAAGTTTTCTATGTGAGGTTTAATAAATGAAATATCAGTCGGAATGACTACACTAAGATGTCCGTCTATAATTATTAAGGAACCAATGGGGTCGAAATATATACCAGGATTTTTCCTGACAGGCTGCATGAAGTTTCCTCTTACCAAAATTGCAAAGCTGAAATAGAATATTTAGAAATAATAAAATAGATACCTAAATAAAATTATTTTTATTGGTCGCTATTGCGACGCGCAAGTTTTACTACATCAAAATGATGAGTTACATGACGTCTGTTAATTAAAAGAGTTAATGTATTTCTCCCATTAATTTTAACGACTTTATAGGGTCCTTTCCAAATTGGAGATAATGCTTTACGGAGTCTAAGGTGGCTTTTTAAGAATACGTAATCACCCACTTTGTAGCTAACAGGTTTTGAACGTGAATCGTAATACGTTTTTGACGACTCTTTTGATTTTTGAATATTTTCTACTGCTTTAGCGCGAGTGAATTGGAAACGGTGTTTAAGTATTTGTACATAATCGGAATATGTAGCATCAGAAGAAGAGGGCTCATAAATGGAATTTGGAAGATATGGCTTATTACCAAAGAGAAGTTCGTGAGGAGAATAATTAGTAGTGGAATGTATAGCAGTGTTATACGCTAACATGGCAGTATACACATATCGAGGCCAGTTAGTTTGAGATTCATCTACATAGGATTTTAAATATTCTTTTAAAGTAGAATGGCTCCGTTCTAAGGCGCCTTGTGTCTGAGGGTGATAGGGAGAAGACCACAATTGTTTAATCTTTAAAAAGGAACAGGTTTCTTTGAAGAGTTCAGCTGTAAAATTAGTACCTTGATCAGTTAGGATGGTTTTAGGAATACCAAATTGAGAAATAAAATGAAAGAGACAATCACTAGTTTCTTCGGCAGTTGTACTTCTGATAGGATAAGCGGCGGAAAACTTTGTGAGATCATCTTGGATAGTTAAAATATATTTAAGTTTGGCAGTTCCAGATTCTGGGAGTGGACCAACAATATCTAAAGAGACTCGTTCAAAAGGAACAGTTGAAGTACTTGTAATTTGCATGGGAGCTCTATTCACTTTGCGAAGTGCTTTATTGGTTTGACAGGATAAGCATTCTTTTACATAATTTTCAATGTCGCTACGCATGTTTTTTCAGTAAAATTGTTCACGGATTAAACATTCGATTTGAACCAAGGTGACCTGCTACGGGTATATTATGGTTTTCTTTAAGGATCTTTTTGACTTCACTTGGGTTAGGATAATATATTATTACGATAATATTTTATTACGATAAACATGAATTTCAATTCCTGTGTTATTAAATAAGTATGCTAACATATTATAGATTTTGATGTATATATGTTTATGGAATGGATTTTTAAAATCGGTAATACTAATTTTGTCAATGGGTTCTTCTAGAGATGTAAGGTGATTACGAACAGCTCAGGATGCGGCGTCTCAGAGAATTGAAGTTTTCCAAGTAGTTCAGGAGCAGAGCAGGAATACTCGCGATAGTTATTTTATGAGTTCGATTTTCTTTTATTTTCACCTTTTGACACTTTTGACACTTTTGACACTTTCTCGAAATTAGGAAAATAAGTTATACTATAGATTCATCGAGTCCAAACGGAGACGTACCAGGGATACCTTCACCATCGGTATCCCACCGCTGCCACCAAATTGTTATAGCACTTTCCACTAACTGGTTTTTAAAAAAAGAAAGTAACTTGGAATTACATAAAACAGTTTTATTTAAAAGATTGGACCCGATTTTATTAGGGCAAGTGTCACGCGCGGATGTTGGAATCGAACTGAACTATAATTAATATTTAATAATTATGAACCATCAAAAGTGCTGACCAAGGAGAAGGAATAGGGTTACTAGGCGCTATTATATACATAACATATATATAACAGTGCGTAATTTTGAATAACGGCTATTTCCACTCGATGTTATACCAACAAATACTACATAATATACTATTATAACTATGTATAAAGCTTGAAAAAACCATCTAAAATGTATTATAAATTGCATATTTAACACTTAGAGTAAGATCCCGGTGCCCCCAGACGTTACTTATTTTCTCATAAGAAATATAAATGGGATAAAGTAGTGTTAGTACGTACTTTGTGTGTGTGCATACCTGCTACCTTGGGTCGACGGCCAATTCATAGGTACCAGGTGCTAAAGGTAGATAAATACAGTGCTGATTTTTCTTAAATTCTCAGTGCTGATTTTTACATATGTTTTAGATATTGTTGTTAAAAATTAATAATCATTATTGCCAGACACTTTCCATCGGCGCTTACCCTTACCAGACGCTTTAAAGCTTCAAAAAAATAACATATTCTTACTTATAATCTCACTCTTGATTTTTATGTATGATACTTGGGGAACTATTTGAACACCCCTGGTCAGCAGCCAGACCAATTGGAGGGGTCAAACATCCCCCCAGACACACATAAAGTGTCGCTATGTGTATAAGCGCGAGGTCATTATTTGTACGCTTGAGTGTGAGAGAGATATCTATATATGGATATCTTTCTTATACTTATTGACGTCTCTAGGCTACTCTATTCAGTGCTACTTGATTCAGTGCATCTGTCATTTTATTTACAACGTGTTGAAATAAAAAAAAATATTTATAGTATTCTAAAAAATATAATGGCAGAATTATTAAAGTGTGTGTTTTGTGAGAATTCCGATGTGAATTTAATATTGTTTACGGAAGAAACGTTGAAAAAGTGTCAAACAATATTAAAACATAGAAAGGAACATAACCTAAAATTCTAAAATATTGTTTTGCCAGCTGATTTATATGAAAGTGGTTATCATAGACAATGTTACAAATCGTTCACAGGTTTGATGAAAAAATATTATTCTTCAAATGCTACAAGTACAGAAAAATCTACTCCAAAAGAAAAATCTACTCCAAAAGAAAAATCAATAAATATTGCAGAAAATTCATCAGCAGCATGTTCATCGACATCTGAATTAGATAAATAATGTATTGAGGTACAATCATCTATTCCACAAATTTCGAGTCTATCAACTTCTTCTGTACGTGACACTATTATAATACCTGAGCCAGCTACTATACCTGAGTTAGTCGAACCAGTTCCATCCAATTTACCTGAAAATAATTTACAGCTAGAAAACATTGATCCATCTTGTGAAACTAATACATCAATTGAAAGTTACGTAGGTATTGGTCAAAGCAATATTATCAGTATGTTTTGTGACCAGAAGACTAAAAAGCACCGATCGAAAAGATTACCTCTACATTCGTGTGATAAAAAAGATTTCCTTTCTAAACTAGATGAAGAAAATGAAAATCATAAGGAGTTCATTAATAAATTTGAAAATTATTCGCTTTCAAAAATTTATTATCATCATCCTTGCAAATTAGAGTTTTCTTATAAAACATCAGTAAAAAAAGAAACACCCAAAAGTGATTGGCATGATCTTCGTCAGCATCATCAAACTGCTTTTGAGGAAATATCTGCTTTAATTAATGAAAATATAATAAAAAAAGGACGATGCTATTTTTTGACTTATCTTCATAGATATTACATGGAAATATTAAATGAAAGTGAAGAAGGGAATTCTACAAAAAATAAAGGAAGTTTCACTCCACACAATTTAGAAATCAAGATAATAAAAGCATTTGATAAGCAAATTAAATTCTTTATCATCCAGAATAAAAAATTAGTAGCTCCGAAAAATTTAATTTCTATTGATGACCAATCATTTGAGTATTTGAAGGATGAAGATATTTTACACAAAGCTGCTTTATTATTGCGAAAATCTATTTTGCAAACTGAAAAAAAAAATTGCCACAACTTATAACCGCACAAAACCTTAAAGAAGGTGAAATATCGATACCACAAGATTTATTAGACTTTTATTACACTCTGATAGCCGGTAGCAATCAAAAGCGCAAAAATAATCCAAAATGTATTCGTCAAGTCAAATCTTACTGTGAAGATGTCGTGTATGGTGTTTATAACGGACAAGTCAAAACGTCGAAACATATTGTGCTCGGAATGTCCTTGAAAAGTTTAACAAGTAGTCGCAAAATTATTGATGTAATTCATAGATACGGTCATTGCATTAGTTATCCAGCTGTAGAAGAGCTGGAAACCGAAGCAACATATACTTCAATACAGCAATCAAGTATATGTCCTGAAGCAATTGTAAAATCACCACATCTCTGTACTGGGGATGCTTTTGATAATTTTGATAGGTTTGTGGAAACTAATAGTGGCAAAGATACATTGCACGATACTGTCGGGATCATCTATCAAAATATTGATTTAGATAATCCAGATGAATCCCAATTGATAAGTTTACCCGCTGTTAGCAATGAGACACTTTTAAATTCGAAGACGAGGAGACGAAGAACTTTTGAAGCAGTAATTATGGATGTTCAAGAAGAACCAGTTTCTAAAAGAAAAAAAATTGATATGAATTTGTCGGCTCATGAAAGTGAATATTTGCTACCTGGAAATTTTCAACTATACAAAATGATAGATACAACTTGGATGATTTGTCATGCTCTACAGTTACCAGATGTTCCCATGTGGGTTGGTTTTAATTCTTCATTATTAAGTGATAACGATAACCTACAACAAAGAGTTTCTTATCTAACTCCCATAAATGAATCGCCTACTAACAAATCAGTAGTTTTGGAAACTATGAGACAAAGCCAGAAAATTTGTGAAGAAGTAAAGCAGTCATCAATTCAAGTTACATACGATCTAGCAATAGCAAAAGTTGCTTTGCAATTTCAAGTTACCAATAAGCCAAGTTTTGATAATTTGTTTATACATTTGGGACCGTTCCACATTATGATGGCTTATTTTAAAGCAGTAGGCAAAGTAATCATTGATTGTGGTCTGACTAATATCATGGTACAAAGCAATTTGTTAGCGTCAGGCTCCGTAAGCGGATTTCTTGAAGGGAAACACTTTAACAGGTGTAAGAGGCTTCATCCTTTGATGGCTGTGGGATTAGAAATTTTACATTTCAACTCATTTTTAGAAATGAACAATAAAGTAATTACAGATGACATGGCTGAAGAAATTGCACGACTGAGAACTTCATCATTATCTTCTTTTAAAATACAAAATGAAGAACTTAATGAGTTAATGAATAACTATGACATTTACAAGCAAGTTCGGTAAAACACCGCAGTTTTATTTAATCTATATTAACCTCATCAACTATTATCTAACTTTATCAAGAAGTGTTCGTGCAGGGGATTTTGAACTGTTTAAATTTATACTACCCAAAATTACTAATCTATTTTTTATATGTAATAAGCAAAATTATGCTCGCTGGACATCTAAATATTATGATAATTTGATTAAAGATTCCGAAACTCACCCTGATTTGTTTGAACAATTTCAAAAAGGATTTTTTTGTAAGGGCAATGTCGATAGTTAGGTCGAATAGTAATAGTTTTGTAATAGCAACACCTTAAACAAGGATAGATATAGCAAATAAATGTAATGTTGGAGTGAGATAGCGTTATTGATAATACATATACTTCCAAGATGTCGTTTTTTTTATTAAGCCACCCTATCATGGCGCTGCGACAAATTAATTAAAATAAATAGGAAAAGTTAAAGTTAAAGTAAAAATAAAGTAAATTTTCGATAGAATATATAGTAACAAGTGATGATCAATTAAAAATAATTGAAAAGTATTATCTAAAAACCAGATGTAGCCGGATTGTGAAAAAGCATACGTTTCATGCAAAGTAGCACGCAATACGTTTAATTGCGAGTACCACGTTCAGGTACTATCTGTAGGGTTTTCAGGTATTTTCAGCTACAAATTAACTTAAATAATGGAAGCAATAGAAGAGGAAAAATTTCAAAATTACACGGTGGCACAATTAAAGGAAGAGTTGGTATTACGATATTTGCCAACAAGTGGCCTTAAGCAAGACTTAATTAAACGGATTATACAAGACAACAAGGTAAAAATAGAGAATGGTACATTGGAAGCGTTAAAAGAAGAAAAGTTTAGAAGAGCATCTCAAGTTTTGGAAATGGAGTCCATGAGACAACAAATTCTAGAGTTACAGGCACGGAGCGTTCCTTTTTCAAACCCAGGTACGTCTAGCGATAGTAACAATGCAACCTTAACCGAAGTTTTGACTCAATTGGTACAAACGCAAGAAATAATTGCTCAAAAGATATCCCCTACATTTCAAGTATTCTCAACTAGCGACACAAGCAAAGCTATACCGCTTTTTGGTGGCAATCGTTTTGAAAATGCTTCTGAATGGATAAAACAAGTCGAACGCATCGCTGCTTTAGCTAACTGGTCTGATAATTTGACAATGGTAAATGCATCTATGAGGTTGAAGGGTCAAGCTTATAATTGGAACACAGTTTGTGGTAAAAAAATTGAATCTTGGTCAGTATGGAAGCAACAATTTATTGATAGATTTAAAATAAGAATGTCATTTGCTGAATTCATACAATACCAAAGTAAACGAACACTTCGCTTAACTGAAACCATAACTGAATACATATATGTTAAAAATGCTATGCTTGAAAAATCTCCCAGTATTATTCCAGAGCCAGATCGAGTGTCACTTATTTTAGAAGGAATCCAGGATATGCAGTGGTCAACGCCTTTAGCAACTCATTGTTGTAAAAACGTTGAGGACCTTATTACACATGCAACAGCTATGGACAACATCAGGAAGGTACAGCGTAAGATGACCGAGCATTATGAATCAGTAAGTAAACCATTTGACAGACCTAAAAGTAGTTTCATACCAAAATATAACCCAGGCACAGATAAACTTGAAGAAGTAACTTGTTTTCGATGCAAAAAGAAAGGACATGTTTCATATAATTGTGATATGCAAGCTCAACAACCTCATGTACAGAATCTTAAAGAAAAAGTAGTCACAAAACCACATACTAACCATTTTAATACCCCAAGCACATCGGCGAACACAAAAAATTACCAACAAAAGGAAAAACAAGTTAATTGCATACAGTTTAATGAACCAAGTGTAACTTTAATTCCAGTAACCCTTAACAGTGACATAACATTGACAGCTCTCCCAGATTCAGGATCAGTCATTACATTGGTTGATAAGAAGTTGCTCCCAAGTGATTTGCAAGTATATCCATGGCAAAAAGGCTCATACAAGGCAGCAGGTAATATGATCACACCCTTTGGATGGATTACAGCAAGACTTCAGGTAGGAAAAATTGATTATATTATGCCACAGATAGCAATTTGTGACAACTTACCTGTAGATATGATACTAGGTAAAGACTGGCAACATGCAGTTTATGCAAGAATTATACATGAACCAGATGGCAGGGTATGTATAATTACACCTACACATACAGAGTATTTCACTAATTCAGTACAAGAAGACACTTCAATAGCATGTTGTATGAAAATCCCAGGACCTAACAAACAGGAAATTTCAGTCTCAATGGAAGATCAAGACAAAATTAATAAATTAGTCGATAAATACTCAGATATTTTTAAAAGGGACAGTAATGACATAGGAGAATTTCAAGATGTAGAATTAGAAATCAATTTAAAACACAACATTCCAATAAAATGTAAACCATACAGACTTCCACAGCCAGAACGTGAATTTTTAAGGAAAACAATAGAACAATGGATAGAACAAAAGATATGTAGACATTCAAATTCCCCTTATGCGGCACCAATGTTTGTAGTACAACAGCCATTTCATAGTACAACACCATTTAGACCTGTTGTAGATTATTCTAAAACAATAAACCCAATTACAGAAGAAAATGTACAACCTATAGACAGAATGGAAGACATAATACTCATAATTTCACAATTTATTTACAAATTTAAACTTGATATTTATCATGCCTACCACAATATTAAAATCAGAGAGGAAGATATTTACAAAACAGCTGTTATCACACAGGATCATCATATAGAATTTATGCGAGTAATGTTTGGCATGGTCGGAGGTCCAGCAATTATGTCGAAAGTTATTAACTTAACATATGGACACTTGTATAATGAAGGAGTGCGATTATATTATGATGACATTTCAGGAGGAGCTAATAGCATTGAGCAATTGTTGACAATTTTGGAAAAGGTATTTATTGCCACACGTGAAAAGAAATTAAAACTAAACAAAGAAAAATGTGTATTTATAGCGACAGAACTACCACTTTTTGGAAGAATAGTTGGTTACAATGAAGAAAAACCAGACCCGCAAAGAACAGCTGCAGTTAACAAGTATGACACTTTGAAATCATTATCAGAAATTAGATCATTTTTAGGATTTGCAAATACTTTCAGAAAATATATTCAAAATTATGCATCTATAGTAAAACCACTATCTGAAATTTTGAAACAAACCTCAAAGATGACCATAGAAAAAAAACAGGATCTAAAGAAAAATAAATTGATATTGACAGATAAACAACAAGAAGCTTTTCAATTAGTAAAATCACTTATAACATCTTCACCAATATTAGCATACTTTCAGCAGAATGCAGAGGAAACTATTGTTGAAACTGACAGTTCTTATAGCGGAATTGGAGCGTGTTTGTTACAAATACAAAATGGTCAGAAAAAAGTTATAGAATATGCAAGCCGTTCACTAAAGGACACAGAGACAAGGTATCATATTAATGAACTCGAAGTAACAGCAGTGCACTGGGCTATCACACAAAAATTCAGAATATATTTACTAGGCACTAAGTTCACACTTGTCACAGACAGCTATACTACAGCATATGTCATAAATAAATCAAAAATGAACAGAAAATTCGCAAGATATGTAGTAGACCTAGCACCATTTGACTTCACACCAGTGCACAGACCGGGTAAACAAAATTGTATTGCAGATCATTTGTCAAGATATCCTTTAGAAGAACTATGTATGATGATAATATCAAGTAATGAAGAAAAATTAAAACAAGCTCAAAGTAAAGACAATTTCATTAAAGTTATATGTACAAAATTAAGTCAAAAGCCAACAACAAATCACTTAAAACAAATAAGACAAACATACAAGTTAGAAAATGGTATTTTATTACATGTCGACAATCAAGAGCTTTTCAACAAGGAGAAAGTTGTAATACCACAAAGTTTAAGATCTTCAATATTAAAATTAGCACACGATGAAAGTGGACATTTGGACATGAAATCAACCTTATCACGGATTAAACAAAAGTATTGGTGGAAATCCATGCACAAAGATGTTAAAAATTACACAAAAGCCTGTCTAATATGTGCAAGTACAAATAGAAGAACAAAATTTGCATATGGATTAATGGGAAACAGACCGATACCAAACACACCATTTGAGGTTATATCAGCTGATCATATAGTTGCATTACCACAGACCACTTCAGGAAACTTATACATGTTGGTACATATAGATCATGCGACTAGATATATAATGGCTAAACCTACAAGTTCTTTATCAACAACAGATGTTATAGATACCATAGAAAAGGATATTATATATGTATATGGTCCACCTTTGACATACATTTCAGACAAAGCACCATGCTTTATGAGTCAAGTAATGCAAAAGTTTTTCACAAAATATGGAATACAACATCTACCGACAACACCATATACTGCTCAGAGCAATGGTTTGATAGAAAGGGCAAATGCTACCATCATTGCAATTTTAACTAAAGTGGCATTAGAAAACAGTACAGAGTGGGATAAGTTATTACCAAATACATTGTTAGCCATCAACACATCAAGACAAAAGACCACAAGTTATTCACCATTCTACTTGTTACATGGATATCACCCCAGAATTCCACCAAATGAAATTCATATTGGAACCATTCAGGAAAACATGGACCGGACACACCAGTTAGATTTATTAGAAAAGGCGAGACAAGAGGCTATCATTAGAATACAGGATCAACATAGCAAAAGTAAAGTAAAATATGACCAAAAGAAATTACAACATAATTTTGAAGAAGGAGAATATGTTTTATATGCATGGCCCCAACCACAAGACCATAAGTTGACACCAAAATACAAGGGACCATACAAAATTATTAATAAGATAGGATCAGTTTGTTATGAAATTCAGAATACAAAGAAACCAACACAGAAGAAAGTAGTACATGTTCAATATTTAAAACCTTTATCCCCACCTCCAGTCCTAGATTCTTTTTCAGCTTTTTCAGCAATACACAATGATGACCAATATAATGATGACAACAGCAATAATGACAACTCCCTTGGTATACAAATGAAGGAGGAAGATCAGCTCACGGATATGACACACACACCAGAATATTATGAGGGTACCAGCCAACCAGTACACAAAAGGCAGTATGTTACTAGGAGAGGACGCATCACCGAGAAACCATTCAAGTATGGTATATAACCGGATTTGACTGTATAGATATATGTATTTCTTTTATATTTCATGATAGTATACAATCTATGTACCGAAGAGTCTTAGATATCATTATTTTTCTTCTTTGCAATCAAAGTTTATTCAGTAACATAACATAATTAATAGCAAATTTTTTTTTAACAGTATCTTAATGTTTTCAAACTAAATAGTAATAAGTAATAACTCAGCATAAAGAATGTAAAAAAAAAAGAGTAGGTAAGTAAATTGAAGTTAAATATACTTGTAGTAAATTGAAGTTTAATATAATTATAATAAGTAAGTTAAATATACTTGTAACTTAATATTTTTATTACAAAATTAAAAAAAAAAGAGCATAAAAATATAACAATAAAAACAAAAAAATAGCATAAAATTTTCAATAAATAACAAAAATATATTAACATGTATATAAACAAAGGAAGTTAAAGTTGATTTTATTTTGTTATTAGTTGTATTAGAAGTTAAGTTTGAATAACAATGTAAATAGATTCTATAGGTAAGATATAAAAAAAAAAGAAAAATTATATTATTATTTTTTATTATATAAATGTTAAGCAATGCATGAGCATTAGATTTAAAGATCAGTTGTAGACATCGCTTATAGTTTAAGACCAGACAAATTAAAATCTAAATGTAGATATTGAGTACAGACATAACAATATCAGTTGATTTGTATACATGTAACAGTGACAAATATAGAAAGTTTATTCATAAAAAACATTGTAAGTAATTAAAGTTGTTATTAGTTCAGTTTCAGGCCTGCCCAATAGAAAAAAAAAAAGTAAATTATAAAGTTGCGAAATTAATTGTTGTTTTTAAAGTAAATTTTAATAAGAGTTTGTTAAATTGATTAAAGTTGTTTGAAGTAACGGCATGTAAGGAAGATGTGAAATTAAAATGTAAATGAATAAATATTAATTTAAATTTGAATTTCAAAGGGCATGTAAGGGCAATGTCGATAGTTAGGTCGAATAGTAATAGTTTTGTAATAGCAACACCTTAAACAAGGATAGATATAGCAAATAAATGTAATGTTGGAGTGAGATAGCGTTATTGATAATACATATACTTCCAAGATGTCGTTTTTTTTATTAAGCCACCCTATCATTTTAGCATTCAAAGAACTAATAAACTCTTTTCAAAACAACCAATTGACTTAGTTCTCGAACAGACGATCAACGCAGATGCAGCCAGGAGACTGACAGGTATAATTCAATTCACCAATTCTATCTCAGCACGTCAACGATGGGCTGTCAGCCATGATATAAGATCAACAATTATTAGTCATATGTATAAAGAGTTGGATATGCAAACAGAACAAGATGTAACAGCTGAATTAACTAATCACAATATTAAAAATAATAGCAAGCGATTGCAAACATTCATTGATACCTTTGCTCAATTTATCAATCCATTTGACGCTAAAGTACCTCAAAATCTGTTAATAAATATTTCATCTGGTAAAGCAGCCTCAGAACCTGTTGAACAATTCCTACTTAACATTGAAAGAAATGGTGAGATTGAACGTAAAAAATTTATCGCAGAATGTGAGCAAGATGGTAGTAGGTCTGAGAGAAGCATTAAAAAAACAACGATGAACAACTTTTCTGTAGATTATGAGAAAAAATAAGTAACGAAAGTCGGTGAAAAATTGCAGGAATTACGAATTCAGAGGGATGTATTTGGGCGTATAATCGGTATATCGATTGATCACAAAGTCGATTTAGCCAAAATATTTTCGTATCCCATAACTCCAGTTCCATTGTCAATGTGCCATCTTGATGGTGGCATTTGTAAGACTCAAAAATCAATTTTAATGAAATGTTTAGAAAATGGTGTTGAACATGATCCACCATCTCACATAGATATTATACTAATTGATGGATTTTACTTACTTCATAGTATGAAAAATGTCCCTAAAACATTTGGGAGTATCTCCAAAAAAATGTTACAAATGGTCACACAATTACCAGCGTCAAGATTCGATGTCATTTTTGATCAGTATTTTTCACCTTCTATAAAAGATTACGAAAGATCACTTCGAAATGAATCGACACAACTTGAGCTTAGCATCAGTGGACCTGATCAAGTTCGACCGTCTGATTTCGCGAAAGAATTGAAAAATATACGCTTCAAATAGGCTCTCATTGACTTCTTTATACGCCACTGGTCTACAGACGAGATAGTACCATTTATTGGCAACAAAAACATTGTTGTTAATTTCAAGAATTGTCACTCTTTTTCCGTCATAAATAATGCAGTAGTATCTTCTATTGATGAAAATTTAAGTTGCCCTGAACATGAGGAAGCTGACACTAAGATTATCCACCATATCTGCAATTTTGTTGATCAAGCTAATTTTGTTATTCAGTGTTCTGACACCGATATTGCAGTAATTATGCTGGGCAATATGCATCATTTAAAAAATGATGACTCCCATGTGTGGATATTGACTGGCACTGGAAATAAAGTTAGATACATTGATATCACTGAGATTTATAAACATTTAGGACCTACATTAAGCCGTTGCTTGCCAGGATTTTACGCAATAACTGGTTGTGATTACAATCCAGCTTTTTTTAGAAAAGGCAAGCAAAGGCCATTTAATGTATTGAAAAAAAAAGTAGAGTACCAGATAGCATTTATGAAACTCGGCGATGTAGACTTATTCAGTGACTTAGAACTGGAGCAAAATGTGTTCAACACTATACAAAAAATTATTTGTGAACTGTACAACGTGGCCGGAATAATTGACGTAGATGCTGCCCGACTCCAACTCTTCATCAACACTTATATGGTTTGTGACGTAAATGAAGAGTTCAATCGTAAAAATGTGAAAAACTTTGATGCTAGTAACTTACCACCATGCAAAAGTGAGCTTTCACAGCAGTTTCGACGAGCTAATTATATCACTAGTCTCTGGAAGAATGCTCATATGAAGAAAATTAGTATTTTTAGTCCTGACAATAATGGGTGGACGTTGAAAGATAATAAATATCATTTTAACTGGTTCGATGGGGACCAATTACCGAGCTTTGTCATTGAATCGCTTCAAGAAGAATCAGGTATTATACTTTAAATTTGAATAATTGATATAACCGTATAACTCTTTGATTCTTAATTATGTTATTTTTGTTACAGAAAATGAAAGTAATATGGATGATAATGAAGATAGTCAATGCCAACATTGGGTTGAACTTATCAAACTTAGACGATGATGACAGTAAAGATCACGCTGAATGTTCAAACTACAAATAATCCGAAAGAAGAAAGACATGTATAGCTTTGTATAATTTTAAGATTTAATAAACATGATTTTTTTAAATAGTAGTATTCAATTTAACTCGATGATAAGATGTAAAACATAGGTTAAAGAAACTTATATTTATTATTTATAAAATTTTCTCCACCCAGATCACTTTAAAATACCTTGTAATCTTCAGGTTCGATTCCATTTTGTATGTAACGAATCTTTAATCTCTCTTGATTATATCGAACAGAGCAGAATTTTAGCGACACTTTATGTGTGTCTGGGGGGATGTTTGACCCCTCCAATCGGTCTGGCTGCTGACCAGGGGTATTCAAATAGTTCCCCAAGTATCATACATAAAAATCAAGAGTGAGATTATAAGTAAGAATATGTTATTTTTATTTGAAGCTTTAAAGCGTCTGGTAAGGGTAAGCGCCGATGGAAAGTGTCTGGCAATAATGATTATTAATTTTTAACAACAATATCTAAAACATATGTAAAAATCAGCACTGAGAATTTAAGAAAAATCAGTACTGTATTTATCTACCTTTAGCACCTGGTACCTATGAATTGGCCGTCGACCCAAGGTAGCAGGTATGCACACACACAAAGTACGTACTAACACTACTTTATCCCATTTATATTTCTTATGAGAAAATAAGTAACGTCTGGGGGCACCGGGATCTTGGACTAACTCGATTTAACTAACTTGGCCATTGCTAGGGCCCGTGAAAATTGCACTCTAGAATAATTTCTAAATGTATTAATTTATAGCAAAATTTCAACCCCGTAAGCACCGGGGCCTAGTTTCTATGGGGATTGGAAAGGAGAAATCCTTTGATGTTAGTGTACCACAAAAGTAGTTATCTTCAGTTTCAGGATCCAAATGCAGAGATAGACATTTTTGTTGGTGTTTTTATTACTGGACCGACACACTTTTGCAAAGTGGTTAGTTTTTGGACACTTTACACACGTTTTACCAAAGGCTGGACATGGGCATAATTAAGACTATAACCTTTACTGAATTATTATACTTAGAATTGTAAATTTCTTTACTATATTTAACTTGTTGATCTTTACTATATTTATTTGTGTGAGATGACACTGAATCAATTTTATCATAAGCCTGAGAAAAGTTTTAAATTTCCTTTACATGGCTGTTTGTAATTTCCGTTGTTCGTAATGAAGAAATAACATTTTCTAATGGGGTGTCTCTATTTTTAATTAATTTTTCTTGACTATCCTTATCGATAGTTCCAAACACCAATCTGTCTCTTATCATTTCTTCTTAGCATTCTCCTTTGAAAACGCATTGAGAGGTCTTCGCTTTTACATCTGTCAAGAAATTGTCAAAGGATTAACCATTTTAGTAGTGGTGAATTGAGCGAGCTGGATCAAAGAAGATCCATCTCTCTCAATTCACGTTTTCAAAAACTTAGAAAAGTCTGTTTTTCATATTTTACTTCTCAAAACTTTTAAAATCAGTTTTTCAACATATTATTTCAAAAACTTTTAAAAGTCTATTTTTCGTATTTTACTTCTCAAAGTTGTGAAATCGGTTTTCAACATATTTTCAAATTTGACTAATTGTTAATTTTAATTATTACTTTTAAAATTTGAAGTCCTAGGACGGTTGAAATCTGTATTTTATCTGTATATTGTTAATATTATTGATACGTTCAAACTGCTTCATTCCAAAATATTATTGATCTGTTCAAACTGTTTCATTCCAAAATATTATTGACCTGTTCTAACTGCTTCATTCCAAAATATTATTGATCTGTTCAAACTGCTTCATCCCAAAATTTTTTTTTTTTCATGTATCGGTGTTGATTGTTTATTTAATAAATGAGTTGGTTTTTGCAAAATTCTCCAACTGTGGACTCACGAGCATCTTTGATCTTATCTCTTTGGCGCTTTATGGCTCTCTGTACCACACCTGGAATTCTGAATCCTCCAGCCTTTAAAATTGCAAACCAAGTTTTGGGATCTCGACCTTGAGTCTCTAACCATAATCGGTCTTCTGGAGTGAGTTTATCATCTCCCCCTTCACCATCTTCTCCTACCTCTATATCTGCTCCATAATCCAGATGTTACGGAATGAGGGCTTCCTTTTCTTCCTCTCCACTTTAGTTAAGCCCTCCTCGTCAGGTTGGATCTTCGTGGAACCCGTCGAAGGCACCTGTTTGGCAGCTGGTTTGCTCTGGCTCTACTTTTTCCCTCCATTCGAGGGCCGCTTGTTTGGCGGGGCGGGTGTAGCGGTGGGGGCAGGTGCGGCTGCGGCTGCGGCGTATGCACGCGGCGGGGTCATGACCGCACTCACTCACGATTCACGCACCTCAGCAGTAATCGGAGGCGACGACAAACTGCTGATGGAGTCAATTTGTGCGCCGCGACGTGTGTTTACGTTAGTGACCTCCGGTGACCTACTTACAGAACCATTATTTTTGAACGATAATAATTCTGCGCGCAGCTCACTGATGGTAGATTCGGAAATCTCTAACTTAAACTGCACCTCTGCCAGGCCAGCTTTCAGGATGGTGATATCCTTGAGCAGCCTGGTAACGTCAACGTGGTCGAACGTGACGGGAGGCAGCTTGTTCAGCTGCTTCGCCACGAAGGCGGGCACGTCGTCAGGATCGGTTATCTTCAGGAGATTAATGATGTCCTGAAGACTTCTCTCCCCCTTTTCATTCCTTCTACGGGTGGGCATTCGGTCGGCCTGGCCGAGAGTCTCATAGAGCAGCACCTTGCTCCTGCAAATCTCCTCTTCTTTAAAGCTCGACTTGCAGATCTGCATGATGCTGACCTCATCCATAGTGTCGATGGCGTGCTGTATAAACGCCAACAGCTCGTTAGCTATGAGTTTTTCGGAACTCATAGCGGCGGTATCCGGCAGCGGCTAAGCCGCGCAGTACGCGAATCAAAATTCGGGTCAGAGTGTGCAAGCAATACGCGTCCGTTACCTAGCGCGCATTACTGACGACTGATTTAAACAGTGTTGCCACAGTTAGTTTTGTAAATTCCCCGCGTCACGTTGAAAAATTCCTCTTTTTATTGCAAAATTCCCCTCGAAGTTCATGATGTAGGAAAAAAAGAATAAAAATGTTTTATTAATGAAAACTTTATTCCAAAAACTAAAACAAATACATCACTTTTTGTATAGGTTCGCTTTGAGCATATTTATTGTCGGCTCAAATTTTACACAATCTTTTATTTGGTCTTTAGTTTGCATTAGGGCAACTATCGTGCTTGTTTTTAGTTTATTTCTATGATCATTTTTAATATTTTTGAGAGAACTAAATACACGTTCCACGGATGCATTCGAGAAAGGTAAAACTAACAAGGCATTTAAAATGCCTTTTAAATTTGGAAACAAACTTTGACCAAGGGCATTTTTTAAGTGGAAAACTTTACGCCAATACTCCTCAGCACCATCTGAAGGATGCAAGTCGTAGCTTTCATGATCAAGTAGAGCATGTTCTCGCCATTCATCGTCAACTTCTTGCATGTTGTAATAATCGTACAATACTGGAAATCTTACAAAGATTGGCTTCAAAGATTTAAAAGTGAAACTTTGAGCAACAGAAGGATTTACCAAGTCAATAAAATTAAAAAGACTGTCCTTAAAGTCAAACCTCTGTAGGATTTGTTTAGCCAACTCCACATAAAAGCTGCGACAAGTTATCAAAAACATATTGACATCAGTTTCAGGAACCTGTGAGTTATTTTTTAACTTTTGTAAGCTTTCGGTAGCTAATACACCTAGATACACTCTGTCCAATCTGTCATATTTGGATTCATCATCAAACTCAATTTTCATTATATCAGTACAAGACTTCACATAAGAAAATGTGATGTAATTGCTACACACAGTTTTCAACAGATTTTCGACTGAAGATTTCATTTTATATAGCAGTGGTGTTTCTGACTGAAACAATAAATTGAATTGAGTCAGCAAACCTAAAGTATAAGACATGAATTCTAAATAAATAACCGTGAACTCATTATCCATTGTAGCCACCATTTCTTCGGTTGTTTTAGAGGGATCCTCGAAAACAGCTAGTCTTAAATATTCTCTCAGGGGAGTATACTGTTGTAACACACGATCTACGCAGTTTTTCACAGACAGCCAGCGTGTTGTAGCTACGTTCAAAATTTTGTGTAAATCACATTGAAAAAAAGCTTGAAACTCTGCGAATTTTTCTTGTCTAAAAGAGCTGCGGCTGAAGTGCGACCCCAAGTTTCTTATAAGATCTTCGACAGATCGTGGGAGTTTTAAGCATGCTTTAGATGCTGCTAAATGTATTAAATGGCAGGAACATTTGATGCACGCTATGCTAGGTAATGCGGCTTTCAAATGAGAAAACACTGAGTTGTGCTCTCCAATCATTACGTTCGTAGTATCTGAACAGAAGCCTATGAGATTCGATAATGGTATTTGTTTTGATTCTATCACATTTGTTAAATACTTCACTAAAGATATGGCATCTCCGGATTTGACCTCTATCATATCAAAAAAATGGGTCTCAACTTTGTTACTTTCAACATTAAAATAAATAACTGTGAACGCAAGCTGTTTAATAGTACTACAGTCTGTAGTTTCATCCATAATTATGGAGAAGAAAGCGCCAGGAACTCTAAGTGCATCAAACACAATATTAGCCAAGTTGTTGCCTAAAGCATTTTTTATACAATGAGAGGCTTTAGTTCGTCGTACTGCCAATTTGCTTACGATCTCAGAGTCTGTGAAAATGTCTTTAGCTAAAGGGATAACAGTGTCCATCAACGAGAACGGTAAGTTATTTGTAGCAAGCATTGCACAAAGCTTTAATTCTGCACGACGTACTTTAACGTCTACAGATGATTCCCGCACTAAATCGTCAATTTTTTTTGATCCCGATACTTGTTTAGAAATTCGAAGATGTTTTTTTGAATTCAGGTGGCGTATTAAGTCACTTTTGTGTGCGATTACAGTCATATTACAAATTCTGCAAAATGCTAGTTCGTGACCATCTCTAATTTCATTGTGTTTCGTTAACCATCCCTTGAATTCAGGCCGAGTAGTCCAAGAATCTAGAAATTTATTAAATCGTTTCTTTTTTTCGATAGGTTCTTCACGAGTGCTTGATGTCATCTGTGCAGATGTAGAAGGAATTTGCTCAGAGTTGTTTGCCACTTCTTGAACAGAACTGGAAGTACTTGGTGAATTTCCGTCATCTATGGCACTGGCTATCTCCTAAAAATGGATATAATTTAAAATATCGTTAGTCTTGATATGCACAAAATATTGCGTTTAGGCTTTCAGAAATACCCGACAATAGGGAAAATAGTTATACTGTTGCAACATTGATTATGAAAAAACATCGAAAGCAAAAAAACAATACAAAAACGTTTCTCCGCTTTTCGCTACGTTAAAATTATAAAATATCTCTGTGACAAATACGCAAGTAGCGTGATGCCAAAATGAAGAGAAAAAAAGCAAAACAAATTTAAAAACTCGAACTACATATTTAGGTATTTAGAGGTTAGGAATGTGAATAGCCCCAAATAGTCTAGTCAGTAGGATAGAACACTACGTTAATGGCCCAAGGAATTAGTAAAGACGTGCAGTTTAAACTTATTCATTCTATGAAATGCCCAAAAATGTCTCGTATTGTAGTAATGATTTAACTAGTTATACAATAGTAAAAACACTTTAGAAATGCCTACTTATCAATTTCGAAATAATTTTATAATAGTGAGTAAATATATACCTTTTCTCGAGATCTTTTGGTTAGTTTACTGATGAATTTATCCATCGTAACTTAGCAAAACTTTTTACAAGAAAAATAAACACTCTGACCACAGAACAATATTTACTCTGACTGACTGACGTCTGACTCTGTGCCACAGTGCCATCTCTGTGCAACGAAACTAACCAACACGTAAAGACGCAGGACGCAGCCAACAAGTCTAGCCATAGACCTTATTTTTTAGTTTCTTTTTATCAACTAAGGGGACAGGCAAAAGAATCATAGCCCATCCAGCCTTATTAGATGTACATACAAGTATAAATTATATATTTATTGCATTTGGAGTATTGAATTCCCCTTTTATTCTTATAACCCTTTTTTGCCCCTCACATACGTGAAATTCCCCCCAAAAAGGGGAATTCCCCCCAGATCGGCAACGCAGGATTTAAATCAACCTCTAAAATATAGCCATATTCCGATCATCTGTTATATTTAATAGATTAAAATTCGTTTTCTCATCTTCAGATAGTAAACGGAACTCAGAAATAGGCAGCTTTTTCATCATAGCAAATCCATATAAATTATTGGCATCAAGATAAATTAGGTATTTAGAAGTTTCTGAGTTATCATAATTCGGTAGATACTTATTGAATATTTGTAAGAATGTGGCAACATTAATATTTTAATTATTATAGTTTGGTAATTGAATTTTTTTGTATGGCAACATTCTCTCTCTGTGTACGCCGGTCAAGGCAATCATCCATGTTTCTGTATCGTCTAAAAGGAGAAAAATAAAACAACGCAATTAATCCAACATTACACCTTTTATTTCAATCCATCCGCTGCTAATATACCTGAAAAGGTTATGGGCCCAGTCTCCCGGAGCGAAAAATAGGCGTATTGTATTGCGGTGCAGCTGTGGTAAAACGGCGGCGTGGTACTGCGGTCAAGCAGTCACGTTCGGTGCAAAAATGGACGGCGAGGGCGATATCTTTGGGGCGAACAATCGCTTCTTACTAGAAAATGCCAGTAACTGGCATACATGGAAATTCCAAGTAAAAGTCATACTAAAGGCGGTGAATGCCTATGACTTGGTGGACGGCTTATTAAAATGCCCAGAAAATGACGACACAAAGTTAGCCACGTGGAAGAGACTAGATGCGAAGGCTCAAGCAGTCATCGTAGGCAGACTAGATAGCACAGCTATGCTGCATGTACAGAATTGTGAAACAGCCAAAGAGATATGGGACAAATTAAATACAATTTATGAACAAAAATCTGATGTGTCACTCTACATATTGCAGCAGCGTTTCTTTGAAGAAAAATACAACGGTTCAGAAGATGTATCAACATTCATAGCCAAAATAGAAGCAATCGTGACACAAGTAAGGCAAGCAAAAGGTGAGATTGCTGAAAACATGATTGTTACAAAAATTATAAGTTCGCTAAGTGAAAACTTTCGACACTTTGTCTCTGCATGGGACTCCGTTCCAATAGAGAAGCGAACCCTGTCTGAGTTGACAGCCAGGCTCATTATAGAAGAGCAAAGAAACAAAATGTACCAAGAGAGTGGAAGCAGTAGTTCCACAGCATTCAAGACTGACACAAAAACAAGAAAGTGCTTTATCTGCGGTAAAGTGGGGCATTATAAAAAGACTGTAAAGCTAAAAAGGTTGAAAACAGCTACAAGTCTGAAAACATTCCAAATGTTGGTTCAACAAGGACAAAAAACAAGAAAATATAAATAATAAACAAAACGCGTTTGTCATGTCAGCGTGTGGACTTGCGTCAAAAAGTATAAACAATCAGTGGTTCTTAGATAGTGGTGCTTACGAACATATGTGCTCTACAGTAGACAATTTTATAAATTATAAAAAGTTGTTAGTGCCTAAAGACGTTGTTATTGGGGATGGGACAATAATAAAAGCATTAGGTTATGGTGACATTGACCTTGAAGCATATGATGGTCAACAATGGATCAAAACATTAATAAGCAATGTTTTGTATGTGCCGAGCATCAAGGTAAACCTATTTTCCATGAGTGCTGCTCTGGATAAAGGCTACAAGCTGGAATCAACTGCTACTGAGTGCCAGTTTATAAAAAACAATAGTGTCTATGCTATAGCGAAGAGACATGGTAAAATGTACACAATGTTATTCAAAAAGCCCGATGCTTGTGCCATGGTTGGAAAAGTGATGTCAAATTTAAGGGAATGGCATACTAAACTAGCTCACCAAGACATTAACCAAGTGAAAAGCATCTTGATGAAACAGAATATAAAGTTTAAAAATAGTAAAGAAGAAACCTGTTTGCCACGTTTGAAAGGAAAACAACATAAGTTTCCCTTCCCATTGAGTACCCATAGAGCAACAAAACCAGGAGAGGTTATCCATATAGATATTGGAGGTCCAATAGAAGAAACTTCACTAGGAGGGGCAAAGTTCTTTTTACTCATTAAGTATGATTATTCCAAATATAGAAAGGTGTATTTTCTGAAGAACAAAAGTCAGTCTATAGAATATTTAAAACAGTATTTGAAAGAAGTGCAAGTGAACCCCGGTCATACAGTGAAATATTTAAGAAGGATAATGCAAAAGAATTTATCAGTAAAGAAATGGAGAACTTGCTAAATTCATATGGAATACAACACCAACAAAGTGTAGCCTACACTCCACAACAAAATGGTTGTGTAGAGCGTGAGATGAGAACAGTGGTTGAGTCAGCACGAACTATGCTTCTAGAGAGCGGCCTTAACAAGAATCTGTGGGCTGAAGCAATCAATACCGCTGTCTATGTCATTAACAGAACTGGTCCAAGTCGCGTGAAGGATGTAACTCCATATGAACTTTGGTGGAATAAAGATTTTGATGTAAATAATCTACAAGTCTTCGGTAGTCAAGTATCTGTGTACATATTCCGGATCAGAAACGGTTAAAATTTGATAGCAAAGCAGAATTAGGCTATTTCATTGGATATGGAGAAAATACAAAAGGATACAGTATATACTTTCCTGAAAGAAACATAGTAGACATTAAGAGAGATGTAATATTTATAAAAAAGTCTGAAGAATACAAAGAAAGAGACAGAGGACAAGAAAAAGAAAATTACATTGATTTTGACACTCAAGAAGACACAGAACAAGTATTAGAACTAGAACAAAGCCAGTATGAAGATATTGAGGACCCTGAAACAATAGAAAGTGAAAAAGAAGTGAACTCAATTCATTCCTTTCATGAGGAGTAGGAGCAATATTAGAGGAAGAGATAGAAGAAGAACAGGAAACTTCACAACAGACAGAAGAGGTAACCGAAAGACCTAGAAGGGCGAGGAAAAAGCCAAGCTGGTTTAAAGACTGTGAACAAGGAGATGAAAATATGTTCCTGAGTTACAGCTGTGATGAACCTATTTCCTACCAACAATCTATGAAGAGACCCGATAAAAGAAAATGGGAAGAAGCCATAAATAAAGAATTGCAAACACTGGAGGAAAATAATACATGGGAAGAGGTGGCAGAAGTTCCTGACGGAGAAAACATAGTAAGTAGCAAGTGGGTATTTAAAGTCAAGGAGGTAGAAGGAAAAGCTTTGTATAAAGCTCGCTTAATGGCCCGAGGATTCGAGCAGAAAAACTGTGATGACCAGACATACTCACCTGTTGCTAAATTAACTACTTTGAAAGCCATGATGGCTGTAGCTACCCAGAAAAGACAACCAATGTATCAGATGGACGTTACTGGGGCATTTCTTTATGGTGACATAAATGAGACAGTTTTATGAGATTACCAGACAATAAGGTATGTAAATTAAAAAGGTCAATCTATGGTCTAAAAATCACCTAAATATTGGAACACAAAATTTAATAGTTTTATGACAAAAGAAAGTTTTCTAAGATCAAAGAATGACCCTTGTTTATATGTTAAACATATTGGAAATGATTTTATTTATGTGCTATTATTTGTGGATGACTTGTTGTATTTTGGTAATAATAAAAACCAAGTAAATGACTTTAAAAATTCAATATGTAAAAACTTTAAAATGAAAGATTTGGGTCTGGCCAGTAATTATTTGGGAATAAATATTAAACAGGATCTTAGAAATAATGTAACTGTAATTAATCAGAAAAAGTATTTATTAAAGTTGTTGGATTTATATCAAATGTCAAATTGTAAATCTGTATGTACTCCAATGGAACATAACTTTAATTTTGAATTATTACAGAGAGATAAAAGTGAAAGTATTGAAATAGAAAAAACCTGTAGAAGTTTAGTAGGCAGTCTTTTAAGTACCCATCGTTGCGCGAGCGCAACATTTCTAAATTATTTTTTTTTTTTGTTTTTAAAATAAGTAAATAAATCTATGACATGTAAGCCAGTCTCGAGAAGAAAAACTAAGAGATGGATTAAAAAATTTTAAAATGGTTTTTTAAATAATAATACATATTATTTTTATTTATCAATAACTGCTAATTGAGTCATCTCAAGATCGACAGATTCATTCAATCATAAAAAATATTAACTGAAATAAAGCTATACTTTTTACACTTTGTAAAGCTTTAACAATATCTTATTTATTGTATAAACCCTTATGTTGGACAAAACTACTTACACGTGCTGTTTATCTTAGAGTTTTAGAAAGCGTTGCATATGCGCAACGTTGGGAGAAATAATGATCAATTGTTATTGTTACCCAGCTTGCCATTGATGTTAGAAATTTATCATAAACAATGGATCCTCGGTATTCAAAGAGTACAAGCACTTTTGTTTTATTAGTTAGTCGGCTATAGAACGTCAAGCTAACCGTGTCACAGTAAATCTTAAAAAACGATAAGTGAGTGTACACAAATCAGTGAATAAAAAGTTGAAATATTATGGCTTGGCAACGAGCATTATCTTCTCAAGAAATACTGAGTATATTAGAAGAGGAAAAGGATTTAGAAGATGCCAATCAAATCGATGCCGTGTACATCCCCCCGACGGTTGACAATCTTACAGACGAGGAAGACCTAGATGATGACGCGCTAGGTGATTACGAAAATACTGTGCCCACTGATATCGCTGGAACGTATGAAATCCACACCGATTTACCCGCAGAGCCTGAAAATACGCAAGGTGAGCCCGGTCCTTCAACTTCGAAAAAGCCAAGACTGCCGAAGAAGTCACCAAAATATGTTCCAGACTGGAAAAAAGAACATCCAATTTATACACATTTTCCTACAAGTGACGAAACAGCAATGACACAGAATATTGAAGAACGTGTAGGTGGAAAAACACCTTTTGAAGTATTTTCCTTATTTTTTAGTGATGAAGTTTGGGAACAGATTGTAGGTTTTTCAAAAAAATATGCGTGTGACCATAACCGTCATTTATTTACCCTCACGGTAGCAGAACTCAAAAGATTTTTTGGTATATTATTATTGACTGGATATCATTCTTTGCCTGCTGCGAAGTTATACTGGTCAAAAGATGAAGACAAAAATGTATCAATTGTAAGAAATTGTATGAGTCGTAACAAATTCGACTCTATAAAGGAAAATATTCATTTATGTGATAATACTGATCTGCATCAAAATGATAAATTCGCTAAATTGCGTCCTATTTTCAATATAATAAACCAAAAAAATATGCAGTTCGGAATATTTTCACACAACTTGTCAATTGACGAAGAAATGGTGCCGTATTTTGGACGTCATGGTTGCAAGATGTTCAACAAAGGAAAGCCTGTAAGATTTGGATTCAAGTTATGGTGCTTATGTAGTTCAAATGGTTATCTGTACCAGTTTATTCCATATGGCGGAAAGAATAGTAATGTTACTAGAAATGATTTAGGTCTGGGAGAAAATATTGTTTTAGACCTATTGTCCGTTATTGAAGACCCACGCAAACATCGCATTTTTTTTGATAATTTCTTTTCTTCACATAAATTGTTTTGTATTTTGAAAGAGAAAGGCTATTTTGCCACTGGTACTATTAGAGAAAATAGAACAATGAATAAAAACTTGATAAATACGAAAAGTCTTCAGAAAAAAGAGAGAGGGTCATTTGACTATAACTTTGAACAAAAATATGAAGTACTGTTGGTTCGATGGAATGACAATTCTGTGGTGAATGTGGCTACTAACAACGCAAAAATCGAACCATTGGTTACAGCAAAACGTTACGATAGAAAGATAAAAAAGATGGTGAATGTGCCACAGCCGCAGGTTATAGCAGATTATAATAAAAATATGGGAGGCGTAGATCTCCATGATAATGGAATAGCCAATTATAGGATTCAAGTAAGAGGGAAAAAGTGGTGGTGGCCACTATTCATCAATTTGATAGACAGTGTTTTGGTAAACTCGTGGAAAATTTACAATCTGGCGAATGAGCGATCTTTGAGTCAATTGGAATTCAAATCTTACGTTACTGTAAGTTTAATGAAAACCGAAGAAGCCCAACTTGCAGATAATTCGCATTTTTTGGGTAATTCAAATATTAATGTAGGAAGACCATCGAATAACGCGTTACCTACCAATATTCGCTTCGATAATATTGGTCATGTCATAGAAGAGCAGGAAAGTAAACGTCGAAGAAGATGTCGACAGTGTAGAAGTACAACAATTTATATGTGTAAAAAATGTCAAGTACATCTTCATGCTGATTGTTTTAAAATATTTCACTCACGCTAATACTCTAGCGTTGTTAGACTTGCTAGTAAAATTGAAGTTCAGTAATCCCAAAGTTGCTTAGACGCAACATTTTGCGGAATGTAAACTAATAATTCAATATTTTTTTTTACTATAATTTTCTCTTTTTGGATGTATTTATAAACGTAATAAACAATAAAACCAATAAATATGCTTTTATTTTTACCCTTGGGAATTAATGGGTTAATGTATATAAATTACAGTATTTACAAAACTTAATGTCTTTGTCTTTTTCTTTATTACTGGTGTCGACAACTGCGAACAAGAAATAAACTACGAATTAAGAACTTGAAATATTCATTTATTATAAAATAGTAAGTTTTAAAACGTAAATGAGTATAATATGACAACATTAGTAGGATAGGTAAATATACTTTATTAATATTAATACATTCTATTAATAAAGTAAAACGTTAAATATATTTTATTTACAATAAATGTGAATTTATGAAATTTGGCGAACATTCCTTGAACTCCTTTCGGACTTCGCTTAAATATGCTGATAAATGTCGCCAGGACTCGGTATCAACATTTGTTCTATTTTTAAGAGCAACTATTGCATAGCGCTATCTATTCATCGGAGATACGCGCTCGATTTCTTCGCATTTATATATTTTTATTTCGACAAAATGACTGCCAGGCTTATCAAACTTTATTTGTCGTGAAAAGCCGTTTGTTACCCGTTTTGTTAAATAAGATACTAAAGGAGATGTATTTTTACATGTTACATCGTTGATTTCACCATCATCGGAGTCTACGCCGAAAAGATCTTGAGCGGTGACTTTGGCTGATCTTGATTTCTTTCCGCTGGACCGAACACGTACTATAGCGTCCCCGCTAGTTGAAGGCTCGTTTCCATGAGAGTTATGCCCTCGCTTGTTTTTCCTCACAGCTTTCTTCTTTCCCCTTCGGCTCGGTCCTCTCTTCAGAGGAAGACTCTTCTGATAGAAAAATGTTTTCATGGTTGCTTGACCTGAAATTAGTAATAATTATAACTTTAACAAAAACTGTATGTATCATTAAAAATGCTGTATTAACTTTAAGTTTGCATCGAATACTAAGTTTTAAATATCTAAAAAAATAATATATCTTTTACGATGTCTCGGGATTCGAATCTGAAACCTTTAAATAACTTCTTCTTTCTGAGTCAGTTTTGCGAATAGACTTGTTTACACGCTCTAACCATTAAACTAGACATCTGTCAAGAACTAATGTGAATATTTTCGATAGAAATGGTGAACAATCTTTTAATGTAGCTTATCTTAATGTTCACCATTATTTATGCAACGTGGGAAGGCTGAACTGATTTTGATCTGACATTCACAAAAGATACGAAAAAAAATACACAGAAGCTGCCAACTGCTGTTCTTAATATTTTTAAATAAGGTACCTACAAGTTATAATAATTCAATAATGTAAATTAAAAATTATTGTAATTCTAGTATCATTCAATCCTCAGAGAAAAATCAGACAATTTCATCAAAGTTGAAAAAGAACGTCTGGTTGGATGAATTTATCGAAACTGTTTAAATCATACTAATATTTATAAAATGCGAAAGTGTGTTTGTTGATTTGTTGGTTTGTCCTTCAATCACGCCGCAACAGAGCTACAGATCGACGTGATTTTTTGAATGGGTAAAGTTGAGGATCTGGAGAGTGACAGAGGCTACTTTTATCCCGGAAAATGAAAGAGTTCACGAGGGATTTTAAAAACGAAATCCCCGAGGACTAAGTCGCGGGCATCAGTTAGTAATTAAATAAAAATTACTATTCTATTTTCTTGTATCCGAAGAATTTTATATGACTATGTTAAATTCATACAGGGAAATGGAAAATAAAATCTAAGATATAAAAGAAGTACTTACATGTTGGATGAAATTCACGAAAATTTTACTTAATTCACGAAAAACACTGATGAATACTTCAACTTGGTTAGGTACCTATTTGTAAAAAAAAAAAACAATTGGAGCTGAGGAATTCTGTCACCTTTGAAAGTAGGACTTGAAAATGGCGGCTTGATGGGCACCAGCCTATAAATAGTTTCAAAAATTTAAAATGTGTGTGTAGACAGTTAAACACAAATTGTTCGTATGTAAGCTGACTGTCGAGATGTGTGCAGATTAATCTAAAAATGCGGAGATAGCACAAATTATTTTAAAAATGAACTTTACATATTCCCCTGTTTCTGTCTACCATATTTATTCTAAAATATGACCTGATAATCTATGTGCGTACAACTTGACAAAACATAGCTAGAGAGTTATTATGATAGTTTCAGTAAGCATCGATAGGATCAATTTGCACCCGACAACGCCGCTCTGTCGGGTGTCCTTTTATGGTAAGGAATGTTTAATTTCATCACGTTACATCTTGCAGGTTAAAACATGTTGGAAACTTAACTTGGAGGACTAAGTATTTTATCCATACTAATATTGAGCCCTGTCGTCACACGAATAGCATAATGGAACCATAGATACGTCTTCAAATGAAAATCATTTAGTTTCTCGATTATGAGATTATTGCTCGTACACAGACAAACTTGGTCTAAGAACTTTGTTTTATATTTACTTACTGATGATTTACAAAGAAAATTCAAGTTATTCTCAATCAGATCCTCATTAAGAGCGGTCCTATGTGAATTTGTGTAATAAAAGTATCTTTGACTGTGCGTGCACTAAACCTACTTAATTCACAAAAAACCTTTCTTCGGTCTACAGCATTTTAGAATTTTTTGGGGAAATGGAAGTAAGTTAATATTATAAGTCTTATATATATATATATTTACTAGTATATAGGTATATTAAAGTCTCATTAATAGAACATTTAAAAACTGTGAAAGCGGAATTTTCATTCATTTAATATTATGAATAAAATGTTCTGTACCAAATACTAAAATACACTAATAATAAGTAAATAACTTTCAATAATAATTTTTATTTCAGGACTCTGGAGACTTATTCAGATTTATACCAAATAACCCAGAAGAAAGGAGCAGTAAAAGATCAGCGGATGCTAATACACTACATATATTCATAATATATGAAAATACCATCAAAAGGTACCAAAATTATTCGCATTCAAATATGTGTTGTGGAACAATTGCAAAATAATGAGAATAAAGTATGCAAGTGTAATGCAAATCTATGTATACAGCACGTAGTACAAAACTTGTTCCGGGATGATATATATAGAGATGTTACTAAAATTATCACCCAAATGAAAGAACAACTGAGTGATTAATGTAAAACTATAAGTTGTATTATTTACTTTATTAAATAGCTATTTTTATAACATTTCAGTAAGTAAGTATTATTTGTATTCGGTTTGGCAGTATTTTAATAAAATAAAAATCTTTAATAAGTCACATGTCGTTTTTATTTTAAATACACTAATAACTTGATGATGATGATGTTCTCCTAGCCGATTCCGGCCACGGCGGCCAATCTCAATGATTAGCCAACTGCGCAGGAGATATTATAGTGCTCGAGTGTACGCGCAGACACAAGTCTCTATTCATATCGCTCTCATACTCCGGTGGGACGACCACTCGACACGACCGGTGAGAGGTAAGGCGCAGGACCGACGGCTTTACGTGCTCTCCGAGGCACGGGGGTGAAACACCGCCAACTTCCCAACTCCGGGCTGTTACTGAGACTTACTATACAGGAAGACTCAATAACTAAATTTGGCCCGACCCGGGACTCGAGTCGGAGGACTCGGGTGTGCAGCCGTACATGCTAGCCACTACACCACCGAGGCAGTTAATATATATATATATATATATATATATATATATATATATATATATATATATTAACTTGATAATATTATAGGGACCAACCGAAATTGATTTATGTGTTACAAACAAAGTTTTATTTATGTAAACCAGAAATCGATTTTCGAATAGAGCAGTTTTATCCACACAGTATTGTTAAAATACCAATATACCTATTACATAACTGCATAGACAGTGACGCTGTGTTTACATGTGGGTAAAACCATATCTTTTTTTTTTTACTATAAGTGACGTTCCTTTACCAGTCTATATAAGTAGTTAATATCATAATATAAATGAAATTCTTTGTATGATGATAAACAGACACAAAAGAAAAAGTAAAAATTGAAAAAAACTTTTATAACTTTTTGAAATAATATGTTAAAAATTGATTTTACAAGTTTTGAGAAGTAAAATATGAAAAGTAGACTTTTATAAGTTTTTGAAAACGTGAATTGAGAGAGATGGATCTTCTTTGATCCAGCTCGCTCAATTCACCACTACTTATAACAATGTGGTACGTATCAATAACATGTTATTATAACATGTTTTATAACATTCAGTGTCCACATTATCTGAAACATGTTGTATAACATGTTATGTTATATAGTCTGTACGCACCTTAATGTGATTAATAATATGTAATAAAAATAAACTACTTATAATACTGTTAAATAATTATATTTCTTTTCAATAATTTATTTATATTAATAATGTAATTAGCTTTTAATTTCTTAATATCCTTTCATTTATTAAACTGATTGTTTTCTTTTGTTTCTACGCATGTTGTGATTACCTCTAAAAAGAAATACAATTATATTGTGTTTATTGTATTATGTTAATTATATTTGTATTATTGTCATTTCTGTTGGTAGTCTTAATAAATAAATAAGCTTGCAGCAGTATTATTTAATTTTGATCGGTTTATTTTACAAATTACCATCTATTTTATTATATATTATATTCTTATTGTCCGTTCATCGTAACTTGACGCGTAATCCGATTGGCAGCACTGAAATTTGCAGTGTTGCATGTTTTTATACGAAAAGCGTTTCCGAAATGTAAACTTGTCCCAAGTTTAAAGAATTTTATTAGTTTAATCTCTACTTAAATTTCTGGATTTTATTCGCGCAACAAACGGCGATAGTGTATTCTCTGATATTATTCATACGTCATTAGGAACATTCAGGATAAATTAAACAAAACAGGGTAAAAAATAATCACTTTAATAATTATGATCAATAAGGTGTAAAGGAATCATATCTTCTTCAATGTTACTTGAATGCTCACTGTCACTATTCCCTCTCCCCCCTGGACCGCCGTGGAGTACGGACGTCTTTACTGTGAACTGCTATTATTTTTATTACAAATATTTATTTATTTATTATATAGGAAGCCAACATAGTATACAGTGCTTTTGATCTTTTATACATAATAATTTCTTATAAAATATTTTTTTTACACTATACACCACACTTATAGGCTAACTTAACATGTGTAAACTAGCTAGCTGTTCCGAAACTTATACTACATATCTATCCTATGACAAATAAAATACTTAATAAAAGTGTAAAGTTAAAAAAAGTAAAGTTAAAAAAAAAACAATAAACAATTAAAAAAACATGCATACAAAATTACAAAAAAATATATACTTAAAAAAATGTGAAGGTTTAAAACTTAAATGGTATAAAAAGTTATTGCCAAAAAAAAACATCTAAAAATTATAAAAACTACAACTAAAAATATAAAATATTTAAAACAGTCTAAAACAAAATTTTTTAAATGTTCCAAAATTAAAACTATTTGGTAAGAGGTATAAGTAAACAGTTGATATAAAAATATGGGTAAAATTGATTAAAATTGTATAGTATAGAAATATAATAACATTAAGTGGTATAATTTGAATTTAAACTTAAAAAATGCATTTTAACTTTTCTTTTGAATGCTTTCCCAGAATACTTAAAAATGTCAATGTCAGCTTTTTCTTTTGAGATAGTATTGTATAGTTGTATGATTCTATTTAAAGGTGCATTACGGCCTAAGTTTGTTCTAGCAATTTTGGTCACAAACGTTTGCTTAGAGCTAGAAGTCCTAACAGTGTTTCTAGGGATTGCTAGCTTTATTTTTCGTACTAAATCAGGGCAATCAATATCTCCATTTATAATTTTATTCAAAAAGCAAAGATCCAAAATATCTCTTCGTGTGGACAATGAAAATGTACGATAGTGTTTTAACAGATTATTGTAATTATATTCTAAATTATCTTTATAACATAATGTACGTAATATCTTTTTTTGTACTCTTTCTAGTCTATTTTTGTGAATTTGGTAATAAGGGTTCCATACAGTCGAACAATATTCCAGCTTGCTTCTGACGTATGAGTTAAGAAGCACTATTTTCGTGTAAGATGTTTTGAAATCTTTTGTGTTTCTTAATCCTATTCTTGGCATGGTGGATAATTTGATACGTTGAACTTTTTGAAAATCTGGAGACGATCCGAGACGTATTTTAAATTTTTTTATTATTTAACAAGCTACAAAATATAATACCAAATCCACAAAAAAATACTATTTTATTACTTGCAACACGGAAATTGCAGTCGAAAACAAGATGGCGAATCGATCGAGGACGTCTGCGCATCGCAAGGTAAAAATAATTATTTTTTGTTATATTTTGCTTAAATTAATTCCAAAAACGTTGTAATTCAAGCCGGTTACAATATTTATTAGTCGGAAACGCTATTTTCGAGTAACAATCTGGATGGAAATCGTATGTAATCAACCGTTTTTTTCGAGTGTATCAGATATGCCACACTGCCAGATAGCCAACATTCTAGACTATTTTTGTTATGTATCAAATATGTGACACTGCTTGATTTGTATAGATACTATTTATTTATAAATTTTAATATTATAATAATATTTTAAATTATTATTGCTACTTATATTATTGTGTTTTGTATTTTTCAGCCACAGATACATCAGCTTAGTATACAACAACAAAGAAGAGCTCGGCATCTTGTGGCTCTTGTTCCGAAGCCGGGGGCAAAATCGGATTTGGATGACAGTGAATCATCTGCTGAGGATGAATTGCAGTACTGTCCCCGCCCAACGCACTCCGACAGCAGTTCACCGCCTCCATCGTTGCCATCTTCGATAGAAAATCTAAATCTTTTATCAGATGACGACAATGAGATAAATCAAGTGGTTGCTTCAACATCTTTGGTGCTACACTCACAGTCATCGCTGTCAACCAACCCATGTTCACCATCAATTTTATCGTCCAACCCATCCGCAATAAGGCAGCTTCAGTGTGCTGAGGCAAGTCCTTTGTCTCCGGTACCACCTTTATTAGATCAGGTATGTTTACCATCTCCATTGGCAACCTCCTCGCAAAAACATTCACCATTGGCAACCTCTTCCCAAGTACCTTCACCACTGGCAACCTCCTCGCAACTACCTTTACCACGAGCCAGTAACTTGACGTGTCATAACCAGGTACCGTCTCCATTGTTTGCACCTTCTCCCTCAGCGGCTACTCGATCAAAAAGACCTAGAGTGGTCACGATAAAACGAAAAGTAATACCTGCTAAAAGATTACAACCTAATTGGCGTTGCTGTAAGTTTACCGGTTCTGCAGAAGTGAAAGATATCTCGTTTGAGCCACGTGAAGAGAAGTGTGCCATTGAATATTTCAAGCTGTTCTTTTCAGATGACATCATCTCTCTCATAGTGCAACAAACACATATCTATAGCACGCAGACAAATGGCAGCTCAATAAATATCACAGAAGATGATATCAAAGATTTTCTGGCGATCCTTTTATTTACGGGGGTCGTTAAAATGCACGCTTATACAGATTATTGGTCCAAAATTCTACGATACGACAAAGTAGCAGATATAATGACTCTGAAGAAGTTCCAGTTACTGAGGCGATATATACATTTCAATGATAATTTTATTGACGACGACGATAGATATCACAAAGTTAGACCACTTCTTCAAAAAATCCGTGAAAATTGTCTAAAAGTAGAAGAAGAGTCGCGTTTCAGTATTGATGAAATGACGGTTCCACATAAAGGAACTAGAGCAGGCAGCCGTAAGCAGTATGTAAAAAATAAACCGAAAAAATGGGGATTCAAAATATTTGTTCGCGCTGGTGTCTCTGGAATAGTTTACGACTTCCTGATCTACGGAGGAGACGACACATTTAGATTTAACTCATTCACAGATGAAGAAAATGGTATGGGCCTGGGATCAAAAGTAGTTCTTGCGCTAGCGAAATCCATTCACCAGCCTGCATGCAAAGTCTTATGCTTTGATAACTTCTTCACTTCTATTGAGCTCCTGCAATATTTACGTAACGAATACGGGATTTTCGCACTGGGAACAATCCGATCAAAGAGGCTTCGAGGAGCGGAAAAAAAATTACCCACGGATAAAAATCTAAAAAAAAGCGGCAGAGGATCTCATGCACAAGTCGTATGCAACAAAAACAAGATCGTTGTCGTCAAATGGTACGATAACAAATGTGTCACAGCTGCAAGCACATTTGTAGACGCGCATCCTATCCAGAATGTGGTTCGTTACAAGAAAGCACAAGGAAGAAAAATGCCAGTGACATGCCCAAATTTGATAAAAGAATACAACACCGACATGGGCGGAGTTGACCTGGCAGATATGCTGATTGCTCTGTATCGTACACCATTCCGAGGTCATCGCTGGTATTTACCGATCTTCTCGCAAATGCTTGATATTTGTGTGAACAATGCCTGGCTTCTCTATCGACGTCATAGAGAAGCCAGGCATGAAGCCAAAAAACCCAAGTCGCTAAAAACATTTCGAATAAAAATTTTCGAAAGCTTACGCAGATTTGAGAGAACTAATACAAGCAATATCAGCAGGACTAGCGTCAGCTCAACCAAGACCATACAGAGACCTGTAGCTGAAAGACCCCCAGATGCTGTTCGGTATGATCAAGTTGCACATTATCCAAATGTCACACCTATCAGAGGGAGGTGCATGTATTGCAAGAAAGGGCAAACCAAATTGTTTTGGGAAAAATGCAAAATGAGACTGTGCTTATTGCCGGAACGTAATTGTTTCGTAGAATATCATACTAAGAAATAATACGAGTATAATTTATAATTGTAAGACTGTTAATACTCGTATATATTATGTAATATTTATATTTCATAGTAGATATTCGTGATTGATCTCATTCTACCATTAATTTAGATTTTTATAAGATTCAAAGGCTGTTAAAACTATTACTGTTGATTTTTAACCGACTTATACTAAAAGAAGGTTCTGTTTTTAAAGGTATGTATGGAAGTAGAAAATAATTGTCTTAAATTTTATGTTTCTTTCACGTTAGAATGTAATATTTTGTTTTTTTTTTGTTTTGTTATAACTTGTTAAAAGCCTGCCAGAGCGGCAAATATGATACATAGATTTTATAAGGTTAATTTTTAAGAGTCTGGCAATGTGCCTTATGTGATACATTGAATAAATCATAAAATAATAAATATATATTTTTATTTTTATTTTTTCTCCCCTCAATGAATACCCAATAATACATTTTATGTAAAATTTATCAACATTTCATAAAAAAAAATCTTGCCAAGTATAGGGTTAAAATAAGTCCCAATATTTTAAGAGATTTTTTAATAACATCTTCTATATGTGGGATAAAACTTAGTTTTGAATCCAATAAAATTCCGAGATCGTATATTTCATTGATGCATGTTAAATTATTACCATTTATATTATAGTCATATTTTATTGTTCGAATTTTTCTACTAAATGTGTTATAACATCAATTTTAAATTACGAAAATAGTGCCGCAAAAATCACCGAACTACCAGGAGCGCAGAGCCCGCGAAGAGGTCAGTGGTCAAAACTTGTATCTGAGCGGGAGACCCACTGTAAGAGCGAGATAACTATACTTTACTCTGCACCTGCTACGCCTCCGCGGCGCTGCCGCTGGTGCTACGCCGCTCGCGCTACGCCGCTCGTGCTACGCCGCTCGCACTACGTCACCAACGCTACGCGGCTACACGCCGACCCAACGCTACGCAGTGCGTATGCGGACCTTTGCTACGTGAGTACACCACTCCAAAGAGGTTCTTTGCACTGTACACTAGACAAACTAGCTATTTATTGCTAGTTTGCTACTATGTCCACCCAACGCACTCCTCCAAAGGATCTGAAAATTCCCTCAAAATCTTTAAACAATACCCTGACCATGTATGGCTCAGACCAACTAAGCAAATCCGAGCTAGAGGCCGAAGAAACCACTGATTTCGTTTTTCGCAGATTAAAACGAAAATTGGCAACCAATGAAAAAAATATGCCTGAAAAAGACTTGTTACTTGATCAGATTAAAGAGATTTTCGCCGCCCAAGAGTCGAAAAATAATTCAAAATTTGAAAAGCTCTTTGCGTTCATGATGGACATCAAGGATCAAAATGCAGATATTCAGAAGAGCATTGAATTTCTTTCTTCTAAATACGACGATGTGCTTGAGAATATGGCACAGCTAGAACAGAAAAACAAGGTTTATGAGATAAAAATTTCAGAACTCGAACAAAAAGTTGAACAGCTGGAACGCAACTCTCGAGCATCTGCCATTGAAATCAGGAATATTCCTAAACAAACTCCGGAAAATAAAACATCACTGCGAAGCATGGTTAAACAGGTAGGAGAAATAATCGAACAAACAGTGACAGACTCTGACATTCAAGATGTTTACCGCCTGAAAACAAAAAAGGAATCAAACAACCACATAGTCGTGAATTTTACTACGACTTCATGCAAAGACGGCTTCATTAAACAATGCAGGAACTTCAACAAAGCCCATAAGGACAATAAATTAAACACCACTCACCTGAATGTGGCTGGACCCTCTCAACCAATCTACATTGATGAATCGCTGACAAATCTGGGGAGGAAGCTATCGTTCCTTGCAAGACAATTCGTAAGAGACAACCACTACCACAGCACTTGGACCTCATATGGAAAAATATTTATTAGAAAATCGCAAGAATCACCGGCTATTCGAATTGATTGCGAAGAGGACCTGAAACAGCTCATCGCAAGCTCCAAGTGACTAGATTCAGCTATTCTGTTGCTCAATTTAATTTCAAAATTGTTTGTAAACCTACTTATAGATATAATCAATCAGACACAAATCACTACACTTACACTCTTAATACTCATACAAACTAAATACACACACTACTCAGACAACACTCTTATTATATACCACTCACAAAAAATAACACACTTACACACACAACACCAACTACCCAAAGGACAAGCATACACATTAGAGACAACCTACCAACTTATTCTGCGTTATAGACACACACACCCACACTATAAAAGCTGTACCTACCTCTACCCTCTTGCATCCTATTTTACCCCATATAATTATCATCTTCTAAAATCTTTGTTCCTGGCAAATTCGATCACTTAATCGCAATAAACAATGAACTAGAAGATTTTTCGATTGCCCAATCCTCTACTTGTGAAATTACTCTACTTATTTACATATTCAAAAATCTGCGTCACGTTTCAGATTTAAACGTCATTAAACTGGTATATCTCGCTCTGTGTCAGTCCATATTAAGTTACTGTATAACAAGTATGGGGGGGAACTTGCAAAACAAGACTATTAAAATTAGAAAGAGCTCAAAGGGCCGTTATCAAGGTAAGCCTGTTCCTACCATACCTTTTCCCTACAAAAGATTTGTATTCAACTTTTGATGTTCTTACCATTCGGCAACTTTTCATTCTAAACACCATACTTAAAAAACAGTCTACACTTCCATATGACCCTGACAGCATTGCTAATAAACGTCTAAAATACAAAGTTTGCCACTCTGACAGCATTACTTCAACACACTTCGCAAAAAGATTCTTTGGATTTTTGGGAGACTATCTTTATAACAAAATAAATAAAATAATTAACATATATCCGTTGGCAAAGTCAAAATGTAAAAGAACTACTACTACATGGTTAAAATCCCTAGACTACGATGAAACAGAGAGTGTTATGACAATTGCTTCCTAACCACTACTTTTTCTTTAGTGTCCTCCGCACATTATGGTATACACACACTCATACACACATTCACACACACATACACACATTCACACACACACGCGCACGCACACATACACACACACACGCAAACACTCACGCACACACACACACACTACACACACACGACATAATACGTACATACATATAGATAAAATATTATTCTTGTATAGAAGTTAAATACCTACTTTTCGACGCTTAAGAACCAAGACCATCTATCTACAAAAAGTTGACTTTACAGGAGACGAAAAAAACGTTTGATTTTTTTTTTAAAAACAATTTCATTATTTTTAAGTTTGAACATTTACTAGACAGGCGTGGGAAATAAGATGTTTACATGTATTTCAAGAAAGCTTTATTAGTTTCGAAATTACTGTAGATAGCTGGTATTAGTTAAAATATTTGCAAATGTTTGTGAATTTCACTGTAAGATAGGTGGTATTGGCAAGTGAAACAAATTTAAACATTAAGTATTAAACACTTTAATTGAAACGACAACCTTTTATATTTATCATATTCTACACAGAAAAACAGTTTTATTATGAAACGGATGACTATGTACTCGTAGAACATCTTTTAATGCTTAAGATAGTTGTTTAGACAACAAACTTATAATTATACAATTTTAGTCATGAAACATTTTTATTTATTAAAAATTTAAACATGCGGCAACGCATCATAAAACGGATGACAATCTTTTGGTAGAACATCTTTTAATTGCTGAAGATGGTTATATTTGGTTGACGAAATTGGTAGGGGACTTTCATGTAATTGCGAGTAAACCACAGGAGTGTTAATGTTGCACTTTCTTTGAGGCAAAGCCCAATCTTCATCAAAATCAAGTTTTATCAGGATGTCACCATTTGGTGTGTATTTCATTGCACGCAGGTCTGTGACAACAGAATCGCCAGCTTTACGTCCTGGTCGAATACTTTTATATTGAAAAGTAGAAGACTCAGCATAATTTTTAAAGAAGTTGTAGTCAACTTCAACTACCTCATAGGGCTCTTTAGTGCGAGCTTCTTTGGTAACAGACACATAATCACTCGGAAGATGAATCTCCCTGTTTTTGAGCTTTCGCTCGATGGCACTGTGAACCGAGTCACACTCCATTTGTGTGTGACCCGGTTCTAAGTACTTATGGGTTATGGTGACATTGTGCTTGATGCAAAAATTTAGAAGACCATTGGAAAGCACAGTGTTCCGATTCTGGTATGTGCAACCATCTGAATATATCACAATGGGTAACTGTTTGGGCAGACAATGAACTTCCAAATAATCGATTACAAATGAAACAAATGTGCTAGCCGTTAAATCGCCTGCTGTTTCGGTGAACCAGTAACATTTGCAGTGCCTTGTAGCTAGGTTGAAGATGGTAAAGTTATGGCAGGTCAATTTCGTTTTAAAATAAAGAGCACTTGCCGTTAAATATGGACAAACTTTAACTGCTTCCAAGTCCATGGTGAGCAGTATGAATTTTCCAGAAATAGCAAGTTTTTTGTCCGCCTCCTTTTCCTGTCGTGCTCGATTTTTTCTCAGTATGTGCATTTGGAAATCATGTTCATCATAATTTCCAGTTTTATGACTTGCGCATGTGTCACACATGTCTTTTTTTAATACGTAAAACGCTAAGTTTTTTTTATTGTATTCCTTGTCAAATGTAAATCTGCTGGCTGAAGGCTCTTCGTTTTCTGTACAAAATTTATTGTACGTTCTGTATAATTGAGAAATTGAATGGTAAACGGGTTCCAGATATAATTTTGTCGTTACTTTTCTTGCATAATGAGATGGTAATTTAGGAAGATTGTCAAAAAAATTACGCAACGTTATGGTTTTCCTGTCAACATTGCTGCTTGCTCTAGAATTACGAAAATTTTGATTGGGCACCATTGCAAATTCTGCTTGTTTTACCCAAGACTGCACGGCAGTAGAACAAAGCGATAACGTACTTAAAAACATTCTTTTGCAAACCTGGACTTTCACGTCCGATTCTATTGGCAAATAATAGCTAAATGTGCCTTCTCGTCGTGAAGTTTCCAAAGCAGATTTTGTATGGCGGGATCGAGCAGAGCGCGTGACAAGACCAGCTACATAAACTCTACGTTGATCCCAGTTCATCGTTTTCCAGAATTTATCGTGTATGGATTTCCTAGTCTCCTCTTCAAACCTTTGGCAACCTCTCAACTTACTCTTTTGACAAAAACTGGACGTACATGGTGGTCCTAAAATTTTTGCTAAACGAACTTGATCTTGTGTCGCTTTGCATCCTTTAGGTTTCCTGTATCCAACATATTCTTCACCAAGCATGCGAAGTTTCTTGGCTTTGTTTTTCTTCCAAGAATTTTCGTCTCGGATATGACGCCGCTTTCGTCCTTCATTCATATCTCCAAAATCGTCTGAAGAGTCTTTTTCAGACTCACTTTCACAATAAGTCGCATCGCTGTCTTCATTAGTAAAGTGGACAGCTGAATGAACAGAAAGACTTTTAGAAACAGGAGCAAAATGAAAATGAAGAGAAGGCGGAGCTGATAGACTTCTTGTTCTGTTAAAAGCTTTTTGTTCTTGAGTGTCAGAAGTTAAATCGGATAAAGAAACGTGTTTCTTCAAGAAACAATTCGAGATCATACAGTTCTTAGAGTTATTTCCAATTAGTTCCAGCAGGTGAGTATGCATGCTACTTGAGATAGTTCCATTAACAGATTTGGAATTCTCATCACTTTCAGACTTCTGGATACTGCCATACGGTTTCTGTGTTGAACTTTGTTGAGGAACTTCTTCTGAAAAACAAAATTTCTATCACAATCTACCCACACAGCACCACGAAAGTCGTCATCTGAAATTACTAGGTAGGCTCTTAAGGTAAGAATTATCTAATAAAAATCGAGTGAATAAAATAGGACTAAAGTAAATAAATATATTTTTAACTTACTAGCGCTATTATCTTTATCTTTTATTTCTGCTAAAATTCGACGAGCTCTCCATCCTTGGTACCTTTTCGACATTTTAACTGTAGACAAAATTATATTGCTTACTACTTGAACAGATTAATAACTAGATTTGTTATAATATAACAATATTTAGTAGACAGTGTGCCAGCAACGAGGCACACAGTCCACTAAATAATGTATTTATAGCAAAAAGACTAAGAATTTTGACTATCTAACAGGTTTAGACCTGTTAGACTATGTTGACACGAACAAATTTTTCTTTCAATATCGCCTATCTACATCAACAAGATTCGATTTTGATTTCAATAACGCCTATCTTACATTTATTATATTTCAATGAGTAGGTAGGTTAGTTAAAATACTTAACTCGTTAAAAATTAATACAATTAGAATAAAGTAGTAAGAATAATGTAAAAATTAAGACATGCCGCCACAAAATGTATAATATTTCTCACTTAAAACGGATACAAATGATGTCGAAACTTTTTTATTGCATCATTCTTGGTAAATACTAATAAAATTAAAATAAACAATGTTGTTACTTACTTTTCACGTAAATTTTCCTTTGAATTTCACCAAATTAGCCACTAATTACAACGTCACACAATAAAAAACACCACATTTAACGCATGTCACAACCTGCTTTGAGCTAACTATTAGAAGTGTCAACAAACCGCCCCGCAACATCACCCCCGCCCGCCAAGATTCGCAACCCCTCTCTTTCTAAAAGCGTTACCACGCATTCGAACACATAACGGTTCTTTGCAACTCGCAACGGGCGAGTAAGCACGCGTACTGTGTAGATAGGTGATATTTCCATAATTTTTTTTCGTAACGTAATTTAGGTGGTATTGGTATTTTCTCATAACTCCTTATTGATTGCGAATTTGAGGTAGCTGATTAAAGAAAACGAAGCGTAAATTTATTGTAAAAAGAACTGCATTAAAAAGTAAAAATCGCCAAAAGTGTAGATAGATGGTCTTGGTTCTTAAGCGTCGTTTTGTGAAACTCAACGGTTCAGTGTAGGAGAGGCTGGTAATCTGTCATACAGGTCTCCTAGTACAGACGCCAGTCTCTCACATAGTTATTAATGCTAAACTAAGCTTAATATTCTTTATAATATTCTTCATTGTATTAACTGTGTGAGAGAACAACAATAAACTTTATTATTATTATTCTTATTTTTTTTATTTTCGTTTGAAAATCTCGGCTTTGCCGGTATTCTCAGCTAACACGGGCCATAGCCAAGTGTTAGTGGGATAGTTTTTGTTGTATGGTAATTAAGTATCTAAAGTAATACTGTGTCGTTGAGTTATGTGTTGTGGCAGACGTAGCGCTTGGACATGACTTTGTATAATGTCAAACGATGTGGGGATACTACTGCCTATATCATTATCCGTTTGTAGAAATTTACGAACAATTCTACATGTGTTTAATATAACGGCTTTTTGTAGTTTTAAATATGTATATAAAGGAAGGTTCAGTACTTTAAGAGATTGAAATAATTGTTTTGGAATTACACCAGTAGTTGAGAGTACGATTGGAACTATGGTAACGGTTTTAAGATGCCACATTGGTTGTATGTATCACATGTATTTGGTTAACTTTTCAGCTATCGCGTTCTGTAGATTGTGGGTATTTGGTATAGCTATGTCAATGATAAAAGCCGATTACTGCGTTTATCATGAAGAGTTATATCCGGTCTATTATAGTGGATTGTCTTGTCACTTAATATAGCACGGTCAAAATAGAGACGATAATTTGAGTTTTCTATAACTGTTTCTGGTATATATTTGTAATATGGTACAGGTTTGTTCGTTGTAATTTTAAGCATTTGGGCTATTTGCTGATGGATGATATTAGCAACCTGGTCATGTCTGTGCTTATAATCAGTCTGTACTATTGTTCGGCATGCACCAGTAATATGTTGTATTGTTTCAGGAGAGCTGTTACATTTTCTACATAAGTCTGTGTTTTGCATTAGAGTTTTCATTATATGTTTTTGGTAATTCCGAGTCTCTATTGTTTGATCTTGTATGGATATCATAAATCCCTCGGTTTCCGGGAAAAGCTCGCCACGCCTCAACCATGCGTTTGATGCAACCTTGTCAACATTAGGTTGGCACAAGTCATGGCGATGTCTTCCGTGCAGAGATTTCCGAGACCATTCATCTATTTTAAATTGATTAGATACTTGATTCTCATTTTTCTGGGTGTTTTTATCTTGTAAATTCAAAGGTGTTAATTTCTTGTCAATATTTAGTATTGTTTCATGTAGAGTAGATTGTACCGATCTTTGATGAAAATATGTCCGAAGTATAGTAATCTGTTTATTATGCAAGTTAGACACATCTATGAGACCTCTACCTCCTTCAGCGCGGGGTAATGTTTGACGCTGAACACAGGCTCGAGGGTGGTGTTTTCTACATTTCGTCATGCTAGTGTTTATTATGCGTTGGATATTTTTAAGTTCGACTTTTGACCACTTGATGATACCAAAAGAGTATGTAAGGATAGGTATGGCGTAAGTGTTTATTGCTTTGATGAGATTACGAGAATATAACTGTGATCGCAGTAAAATGTTTAATCTATGCTTAAAGTTTTGAATTAGTTTAGCTTTAACTTCTTTAGATTGTATTTCGTTTGACTGATTGTAACCCAAGTATTTGTAAACTTCGTCCTGTTGTAATGAATGAATCAGCTGACCGTTTTCTAATAGATAATTAAGCTCTTGGTTTTGTCTGGCGTTGAGTGAATTAATTCTACATTTATCTATTCCAAATGTCATATGAATGTCTTTAGAAAAACATTCGGTTATCTTAGCTAATTTATGTAGGTCATCTAGTGATGATGCATACAGCTTAATATCGTCCATATACATCAGGTGATTTAAATGATACGTAATTAGTTGGTTTGATTCATTATTGGTATATTTTAAAGGGTAACCCACATTACTATTGTTAAGTGAGCTTGATAATGGATTCAATGCCAGACAAAACCACAGAGGACTAAGAGAGTCTCCTTGGAATATTCCTTTTTTGATTTTAATGGAAGGAGTGTCTATTATCCCTATAGTAGTCTTCAGTCGTAGTTTTGTGGACCATTTTTGTATTATAGACTGTAGAAAATTTATCAAGCGTGGGTGAACTTTGTATATCTCTAAAACTTTAAGTAACCAGGAATGAGGAACTGAATCAAAGGCTTTTTTATAATCAATGTACATAGTATATTTATTATAATTATTATTACTATCCCTTTCTTCACTGTCACTGCCAACACACAATAAAAAACGATCACTTCCTTCATCTATTGTTTTATCTTTTACTATGTAGTCATCTTCAATTTTTATAACATGTGAGCACTCTTTTTTCCAAATCTCATTGCTTATTGAGCCAAATGATTCCTTTATAAGTGATTCCACTTGATCATCCCTCTGGCTCACATTTTTCTCGGCAAACCGCCTGTTCATTACACTCCAAACTAACTCAATTGAATTTAAATCCGCATGATATGGGGGCAGTCGTAAAATAATATGACCATGTGATTTAATTAATTCGTCGGCTTTATATATAGGCCCTGGTTTATTTTTTTTTATTAATTCATATAAAACATTTTTTGTCAAATTTGGTGAAAACAACAGCGCCTTGTTTTGAAGCCACTCCACCATATCTGCTTTGAGGCTTGCCATATTAGGGCTTTTATTTGTTTGTACAGTATGATATGGTGCATTGTCCATCACAATCACACATATAGGTGGCAGGTTTGGTAAAACTTGTTTTTCCAGCCATTTTATAAAGTTATCGCTATTCATGTCGTCATGGTAGTCGGATGATTTTGTTTGTGATTTGAATAGCAGTAACGCATTATTAATGAAGCCATCTGTAGTTCCAGCGTGTGCAATTATCCATCGCCTACCCGTACCAGAATCTCTGACCAATGCACCTTCTTCAGACTCTGACTGCCAACATTTTTGCACACCATATGAAGAATGTATAAAAGTTTCGTCTAAATAGACTATAGTCCGCCCCTTTTCTCGGTATTTTTTGATTTCACTCGAGTATTTAAATCGCCAGGCAGCTATATCTGTTCGCTCCACTAACATTTTTCGTTTGGATTGACACTTTTTATATTTATATCCGAGTTGTTTTAATATTTTCCATAGTGTAGTACGCCCACCTTCAAAATTTATTTCATCTCGTAATTCGACGATTAATTTGTTTAATGTAGGAATTTCTTTTCATACAGCGTAAAATGATATAATTTTTTGTCGAATTGCACAAGTATCGAAGTCATCGAACTCGATCTTCTTATCGCGATTTGGCCATTTCTTTCCAGGTGTTGTTACTTTTGACGGACCGGGCACATCCAAATTTGAAACTGAACTGGACTCTCTTTCTTGTCTCAAAATCCTAGTCACAGTAGATTCGGATACATCTGTAATCATCAAACATAAAGCAGGTTTATTTTACTAGATAACTATTTAATAAAATTAGAATATTTTAGTAAAGCCACGTTACGTAATCAAAATTTGATATTAAATTAATAATTATAATTAATATAATTATTATTAATTTTATTATTTATTATGCTTAAAATGCAGATCGCGACTTTGTAACTGGTAGCCCTATAAAACATACCGGTCATGGCAGCAACTCTGGCACGAACTTGTTGCAATGGAACAATCAGCTTGTTCTCAGCCTTTTCTTTGTCACGAAATGCGTAAACTTGAAGAATGGTTTGTCTTTTAGCACTTTTTACCACCTACGGCATTTTTAAAACTTAGATTAAATTATTATAAAGCAAAAGAGCACACAAACAGCAATCAATCAAACTAAAAGTAAAATGGCGACTGAGGAAACAGTGCTACCAATTACTCACGCGTCAAGTTACGATGAACGGACAATATGAAATCATGGTCAAGTTTCATAGCAGAAGTCACTTGATTTCATACATGCCCAAAAACCCTGGCAAATATATGTAAACAAAGTGCTTGACACTTTATTTAAGTATGTTTGAATCTGTGAGTGAACTTGGTAGTTTGAAGTTTCTATTCTATGGAGCTGTAAATATAGACTAGGCTGTATGGACTATAGTCCTTTGCCTTTCCCTATTGGGGATAAATTTTAAAAACTAACTATGGAGCTGTATGTCAGTTTGACCGTCGACGTATTGATACCGCATTGCGAATTAGTTTATAAAAGTTTTATTGTAATTTGAATATTAATTAAATAGTACTGATTAAGAACGGTGAAACAATAGCTTTGAATGTTGTTTCTCTTTCAGGTGAGTTATTATAATTAAGGTTAAAAAATGTATTAATTTTAAACTAGTTTTTGCAATTAAATAAAATGTACTCTTTCAGAGCAACAACTTCAGTTTTTGTTTCAATAAACAACTTAATACAAAACAATATTATTATAGCTGTTGTAAATTATGGAAAAATTAAAATTCGAATTTGTTGTCAAACCAAGTGAAGATCCGAAAACAAACGTGATCTGCATAACCTCAATTATGGATGCAGATAGCAATATTTTCTCAATTCTGGAACAATTACAACCGGCGAAACTACATGAGGTGGTAATAAAAACTCAAACTTTTTAAAAGTAAAAGCTAGACTGCAAAAAAGACATGAAAAAAGACAAGTATGGATTTCATTAACACCAGAATTACATGATGCCAACACCAGAAATACGAGAGATGGAAATATGCAGTTCAAAGGATATTTTCTAGAAGAGATTACATCAAAAGCACAACAAAAGGCTTTTACGAATGAAATGTCGGCAGAAGCTCTTACAAAAATCCTGGAAAATTTTACAGAATTAAAGAAGGAATCTAAACAATTAAATATAAAAAAATATCTGAAAAGTTTGTAATAGAAAAATTCACAAAAAAAACATTAAGTATGACACAGTGGATGATAATATTTGAAGCTGAATGCACCCGTTTAGGTATAGATGTAGATTCAAGTGTTTCGGTTATTTTTAGAGGATTCTTGTCAAGATTGGTATAATTCTATGCTGATAAAATATACAATAAATTCTGAATGGTGTATTTGGAAAAGAAACTTTTGTGAAACATTTGTGAACAAAGGCTGGACGCCAATAAGGTATGCCATTTTATTTAAATATAAGCAGGGATCATTATTGGAATATGCTCTAAAGAAAGAGAGGCTTTTATTAGAGATAAACAAATTAATGGATAAACCTACTTTAATTGATTTGATTGTTACTGGGCTACCTAATTTTATAGCAGATGAAATTGATAGAAATAAATTAAAAGACATGGAGGATTTATTTAGTTGTATTCGAGGCTTAGAACATTTAATGAATAAAAGGATTGTCTATAAAAGGGGATCAGATTCAGAAATTAAAATAAAAGAAAAAATTTGAGAGAGCGACCATGCACAATCTGTGAAAAAGAAAAGAAAGTAACTAGGTATCATTCTGAATCCGTATGTTGGTTCAAAAATAGATATAGCGATCGTTCTAAAAAAGAGCCAATTAGGAGTGTTAATAATTCTGAATTAGAAATGAGTTTAAATGAAATGGATCCAAAAAACTAATTATTCCACCATTAATCAAAATTAAGTTAACAATAAATAATTCCATAGAAATGTTGGGGGTTTATGATTCAGGATCAAATGTAAGTTTAATTAATTCAAGATTATTATCCTTAAAAAATGACCCTAACAATAATAACAATTATCAAACAAATTTAAAAACGATTAATGGTGTTAAAAAGCCTATAGGAATAGTTACATTAAAGATAAAGATTTTTAAAATAGAAAAAAATATGAATATTTTTGTCATAGATGAACAAAATTTTGATCATGATTTTTTGATTGGATTGGATCGCATAAAATCTTTTCAATTAATTCAAAATGAAAACTTAGAAATTACACAAAACTTAAAGAAATGAGACATAGTAATGAAAATATTGAAAACAAACTATGTTTCATTGATAAAAATAACAATAAGGAAATAACAATGAAAAATAAGTTTTATATGAATGATAGATGTAAACAAAGTGCTTGACACTTTATTTAAGTATGTTTGAATCTGTGAGTGAACTTGGTAGTTTGAAGTTTCTATTCTATGGAGCTGTAAATTTAGACTAGGCTGTATGGACTATAGTCCTTTGCCTTTCCCTATTGGGGATAAATTTTAAAAACAATAACTATGGAGCTGTATGTCAGTTTGACCGTTGACGTATTGATACCGCATTGCGAATTAGTTTATAAAAGTTTTACTGTAATTTGAATATTAATTAAACAGTACTGATTAAGAACGGTGAAACAATAGCTTTGAATGTTGTTTCTCTTTCAGGTGAGTTATTATAATTAAGGTTAAAAAATGTATCAATTTTTAACTACTTTTTGCAATTAAATAAAATGTACTCTTTCAGAGCAACAACTTCGGTTTTTGTTTCAATGAACAACTTATTACATATAGACTAATAAGAAAGAGCGTTGTGCGATTCGAAGACGTTATTTTCATACAACGGCTACATATTGTTGGGATTTATATTAAGAAACATAGGGAATTTCAAAAATATAAAAACTAATATTTGCACCAGTACCAGTCGTTAGTATGAAGAAACATATTGATTTGAATTATGTATCTACTAATGAACAATTTGCTGATGTATTTACTAAAGCTCTTCCTAGAGACAAGTTTCAATGTTTTAGAAAAAAAAATTGGTGCTCAGAATTTAAAATAGTACCTATATCTTATCTGTACTTGTAAAACATTATTTTTAAATATTTCTTGCTTTAATGAAAGTTTGTCAAACTAAATTTATGCCATGAAAATATATGTTCATTTTGAATATTAACTTGTATTAAGACATGGGTTCAAATTAGGTGGGAGTGTTGTAGTAATAGTTAATTGAATTCTACTTTATCTGTAGTAAATAACACTGGTCAACAAAAGAAAAAATATTGTTTGTTTCCTGTGATTTTTTTTGTGTTTCTATCTCAATTTGACAAGTATTTTTTAAATATGCAAACAATTTTTCTCTAACAGCTTTTGTTTTTGAGTTATAGCTAACTACTCTTAATTACTATTTTTACTTAGATTTTCGTTTTTTGTAGGACACTAAAATATATTTTGCTATTGATTTCGATATGGTTTCGTCAAGAAAATGCTGTGTACTTAATTCAGATTGTTTTTGCTATATTTGTGGCGAATATATATTTGAAAAATATCGAAAACCTATATCGGACTTTGTAAAAACTGCGTATTATCAACACTTTAAAATAAAATTGTTTAATTAGGACAAGCCATGGGTTCCTCATTTGTATGCTAGAAATGTGTTGTGTATGTGTATGTATGTGTTATGGTCAAGTGGAAAAAGAGATACAATAAAGTTCGTAACACTTATCATTTGGCGAGAACCTCGAAAGCACCATGATGATTGCTACTTCTGTGTTGTGAAAATAAACGGAATTAGCCCTGGAAATCGAAGTAAGTGGTCATATCCTACTAATACCTAACTTATCCATCACTTCATAACCAAATCGGCATAATGAAACAGTTTGTGAAGGCGCTTGACAAAAGTGACGAAAATTTCACTTTTGTTTCACATAAGTTTCCAGGATTAAGCACAGAAAATTTAATAGCCGATATTTTTGATGGACCACAGATTAGGCAACTCGTGGAAGATCCTAATTTTGTCAAATCAATGACTGAAGTTGAATCCCAAAGCTTGGAACTCATTTTATTTTGGTAACCTTGTTAACAAGAAATCTGACAACCATGTCGAGCTAGTTAAGTGCACGCTATCGAACTTACAAGAGCTGAGGTGCAACATGAGCATAATAATCCACATTATGCACTCGCTTTAGACCGACTTCCACAAAATTCGGGGCGGTTTTAATGAGGAGCAAGGAGAAAGATTTTATCAGGCTATTCGGACAATGGAAGAGCATTATCAGGGAAGGTGGGACTTACATATAATGGCATACTACTGCTGGAATTTGCAACGAGATCTACCTAAAGCCGTTCATTCAAGGAAATGTTATAAAAGATCATTTGATTGTGTTAAATAGAAATTTTGCTAACATATGTATTAATTTCCTTGTATTTTTAGTCAAAACAGTAAAAGTCTATATTTCAAAAAGTAAAGCTGTTAGCAATCTCCTAGTATTTTTTTTGTAGTCAGGGCCATAGAAATACCCAATAACAGTAAAAAATATTAAGGAAACAAAAATTGTGTTGACCAGTGTAATTATTTTATTTAAATCAAATTGAATGCAAACTCAAATGCATTCGAACAGACAATGGTCTAGAATATATTATAAACCATTATTTGACTACATTAAAAGTGCTGGAATACAACACCAAACATCAACATTCGTGGGTGTGCGCACGCATCGCATACAATTTTACTCGCATATTTTTTTTCCAAACGTACCAAAAGAAGTATAACTTTGAAAAATAATTCTTGTTATTCATTCGGGCGACTGCAGTGAACAAAATGCGATTGAGAGCATCTGGCTTGACACTATTATAATAATTATAATTTAATTTTAAAGGAGCTTGCCATGATGGTGACTAAAGATGTTGCTGAGAGTAAACCGCAAGGTAGCGCTACGGGTCTTCCGGCCCCTAAGCGTAAACCATTTCCTCGTCCGCGACCTAAGTTCGCGAGCAAAGAGTTCCCAAATCCAATAAAGCATGAAGAGGAGCGCATTAATTTAGAGCTGTTATGCGAACGTTTCGCGGATGTATTTTATTTAGAAGGGGAAAACTTGACTTTCACTAATAAAATAAAACACTTAATCAAAACACTGATGAAATTCCTATATATACTAAAAGTTACCGTTATCCATTCGTACATAAGCAAGAAGTTCAAGATCAAATTAGTAAAATGTTAGAACAAGGCATCATTAAACCATCAGAATCTGCATGGAGCTCCCCTAATTGGGTTGTACCCAAAAAGGTGGATGCGTCAGGAAAAAGTAAATGGAGATTAGTAGTAGATTTTCGGAAATTGAATGAAAAAACTTTGGACGATAAATACCCCATACCGAACATAACAGATATTTTGGATAAGTTAGGCAACTGTCATTATTTTACAACCTTAGACCTAGCGAGTGGTTTTTATCAGGGTGAGATGAACCCCGCGGATATACCAAAAACAGCGTTTACTGTAGAGCATGGCCACTTCGAATTCTTAAGAATGCCCATGGGTCTAAAAAATAGTCCGTCCACTTTCCAGCATGTGATGGATAATGTTCTCAGAGATTTACAGAACACAATATGTTTAGTGTATCTCGATGACGTTATCGTATTTTCCACGTCATTGCAAGAACATATAGTAAATTTAGAAAAAGTATTAAGCCGATTACGCGAATCGAATTTTAAAATCCAGATGGACAAATCAGAATTCCTTAAACCCGAAACAGCTTACTTAGGGCACATTATCAGTAAGGACGGCATCAAGCCAAACCCAGACAAAATATCCGCAATAAAAAATTATCCTCTTCCAAAAACCCCTACTGATATTAAAAGATTTTTAGGCCTCCATGGTTACTACAGAAAATTTATACCAGATTTTGATAAAGTAACAAAACTCATGACCCAATGTTTAAAGAAAGGTTACAAAATAACTTTAGATCAAAATTATATTTAATGTTTTGAGAAATGTAAGACGCTTTTAACCAATGACCCGATACTGAGATATCCCGATTTTACAAAAGAGTTTATTTTAACTACAGACACATCTAACATAGCCATAGGAGCCGTTCTATCACAGGGTACTATAGGTGCGGATAGGGCTATCGCTTACGCTTCTAGGACTCTAAATAGTAGCGAAATAAACTACAGCACTATTGAAAAGGAACTCCTTGCAATTGTATGGGCCACGAAATATTTTAGACCGTATCTCTTCGGTAGAAAATTTAAAATCGTGACTGATCATAGGCCTTTGCAATGGGTTATGAACATCAAAGAACCCAGCTCGCGTCTTACTAGATGGCGACTCAAATTGAGTGAATTTGATTTTTCAGTAGTATATAAACAAGGAAAATGCAACAGTAATGCTGATGCATTATCCCGTATCAAAATACATAACGACGAAATTAGCTCCGTAAGGGCCAACCCTAGAGAAAATCCACCTTCTCTAATAGCTAGCTCAAATACTGATACAGTCCACACAGACTCTGAAAACCCTATATTAGAAGTACCTATTACTGATTTTCCACTAAATAAATATCATAAGCAAATCGTTCTAACGCTTGTCGATGATATAAAAAGCCGACCTTCAGTTTCTAAGCCCTTTGAATCGCATATTAGAACACATATTCAAATTTCCAAAACTAACATAACGCAATAAAAGGATATGTTAATCCAAAAGTAAAGATAGGCATTCTCATAAATCCCCCTTTGGCGATGTATGAAATTATTCCCATAATACAAAATAATTTTTAAAGCTCCTCTATGGATTAAGTTTTAACATAAGTAGAGTTAGAAAATATTAAAGATTATTTAAAGCAACAGGAAATAATTCGTAATTACCATGAGGGTAAAACGAACCACCGCAGAATTAACGAGTGTTACTTATCTTTATCCAACAAATACTACTGGCCAAAAATGAAGGAGCACATAACGAAATACATAAATGAGTGTAATATATGTGGCCAGGCTAAGTATGATAGAAATCCCATAAAACAGAAATTTCAAATCGTGCCACCTCCGACTAGGCCTTTTGAAATTGTACATTTCGATTTACTAAGCGTTGAGTCGCAGAAATACCTTACAATCATAGATGCTTTTACGAAATATGCTCAAGCTTACTTTTTAAAAGATGCGACAGCCGTTAGTGTCGTACAGGCTCTTTTAAAATTTAGCACACATCACAGACTCCCCATGACGATTGTAACAGATAGAGGTCCAGAATTTACGAATCAATTATTCTTAAGAGTTCATTAGAATACACAAAATTCAACATCATAAAATACTAGCACGTGCACCTAACGAGAACGGTATAGTAGAAAGACTGCATTCGACGTTATTAGAACATCTACGTATTTTAAAATTAGAAAATCGCGGTGAATCTGACATAAACCTAATGCCTTATGCAATTCTAGGATATAATAATTCTATTCACAGCTTCACGAAATGTAGACCCTTAGATATAATCACTGGTCATCTAGATCCTCGTCATTCTTTAGACATAAATTTATCAGAAAATATATTACAATTGTATACGCAGGAGCACCGCAATAAAATGCAAAAAGTCTATGAGATGATCAATGAATCATCCCTTCACAATCGTACTCGTATCACGGAAAATATTAACAGAGATAGGGAACCCGAAGAGGAGTATTCCCCAGATCAGCATGTATTTATACGAAATCCAATGGCTAACCGTCAAAAATTAGCTCCGAGATATACACGTGACATAGTCCTAGCTGACCTTCCGATTCACATTTATACTAAAAAGAAACGAGGGTCAGTCGCTAAGTCTCGATTAAAACGGGTCCCTAATAGTAACCGGTTGTTACAGGATTGTTCTTCTGATCCTGAGCCCAGTACGAGCAGAGGACATAACGCTGAATGATTTGGATAACGGACCTGGCATCTTACCTTTCTTTTTAGGGCAATCAAAGGTTATCTAATATCTCCCACTATCATTCTTTCATTCAACCCGTTAACGTAGATATTATAACTACTAACATTAATTTAGTAAGGAAACAATTAGATGATATTTCGCCTCAGTTCCATAATAAAACGCTTTCCTTATATCAACCTCACATAGAATATCTTTATAGTAAAACTACCTGACCCGGCGAACTTCGTACCGCCATATTTTATTTCTCTAATCGCAACTGAGGAAATAAAACCCTTCCGGTAAAATCGAATTAGCTAAATTGAAAATAAAACAGGAGTACTCAATTGAAAAATTCATATTGTTGTACGGTAGATAACATATAAGGTAGATAACATTGATTTTGACCAATTGTTTCCATTTAATATTTTTTTAATTTAATAAAATTGACAATTATCTCAACACTATTTTGTGCACAATATTCTTGGTTAACCTGTCTCTTGCTAATACAAACAAATTTGATGGTTTTCCCACACGTGAACAGGCCACATACAGTTGTCCATGAGAGCTAACTGAGATTTTACTGAGACTGTCACTTTCCGGGAGATAGTATTAATTCACTCGTTAAAAAAAGGAACTGAACTGCGGTGACACTCGGCGCCAGTGTTTATACCTGAACCTTGAATTTCCCGAACGTTCTAGTTCGCATGCTTCGAGACATGGCGACTCGATAGAATTTGATGGCCAGATCTTGAAACTTTGATTAAATTTTGGCGCCAAGACTTTAATAATTCTCTAACAAAAATAGTACACATTTTTTTTGTTATTAATAGTAATAATATTGTAATATAATACGCAGTGTAATTATAAAAATATCAGTCACAAACCATTAAAATAATACGGTTATATCGTGAACATAAATAAATATTACGTGAAATAAAGTAATAGAATTTACATTTTAAGAAACAGAACACAGCACCATCTATTTGCGGTGTTATTTGGGTGTATTTGCAACCTAGATGTCAAACAATATTGAAGAAATTTATCGATGAATCAACGTACACCGCCATCTATGAGAACTTCATAAAACTAAACAGTAAATAAACACTTGCTTAAGAAACAATTAATCGATACATTTTATTCGTTTACGTTCACGATATAAGCGAATAATTGAGATAACTATCCTATCCAGTAAGTTAGACCAAAATACGGGTACGTGTGAAATTTGATTGAAATCGGTTCAGTAGTTTTTGAGTTTATTGGCAACATACATCGTGACACAAGATTTTTATATATATATATATATATATATATATATATATATATATATATATATATAAGATAAAGCAGCTATCTGATCAAGTAGAGTTATTTCAATCTCATCGCACTAAGCGAGGCCTAATCGACGGGTTAGGTTCAGTAATAAAAAGCATTTCGGGAAACTTAGATTATACCGATGCCATTCGCTATGATAACGCTATTAAATCCTTACGAGAAGACGAGAATAAAATCGTCACGGAATTAAATAATCGTATTAATTTAAATAAACATTGGCCGTCTTATTAAAAAAAGCGGTGTAACTAAAAAACCTAGTTTAAACTTCTTTATACTGCGGTCTAAACAAATTTGGTATTACAAATCGTGGTTTTGCGATAAACCATAGACTATATCATGGTCTAACGCTAAACCTCGGCGACTCCTAATTTAACGATGGTCTAAATCACTAAATCGGATCTGTCAAAGTTTGTGTTTTATGTTATATCATCTTTTTCATTGTGTTGTGTTGTGTTAACTCGAAAATGGATATAAACATGGTCGATTTAATTGATATTGAGGATATTGAAGCCGCTGAAATGTTGGAATTACCACGCCGACACAACAGAAGTCGTGTTCGAGTCAGTCCCATCATGGAATTATCCGATGAAGATTTCAGGCAAAAGTATAGGTTTAATAAACGTTATGCAATGAAAATAGTGGACTTAGTAAAAGAAGATTTAACTAGAGATGCTCGAGGATGCCCTGTGTCTCCCGAAATACAAGTGTGTTGCGCATTACGAAGCTGGGCTCGACATGAAGTAAGTAGATTAAAAGCATAGATTGCATTTACCAAAACATTGGTAGCAATAAAAACTAAATTATGTACAAACTTATATTTTGTTTTTGTTTATTTATTTACGGACAACCAACAAAAGATACATTTATTTACACTACAGCATACTTATAACCTAACAATCTAATCTATGTCTGGTAAATATTATTTTAATAACAGGTTAACACACTGTTAACGCACATCACTAGCGAAACGAGAGCGGGGACCGGAGGGGAGACGGTGCGGGACGCGTCGGCCGCGGCGCGGCGTAGAACTTCACTCTTCGGCGAGCGAGCCTAGCGCAAGCGCATACATTATACTACATCTATACATCACTGTAATAAAGTACTGCATAAGAGGAATGCTTTCATTGATTTATATTCCATCATCAACATCTTCAACAATTGGCGACCGTGACAGGACCCGGCTGCAAGAATATCATTGGAACATATTGAAACAACGGCCGGACGGGAGTGGAAAGTTCCAGAAATTTCCAGGCGTCGACGCGTCGTGTCGGCCGGGCGATTACCGTTAGAAGACAGCGTATGGATCTACATACCTACAGTCAGCAATAATTGTCAGGGGAGTGCTCGTTCCTTTTATTCCTTTACAAATCTTTTCCTTTCTTTAAATTGTGTATATTTGTGTGCAAAACTTCGACTGAGTGAGATTAATCTTTATGCATAATTCATAATTCTTTGCTTGTGCTTATCGGGTGTACATAATTTGTTTTCCATTGCAATTCATAATAGCATAATGCAACTAGTGCTTGCTTAAAATAAGTACTAGGTACATAAGGCTGTATGCATTTTGCTGTCGCGTCTTAATTAAATACGCACATTCATTGCATAAGCACCTACATATACCTATTCTTTAAATTGATTTCTATCGCATAACTGTGCATAACTTGTTCACCAATTTAAGATATAGCTACAATATATGAACATTTACACTATAAACTATATAATTATTTAAATTATCAGATTTTAATACCCATGATTGTACATTAGACTTACTTTATTTAACGGAATACATGTCTAATATTTTATTGTTATTTGCCTAAAAGAATATTTTTTATTTCCTTTTGAAAAGTCGATACTGTGTTTGGCGCAACGCTTTAATTCATTTGTTCACGTAAAAATAACGGAAATTTCCAGTGTCGACGGCAGTCACGCACCGTGCGCGTGATTGTTTCTCCGCTTGCCGCTTGCCGCTTGCCGCCATATTGCCCGTTCCGCGTCCAGCGTGGCAGCCAGTCACCGTGCCGTACCGGAACGAAGACTCAAGCCTATTTTTTTCATCAGTGGTTTGATTTATGATCATCATTTTTATTTTGCTCAATTTATTAGACCCATTATTATTATATTATTTTATTTAATTTTGTTACCTTTATTCTAATATGTCTATTGCTAACAAATCCGGTGAGGTTGACCAACCGAAATTAAAAGAGCTCATCGCCTCACGCGGTGTGTCAAAGGGACGTTTGACTAAATTCAAACAATTTATAGACTCGTTAGCTCAACTTTCAATCGGCGACATTCCTAGCGTGCATATTAGGGAGGTTTCGAATAGGCTACATAAAATAGAAAACATATTTTTGGAATTTGATAAGGTTCAGGCTAAAGTTGAAATTTTGGTGGATGATGTATCCCAACAGGAAGAAAGACATTTATTCGAATCTACATATTATGCGACAATTTCTGCAGCACAGGAATTAATTGAAACATACACTAGATTACATGAAACGAAAAACGATAGAAGGGATAGTTGTTCGCGTAGTGAAGTTTCCGCAGGAGGTACGTGTAATCGTTTTAACAACATTAAATTACCAACAATTAAGTTACCTACTTTCGATGGTAATTACCTAAAGTGGTTGGAATTTCGGGATACTTTTGACTCGTTAATTAATTCTGAAGTCTCGATACCTAACATAAATAAATTTCACTACCTGAGATCCTCTCTAGAGGGCAGTGCTGCAATTATAATCAATTGAATTTACTTCCCAAAATTATAATGTAGCATGGGACTTATTGTGTAGTAGGTATGATAATAAAAAAATCCTAATAAATAATCACTTGAAGGCATTATTTAACATTGAGCCTATTACGCGTGAGTCGTTTAAAGCTATCCGATATTTAATTGATCATGTTTTGAAAAACTTAAGAGCCTTAGAGACATTAGAGCAGCCTACCGATAAATGGGATGTTTTAATAATTTATTTGATGACTACCAAGTTAGATTCTGTCACACTTAGGAAATGGGAAGAGCTTAAAAATAACGCATTGCACGTGGCTACGTTATCAGAATTTATTCAGTTTTTGCGTAACCGAGCGGACATTCTCGAAACGATGTTAGGTAATAAGAGCGAAAAACCTGTAGTTCAGCGAGAACATAAAAAACATGAAATCACTCATTATACACCATTTCAGCATAAGCATCATAAAAGTTTAGCTGCTTCTTCAAAATTGGTTTTGAGTTGTCCATCCTGTAATCAAAGACATAAAATTATTGATTGCAGCGAATTTAAGAATTTTACTCCGGAGAGCAGGTTAAACAGGGCCATACAACTTAATCTCTGTTTGAATTGTTTACGAAGAGGTCATACTGCTAATGATTGCCGCTTGGGTACGTGTAGGATCTGTAAGGAAAAACATAATACGTTATTATGTACGAATAGAGATAACAATAGAACGAATAATGTCTCACTTTCACTGTCAGCTCAGTCTACAGGTCAGGTCCTCTTAGGTACAGCCATGGTTCACGTAGTAAATCCTAGAAATAAAAATACTTACCTTGCTCGTGCTCTACTCGACGCAGGTAGTCAATCATCCTTCATTACAGCAAACCTGAAAGAAAAAATGGGTTTAAATAGTACAAATAATAATTCTTGTATAACAGGAATAAATAATACTACATCTTATGTATCTGATATATGTAATGTGACACTTAAATCATTAGTCACAACCTTTAGTACTCACCTTAAATGTTTAGTGATGCCTAAAATTACTGGTCACTTACCTAACTTTCCTGTGAATGTTGCGCAGCTTAACTTACCAGATACAATTCAGTTAGCTGATCCTAAATTTTATCAGCCCTCTGAAATTGATATTCTCATTGGTGCAGACTTGTTCTTTAATATTATTTCTTCTCATCAAATGCGCCTAGGCACGGGCATGCCCATCCTTCAGAATACGAAGCTTGGATGGATAGTGGCCGGTCCTCTTGACGAGCGTAATTACATTAAACCTAATAAAGTAAGCAATAGGGTACACTGCAACTTCACAAAGCAAATCAGCGACGATTTAGCCAAGTTTTGGATGCTTGAGGAAATCCAGTCTTCAAATGTGCCTCTATCCGCGGAACATGAGTTTTGTGAAAACCATTTTCTTGAGAATACCTCACGACTACCTAACGGTCGATTCTCAGTCTTAATGCCTATGCTAGAAGATCCTCATAAGGTTTTAGGTGATTCATATAACATGGCAGAGAGGCGGTTCTTAAGCTTAGAGAAAAAACTTAATAAAAATCCATGTCTTAAAAAACTATATAGCGACTTTATTCATGAATACGAGGCGCTTGGTCACTTAAGTAATATAACAAGGCCAGCCTTCGGATATTACATGCCACATCATGCAGTCATTCGAGAGTCATGTGATACAACAACCACAAATGCAAGCAGCATAACAAGCCTGCGCGTGGTGTTTGATGGATCGGCAAAGACCAGTACAAACATATCCTTAAATGATATTCAAGGTGTAGGTCCAGTGGTGCAGGATGATTTATTTAATATTCTCATACGTTTTCGGCAGCACAGATACGTTATAACAGGAGATATATCAAAAATGTATAGACAAATTGAACTAAAACAATCTCAACGCCATTTACAACTTATACTGTGGCGCGATGATGAGTCAAGGCCAATTAACACTCTACAGCTTAACACTGTAACATACGGTACTGCTTCAGCACCTTTTATAAGTACAAGGTGTCTACGACAGCTAGCCATTGAGTGCACTGACCTTAAGGTGTCAGAAGTAATTAAACATGATTTCTACATGGATGATCTACTGACTGGAGCTTCTACAGAAACCGATTTAGTGCATATCTATAATGGTGTAATTAAAACATTGACATCCGCTTGCCTACCTATTCATAAATTTAGAACGAATTGTCCTAATATGTTTGTAGAACCCTCAGAGACACGATCTTTGGATTTCAATAAAGAGTCAAGTATTTTGGGAGTTCTTTGGACACCTAATACAGACACATTGCGATTTACACTAAACATAGATACAACACCTAAACAAGTCACCAAAAGACATATTCTATCTAACACTTGCAAAATATTTGACCCACTTGGCCTTCTGAGCGCTTGTACAATTACACTTAAGGTACTCTTACAACGTGGCAGTTAAAATTACAATGGGATGAGCCCGTCCCACACGACATAAATAAAATTTACTTAAAGTTAGTTACTAATTTAAATACATTACTTACAGCTTCAATTCCGAGATACGCGCTGTGTTCTTCACCCGTAGCGATTGAGATCCATTGCTTTGTAGATGCTTCGCAGATAGCTTACGCGGCGTGTACCTATCTTCGTTCGATAAATTCGGATGGAGTCGTAACCGTAAACCTTTTATGTTCTAAAACTAGGGTCGCTCCCTTGAAGCCCTTAACTATTCCTAGACTCGAACTGTGTGCGGCCTTACTCGGAGCTCGTCTCACGACTAAGGTTAGGGAATCCTTGCGCTGTGCGGTTAGTAATACAGTATATTGGTCTGATTCGACAATTACATTAGCCTGGATCAAGACTCAACCAAAACTATTGAAAGCCTTTGTTTGCAACCGTGTTAATGAGATTAGAGAGCTTACAAACCGCGATTCTTGGCGACATACGCCTACAGAGCTAAATCCAGCTGATATGGCTTCAAGGGGTATAGAACCACATAGTTTACTTAATTCTGCATTATGGTGGTCCGGTCCTAACTTCCTGTTACAACAGGAATCGGACTGGCCAGAACAATCTACTGCAAAAATTATAGATTTGCCCGAAATTAAAGTTCATCATAATCGTGTTTCAACAGGTAACTTAATAAAATTCGAAAATTATTCAAATGCTAATAAGTTAATTAGAATTGTAGCTTATATATTAAGATTCATAATTAATTGCAAAACTAAATCAAAAAATAAATGTCCTCTAGAACCTAACGAACTTAAACAATCTCTTGAGTATCTCCTTAAAACTTCACAACGCGAATCCTTCATGGCAGAAATTGAAACCTTGGCTCGCGGTAAACCTCTTAAGTCTAAATCTTCCATTTTACAATTGACACCCTTCCTTGACGAACATAATGTGTTAAGGGTGGGTGGCAGACTTACTAATTCAGATCTTGATTTTGATAGAAAACACCCAGTTTTATTATCTGGAAAACATCACTTTACCAAAGTTTTAATGGAATCCGAACACATACGTTTATTTCACGCTGGCCCACAACTTCTACTTTGTACATTTAGAGAAAAATACTGGCCTATTGGTGGCAGAGCTTTAGCCAGGAATGTCGTCCGTAAATGTATAATATGCACGCGATTAAAGGCTAAGCCTATGGAACCCTTGTTGGGAAACCTACCATTAAATAGATTAACCCAATTCTATCCCTTTCAAATTTGTGGCACTGATTTCGCTGGCCCGTTTATGATTTCGTCAAAAAAAGGTCGGGGCAATCGCATTTCAAAGGCCTATTTATGTTTGTTTGCTTCGCAACCAAGGCATTGCATTTGGAAACGGTTAGCGATCTCAGTGCACAGGCCTTTATTTCATGTCTAAAACGGTTCATTGCAAGGAGAGGTAAACCTCATCGTATATATTGCGACAACGGTAAAAATTTCGTGGGTGCTAATAATGAATTGGGCAAAATATTGCGTGCGAGTCTTCGTTCCGTTAAGGATTTTTCTGCCAATGAAGGCATAGAATTTTGTTTCAACCCGCCATACTCACCCACATTCGGGGGATTATGGGAGGCTGGCGTAAAAAGCGCTAAATATCACCTAAAAAGAGTTGTAGGAAACGCTTCTCTCACTTTCGAAGAGTTGAGTACACTTTTTACACAAATTGAAGCGATCCTCAACTCCCGACCGCTAACTCCTTTATCTAGTGACCCAAAGGACCTTTCTCCCTTGTCCCCAGGGCACTTCCTTGTGGGACGACAGCTGACATCGCTGCCGACTCCGCCAGGCGACGTGAATGGTAACATACGAACACGGTACCAGCTAATCGACCAACTCCGACGCCATTTTTGGGACCGATGGAGCCATGAGTACATATCCGGTTTACAAGAACGAACGAAGTGCCGCCTTAAGAAGGAGGAACTAAAACCAGGGGATATGGTCGTCTTTAAAGAAGAAAATCTACCGCCCCTAAAGTGGAGATTGGCAAGGGTCCATCAGTTATACCCTGGATCCGATGGAGTCTGCAGAGTGGCGGATTTTATCACTTACCGCGGCATCGAGCGCCGAGGCTTAAACAGAGTGTGCCCTCTGCCAGTGGACGACGGTCTTGAAAGTCTTGAAAGAACCACCTTTCAAGGGGGGCAGATTGTTAACGCACATCACTAGCGAAACGAGAGCGGGGACCGGAGGGGAGACGGTGCGGGACGCGTCGGCCGCGGCGCGGCGTAGAACTTCACTCTTCGGCGAGCGAGCCTAGCGCAAGCGCATACATTATAGTTTATACTACATCTATACATCACTGTAATAAAGTACTGCATAAGAGGAATGCCTTCATTGATTTATATTCCATCATCATCATCTTCAACACACACTATGCAGTACACATCAAGTAATATAAATTATAAATAATAAAACAGTTAAATTAATTAGTTAAGTTAAAAAATATATAAAATTATATTTTTTTTTTGTTTTAATAGATCCAAGATGACACAGCTGATTTGCACGGAGTCTCACAACCTTTCATAAGCAAGATATGTAAAAATATTAGTGATGTGCCGGATCGTTAAAAATGTAGATCCGCGGATACGGATCTGAATACGGATATTTGGTGTCAAGATCCGCAGATACGGATACGGATACGGATCTTAACTTTTTTATTTATTAATTACTTTGTCGTTGCGCGCGATCTTGAGTTGACAACTTGAGGTTGAGACACGTTTCGACTTGTATTGCGCGGCGGCTTGCATCTTTCTTTTGTTTTGTTTTAGTTTAATGTGACACTGGGCAGCATAGATAACGCTTGTGTTTGGTATTGGTGGTACATGATTTTAAAAAAATGTCTACAAAGAAGTTTAGTAGTGTAATTTGGAATTATTTTGTGATAATAAATGATGAATGTGCAAAGTGTAAAATTTGTGATGGAAAGTATTCTCGTAAGGGTAAAGGCACAACTTCCTTAAAAAATCATTTACAAAGAAAACATCCTCAAGAATATAAATTATTCTTTAAAGAAGACTCTGCTAAGAAGAGTATCGACGAAATATCACGGCCGGGAACATCTTCACAAACGGTAAAAAGAGAATTTAAACAAACTTTTTTTAAAGAATACATGGAAAAAGCTAAAATGTGGGATAATACAAACCACAAATCTATAAAAATAGACTATTTGATTGCTGAAATGTTAGCTTTATCAGATCTACCTTTTCAACACGTAGAAGAATTAGGGTTCCGCCGATTGATGGACCATATTGTTCCAAATTATGTTTTAAAAGGTAGAAAGTATTTTACGGACCTTGTTTGTAGTGAGCTGTACGATAAAGTGTCATTAAAAATAAAAGACATGTTACAAGATTTTGAAAAAGTTTCCTTCACGTCAGATATCTGGTCTGACTCTTCATCAGGAGTTTCATTGTTATCCTTAACATGTCATGGTATTACTAAAGATTTTCAACGAAAACATATCGTTTTGAAAGCGGAAGTTCTTGAAGAACGTCACACGGGAGATTATATTTCGGAAATATTTCAAAGTATGTTAGAAGAATGGGGAATTTTGAAACAAAATGTGCACTGTATGGTAAGAGATGGGGGATCCAATATGAAGCGCGCCTGTTATTTATCTGAAGTACATAGTATCGACTGTACAGCACATCAGTTACATTTGGTGGTTAAAAATGCAATACAAAAAGTTAATGAAATTTCCATATTACTTACAAAATGTAGGAAAATTGCTGGACATTTCAATCATTCCACGATGGCAAAGCAAGAATTAGAAAAAATACAAGTTCGACTCAATCAAAAAGTTCTAAAAGTTTTGCAAGACTCACCAACACGCTGGAATTCCAGCTATTATATGTTGGAAAGACTTGATTGCATCAAGGAGTCGTTGTCGCTTTATTCTTCTAATAATAAAATAGAACAATTTGATGCCGATGACTGGATTTTAATTCAAGAATTAATAAAAGTGCTGAAGCCTTTGGAAGACACTACAAAAAAATTAAGCTCACAAAACACGTGTATATCTGACGTTATTCCTCTAGTACGAGCATTGAATAAAATCTATGACGAGAAAAATATGCATATTAGTGACATTAGTGTATCCGCAGTTGTGACCTTTGTGTCTGCTTTGAAGAATGAATTAGAGTATCGTTTTTCTGAAATTGATAAAAATGTTTTGTATCAAGTAGCCACATTTTTAGACCCACACTACAAAGGGAAATTCTTCAGTGAGATTCTCATAAAAGAAATAAAAGAAAAATTGCTTAGAGTTTTAGAAACTGAAGTAAATCTTACAGCAACTACAATCAGTACTGAAAACAAACCAATTACTGTTAGAAAAGAACATTGCACGAGCCTAGAAGAGTCTATTGCTAATATGTTAGATAGTGATGATGACGATGAGCAATCTGAAAGTCAAATATCAGATACGAAAGCTAATTTGCTCATCGAATATATGTCAGAAAAAAGATTACCAAGAGATCAAGACCAACTAAAGTATTGGCAAATTAACAGTAAAAAGTTTGGAAGTCTTAGTCACATTGCTCGTACATATTTATCATCACCTGCAACAAGTATTCCAAGTGAGCAAGTTTTCAGTGCAGCAGGAATTGTTTATGATCCTCATCGTAACAGGCTTTTGGGGGACAAAGCTGCCAAGTTACTCTTTTTGAAATATAATATACCATTACTTAATTTTAATTATGACTTATAATTTTCTTAAGTTCCTTTAATTGTCATTGTGATTTTAATTTAACATTAACACTGTACCTATGTGTCACGTAGTACTAGTTTACTTGATTAAAAAATAATTTAATTTGAATTTAAAATATTACGAAGAGCTAAGTTTTGTTTTCTTAATAAAAACTGACCTTATAACTTTTTATAATATTGATCTCATTAAAAAGCTAGTTGATTTAGCACCTTGGAGTTATATACTATTAGATGATAACTAGCTACGGCAAAGTTTGCAACATAAAGGAGCCAAATATTTGATTTTAAAAAATAAAAAAATATCTGTACTAAATTTAATAGTTTTTTATTTCTACCTAATGACCTATTTAAGGCGAAGAGTAAGGCGCACTAGCGACGCCAATTGCTTAAAATTGCTAAGTAGCTACTAAACCGGATCTATTTTAAATAATTATGGATCGTCAGAATCTCGGCAATTGACGTCGCTAGTGCGCTTTACCCTTCGCTGTTAAGAATTTTATATATAAATTTAAAATTAATGAGGTAAATAGATCCGTAAAAGATCCGCCAAAAAGTAACGGATACGGACACGGATACGGATCTTTCTTCTGCTTCGGATATCCGCGGATACGGATACGGATACGGATATCCGGCACATCACTAAAAAATATTGCAGAAACCATTGCCCGAAAATCACATAGATTTATAAAAATGCCTGCTACATTGAGAGAACAAGGGTAAGCAATGCAAAAATTTCGCAGAATTGCAAATTTTCCTACAGTAATTGGTGCAATTGACTGTACTCACATCAAAATAAAAAAGCCAAGTGAAGATGGTGGTCAACTATATATTAACCGAAAAGGATTTGCATCAATTAATGTTCAGGTATTATTGATTTTATATACATATTTTTCTTCCAAAATAAAGGAACAACGACTTTAGTCCACAGCCCCATCCCCGATGAGGCTTTGGTTATAATGTTGGAAAATTGTTTAACCTACCCAAGGCTTCACTCACAGTGTCCATGTGTAATACCTGCCTTGGCTTAACATGGAATATGGATGTAGTGGAAAAGTATAATTAGGATGTTTTGTGCATACCAAAAAAAAACCTTTTTAAAATCTAGTGGTTTTGAAGGAGTGAGCAGACAAAAAGACATAAGTGGCCAGTGACTTTGTTCTATAATATGTACTGATAGTGAATACTTAGTCATGCTTATGTAAGTAAGAAATACTAAAATATGTAACTATTGTTCCAGGTAGTTTGCGATGCAGATTAAAAAATCATGGACATTGTTACTAGGTGGCGTGGGAGTGTTCATGACTCACGAATATTTAGAGAGAGTCGTTTGAAGCAGCGATTTGAGGCTGGTGCATTCTCAGGCATATAGCTAGGAGACAGTGGCTATGCTTGCACACCATATTTGTTTACTCCATTACTGCGTACTACAACACCTCAAGAGGAGCGGTACAATAATGCACACATTGGCACCAGAAACACAGTGGAAAGATGTTTTGGGTTGTGGAAGCAGAGGTTCCGCTGTTTATTAAGAGGCCTTTACTGCAACATTGAAACTGCTAAAACAACAATTGTAGCTTGTGCTGTATTGCACAATATTGCCATAGATATGAAGGAAGATGTGTTCCATAGTGGGTTTGATGACAATAAAGCTAACACACAAACATCTGCAGCAGTAGCTTTACCAGTGGATAACAATGTACGTGGAAATATAAGAAGACGGCAATTCATTGAAAGACACTTTTAATTAAAATAATATATTTTAAATTTAAACCTTACATAATTCTAATTATTATAACATTTCTTTCAACCATAAGTAGTACTAGAGTTCTTCCTTTTTTTCTAATAATTTTATTTCAAGTTCCAGTTTTTTTAATTTTAATTCAGCAATTCTTACACTGTACTGGTGCTCCACTTCTAGCATATCTAATTGTTTTTTTTTAAATTGACAGTTGGACTTCAATATTGTCTCTTGTAATGCTTCTTTTCTGTGAAATATTTACTCTTTATATTTTATACTAAGCAAATAATAAGAATATATTCTAGGATAATCTTTCTTACATGCTTTGAGGACCCTTTTTACCCGACTGCTTCCTACGAATATTGTCTTTTTTTCTAGGGGTACTAATTCCAACATTTACCATTGAGGTACCTAAAAGTATTTTAATTACATATAGACGAATTATATAAAAAATCTTTAGTTCATGTTATATATTTTTTGAATATAAAAAATTTAAAGTATGGTTAAAATAAAGGAATACAATTTTAAAATTTATAGATGAATTATTATTTTTACCTTGGTCCATTATAACCTCTATTACCTCATCATTGAATTCAGGAGGTGGTTCTATTATAGGAAAAAAGCTTGTACTAGGCCCAGCTGTAATTTCACTATCTTGGGTGTTTAATTGAACCTACAAGTACTTAAAAACTGTTATTTAAAACTGTATATTAATTTTATTAGTATTTTATAAAAATATGTAAAGAACAATTTGCTTACATCAGTTTTTATTGCATCACTGTCATAGTCATTGTATTCCACAATAAAATCGTGTGGAGCAATATCCATAATCGCCATATCTCCTTGAGAAGGCGACTTGGGCTTTTCACCACCCCCTGTCTTCATTTGGTGTTGCCTATGAGCGGACAAGTTAGCTTTAGCCGCAAGCTTCATCCTCTTCCATGCCAATTTAATTTCACCATCAGACCTATTTTTTCCCATGAGTTCATTAATTCTGAAAATATTTCAATAACATGATAATTAATTCCGAGTGGAGTGAGTGTTACAAATCGTATATAGTTTTTGAAACTATATATTGTATCGATATCGTATATCGCTATATCGGTCTCTGAAGTAACTATATATCGAGCAAAACACTATATCCGAACTGATTCGATGATACGACGAATAGACGATATGTACGATATAAGATATTATTATTTTATACTGTTGCGCTTGATACAAACCGAGCGGGAGTGAAAGGGCGCGCGTGATTTACAAGTGAGATGGATGAATGAAGTGAAATATTTAGTTATGCACGCTGCCATTTAATTCTGAACTTTACGGTACTGCAATATAAAGTATACGATATTGTCGTTTTTTTAGCGATTATGGTGTGACTGGACTAATATTATTTGCATGGTTTAATAATCGACTTTATATGTAGGACGTAATGACATAATATCAATAATATTAAGATCTAAATATTAAACTAACCTTTTGGCCTTGGAAAGACGAAAAAATTAAAAGCACATTTTTAGGTGACGAATATATTTTTTAGTTTCGATAATTGCATTATTGCAACTAGGACATTCTTAGCTATTGTTCATTGATTTTGTTATTAAATACATATTTTTGATCAAAGAAAGTATTCCATTAATAGCGAGCATATATAAAATAACAGCTAGAAAATAATAAAAAGAAGCATAAGTCCTAAGTCTGGGTAAAGTATGAAGGAAAGTTCATTCATTTTCATATAACATATCTCAACACTCTTTCACTCGCACTAAAATATATGATATAATTATGTAAATACTTATGCACAAATTGTTCCGTATCGATATATCTAACAAACAAAAATATCGAAAATGATATCCGTATCGATCCGTATCAGTACATTATATAGATTCATAAAATATATGGTTTCGATATCCGATATCGAATATCGATATATAGTTTCGATTCGATATTCAGCAAAAGCTATATCACCCACTCCTAAATTTCCGACACAGGAGTGGCTTATTGTTTATAACAGATTGCCATGTCGCAGAACTCAAAAGAAAAAAAATATGATAATTTGCATAGTTAACGGGTCACTTATTAATAAAAAAAACTTAACACTTACTTGTTTGCTATGTTCTTCCACTCTTGAGCCTTTTTAATATTGGAAGAAGCTCTCGTGGATTTGTCCTCAATTATGTGGCGTAATTGTGCAATCATCTCGTGTAGTATATCCTATAATATTTAAAATTTAGGTAAGCTTAAAACCAATAAATTATAGATGGATTTCAAGTTCATGTAAGTAATGTATGTTTACTTACTTTTTCCTCGGCACTCCAATTCTCAGATCGCTTTTAAGGCTTTTAAGGGTTAAGTTAAAGAAATTAAAAATTAAGGAACAGAACCAAAACCAAAAAGAAAAAACAAGACAGAAGTGGAGAAAATACTCTTACCGCTACTATAAAAAAGAGAAAAATAAGTCTATTAGTGATCCGAGTACAGCAAATACGGTCACAATAACAAACGAACATATTATTAAGAGATGGAATCTTAAAATAATTAAACTTCGAAAAGTATTAAGACGCTGCCAAGATGCATTAAATAAGTCATTAAAAAAACAAGAAACCATGAGAAAGCAAATTTATCGGCTAAAGCGAGAAAGGATTCTTTACAGAAATCAATCAAGAGAGCAAACAATCGACGAAGACCAGCCATCAAAACCTACTGAATTTCACATTCTATCTGAGTCTCTCAGTTCAGTATACAAAGAGTCTACACATAAAGAAAATGCAGTTTTAAAAAAAAATATTTGTAATGGTTTGACTAAAAAGTATCGTATGGTCACAAAAATGAGACAAGTTATCGGAATAAAAGGGAGATTTCGCACTAAAATGTCTTTTTCAACTAAAAGGAAGTTACTTATTCAACGGATTCACAATTTTTATTTGCGAGATGATATAAGTCGTGCTTCAGCCGGCAAGAGAGAATGTAAAACTAAAAGAAAAACTAAAATGCAAATACGTTTCTTAACGGACACTATATTAAATTTATATACAATTTATAAAAGAGAAAGAGGCAAAGCATCGTATTCTACACTAGTTAGACACCGTCCATTTTACGTTTTACCTCCAAAGCTACATAATAGAGAAACGTGTGCCTGCATATGGCATGCTAACATATCTTTTAAAATAACAAAACTTTACAAGCTTGGACTTTTAAAAACAAATAAAATTGAAGAACTTTTAAAAGATATTGCTTGTAATCTAGATTCAAAAGAGTGCATGTACGGAGATTGCCAAGTACCGGTGTAGCATACCTCAAAAATGAAAATCCAGCTGGGTTTTGTTCAATTTCTCCGAATAACGAACATAGCCCGCAAACCATCTGGGCTCACCTCTTACCAGTTTTATATTCAATTAAATATCAAAACCCTGAAATAGATACCTTACATATACATTCTGACGGCCCCACAACACAGTACCGGCAAAAGACAAACTTTGCACTTTTTGATAAGTTTACCAAACGTATGTAACGTACGTAGCAGATGGTATAGGTGGAGTACTGAAAAGAACGTTGAATATGCCACGTGGGATATGGAAAAGATATTCCAAATGCCCTTGAGGCTTTTAAACTTTTAAAACAAGAGACAAATATAATACTTTATTATGTATCAGATAAAGATATCGAACAACATATAAAAACATATCCCGTACCTAATTTGTGGCCTTTAATTGGAACTATGGCCGTACACCAAATTATAACCACCAATGAGCTTGGAATAATAAAACATAGGCAGGTGAGCTGTTTTTGTGGTGATGATAGAGGTAGCTGTTCTTGTTTTAACGTTAGAAAGCATAGACTCTTTAAGAAAGAAAATATTGAGATTCAAGCAAGTGTTGAAAAAAAATTACCAAAGAGTTCTAAAAGGAAGAAAGAATATTGTGATAGAATTAAAGTCTTAAAACGGAAGAAAAAAGAGTAACTAATGTTCAGAATATTAAAAAACAAAAACAGACGTCTGATAGATATAAAAAAAGTGACAAAATAAAAAAAGAATAAACCACCAAAGAGAGGGAAGAAGAGTATATCATTCAATTGCGATACTACTGACACTGATGAGGAAGTCGTCTATGCCGAAAGTCACAATAGTCCATATGTTAATCAAGAAAGTAACTCGCTGTCATCGGACATTACAACAAAAGCCAACAATAAAGTCACTATTTTATCAGATATTCGATTGCATCCAGACAATCAACGATTTTGCTTCGCCAGGAGTCTCGTCAATGCATAAGAATGATACTACCCACGATAATATATCCTTATTTTCAAAAAATAACAATTATTACTCCAGTGGCAATGACTCAAATTTTGAAATCAACATAATAATACACATACATAATATTAGACATAATTTTGATCTCATGGACATCTTTCTCCAACATTAATAATATTTGTGGCTTTTTTATACTAAAATTTAGACTATACCTACTTTGTGGAAAAATGAATATTTGTTACCATTCCATTTACCCCTAATTTCATTATTAAATAAAACTATCTTTTCGGATTATTTCGCGGATTTATTTTGATTTTTGGTTCCCGATGTTTTGAATGCTTTACAGCATCCATGGTCACGGGAGAGACTGAGGTGTTACATGTCTTAAAGATATAGTTGTTACAGACAGCCTACCCACAATTAACAACTATATCTTTAAGACATGTAACACCTCAGTCTCTCCCGTGACCATGGATGATGTAAAGCATTCGAAACGTCGGGAACCAAAAATCAAAATAAATCCGCGAAATAATCCGAAAAGATAGTTTTATTTAATAATGTCAAACATTCGCGTAAATCTAAGAAAGTATTACCCTAATTTCATATGAAGATTTTTTTAATTTCCTAATTCAGTTAGATGTTGATTTTTGAGAAGTTATAATTTTTGTTACTTTAAAATATATTATTTCAATTAATCCAAATAAGACTGATTAAACCAAACACAAGTGTTTTATTCACCCAATCCAAAATTTGTACTTAGTTTAATGTGTACTATGCCTTATGACATCAGTTTCGTTACGAAGATTCTCAGTATCGTTACCTATCAGTTTAGTTACAAATTTAAAATGTACAATTTTTCTGAGTATGACCCATATAACGAAACATGGTCTCCTCTGTAATTAATAGATTTCACTATGCTAGAGACATGATAGATGGCACAAGTTCTTCTTCATGGTGCTTCAACATGTGAACACACAGACCTGGTTTGATTACAAGGAATTAATTGTGTGTATTGAATACACAAATCTGATAAAATGACATCTCAACAAGGAGGATCTAGCGGCCATCATGCGCCTACAGCAGGACCTAAACCCAGAAGAACTTCAATTACTGAGGCTACTAATGGGAATTTGAGAACGAAAACACCTCCTCCCATACCTCAATCTCCTGCACCTCAGGAAGAGTCAAATGCTCCTGAATGGGACATCTTAACTGGATTTCTTAAGATGTCTACTGAGGAAAGGGATACAATTGCTGCTGACCAAATTAGGCTAGTTAATCCATCCAATACTGTGATGGTTAGAGCTGCCATAGTTGGAAAAGTACTGAAAACTAATTTTGATGCTACCAATGCTTTGGTGAAACTGATGGCGTATGAAGGATTTAATCCTATAACCACCATAAAATAATTAATGACAAAGGCCGAAATGTGGAATAAAACTGACAGATCAGAAACATGGACTCTTGAAGTAGATAATATGAGATTCCATTTAACAGAAGTTGCTGATTTGTCGAATGATGTCCTATTTCTGATAACTTTGTTCTTGACTCGAGGGAACAACCTGAGGAAAATCTTAGCAAGTATTGATACCAAAGTGAAAACTCCATTGAGAGTTAAAATTCAGACTTATTCTATAAAAAGTGATTCAGATGAAGACATGGCTCGAAGGAAAAGAAGTGAAAAAGTGGATATGAATTCTAAACTCTATACTATTTCTACCCATCAGTAAAATGCTTAATATCTACTATCAGAATTTCCGTGGTATAAATACAAAACTGGACGATATTCGTTTGGCAACCTTGCGAACTAATTATGATTTGATAGTCGCAACTGAAACCTGGCTGAATGAATCGGTTATGGACAGTGAGCTGTTTAGTGAAGATTTCAATATTTACAGAAGAGATCGTCAATCGACCAAACTCTCAACTAAACGCGGTGGCGGCGTCCTATTTGCAGTTTCTAAGAAATACATATCACGCCGAATTGAACACTATGAAAGTGCACATGAAGATTTGTGGATTAATATTAAACTGAACAACAGCGGAATGTCAAAAAACATATTAGTCTGCGTACTATATTTACCACCGCCTGTAGTGCCTAATACTTTAAATTTAATATTAGATAACATAAGTTCCAATTTGCAATCATACCAAGGTGAAGTGTTAATTTTGGGTGATTTCAACCTAGGCTTTACAGACTGGTCTTGTGATATTAATAACTGTAATTCAGTCACTCCTCGTAATTATGGTAACTTACTAGGGTACGCATTAATTGACTTTATTTCACTCCACAATCTCACTCAATACAACTGCATACGTAATGACAATGGACGCGTCTTAGACCTGGTGCTAGCAAACTTTGACAATATTAAAGTATCTAAATCCCTTGACGTGCTTAGTAAGCTCGACCCTCATCATCCACCTCTAGACGTTGAAATTATACAACAATCCAATAGTTGTCTAAACTCTATACCGTTCGCTACACATGCCTTTAAAAAAGCAGATTACAATAAAGTGAACTCCGAACTGAGACGCATCGATTGGGTTTTCGAATTCCGTTGCAGTAATGATGTTAATGTCATGGTCGAAACATTTTATCGTATAATTAACAAAGTTACCACCACTAACAACGACACCACTATTCCTAAACTTAGGCCAAAGACTAAGAGGCATCCTGTTTGGTTTACACATAGCCTAATAAAATTGATAAGAGAGAAAGAAAACATTAGACGACGACTAAAAACGTATAATAATCCTAGAGACAAGTTGGAACTCTCACTTGCCAAATCAAGGACTGAGTCCTTAATGAATGCTTGTTTTAGTGAGTATATTTCTGATACCGAAAAATCCATTGCACGAAATCCTAAAAAAACTTTGGTCGTATGTGAAAAAGCGCAAAGAGTCTACCTCTGACATTCCATCGGATATGTTTTTGGGTAACATTGCAGCCAATTCCGGTAAAGATATATGTAACCTATTTGCACAACAGTTCTCTTCGCTTTTTGATGCCACACCACCTAGTCAGTCAGCGACTACTTCGGATGCCTTTCCACAAAAGTCTGTCTCTAATATTCACATAACGGAACGTGAGATTGACAAAACACTTAAGTCTTTAGATCCCTGTAAAGGCGCTGGACCTGACGGCATACCTCCACTTTTTATAAAAAAAGACCCACAAATATATTACTTTGCCCCTAAAGTTAATATTTGAGAAATCCCTGACAACTTCGAAATTCCCCGAGACCTGGAAGTGCGCCAATATTCTTCCCATATTTAAAAAAGGAAACAAAAATAACATTCAAAACTACCGTCCCATATGTATTTTGAATATATTTTCTAAGGTTTTTGAAAGTTTAATATGTCCAGTTATTTCTAACCACTCCAAAAATATCATTTCTGCTGACCAACATGGATTTTGCCGAAACAAATCGACGGTATCAAATCTTGTCAGCTATATCTCTTCCCTAACCAAATACGTGGACAAAAAACAACAAGTCGACAGCATTTACACTGATTTTAGCAGTGCCTTTGACAAAGTCGATCATAATATCCTAATTTTAAAGCTAGGGGGGTACGGGATTCACGACCCATTACTGTCGTGGTTTAGATCATATCTCAGCAATAGAGTGTTGAGAGTAACAGCTAAAGGCTACACGTCAGATCCGTTTATCGCAACATCTGGTGTTCCCCAAGGATCTCACCTGGGCCCTATTTTATTTACACTATTTATAAATGACATAACAAATCATATACGTTACAGTAAGTGCTCCATTTTTGCAGATGATCTCAAAATTTATCTTGATATTAAAAAACCAGAAGAAAGCCATCTATTACAAAAAGATCTTTGTTCAATCCAGAAATGGTGTACTGATAATAGAATGACCCTTAATGCTTCAAAATGTGCTCACATAAAATTCACTCGGAATAGGAGGAAGATTGACACAGCTTATTACATTCATGGTCAACAACTGCAAGAGGTCTCAGTTGTAAAGGATCTCGGTGTTATGATTGACTCAAAACTTACTTTCTTAGAGCATCAAAATCAAATAATTTCCAGGGCCTGGAGAATGCTTGGTTTCATCAAGCGTAACACTCTTAAATTTAAAGGGACTGATTGCATTATTACAATATTTAATGCACTGTCAAGAAGTATCTTGGAATATGCTTCACCGGCATGGAACCCACATTATAAGAGTCATATCGCTAGAATAGAGAGTGTCCAGCGTTCTTTTACAAGATACTTGTCCTACAAAAACCACTCTTGTCCCTATAGAGCCGACTACGCGACACGGTTGAAACATTTTAGAATAAGAACTCTGGAAAAACGGAGGCTTGTGAGTGATCTAGTTACTCTGCACAAAATAATCCACAATGTTCTGGATACTCCCGAAATTCTTTCTCAAATAAATGTGAATGTCCCGCACTCTACTCCTAGATTTCCTATAAAAAATATATTTTCACCTAGCACTTCCAGGACCAACCTTGGCAAATATTCCCCAATAAACCGTTTAATTAATGCGTACAATAGTTTACTAAATACCGACAATGGCATTGAAATTGATATTTTTAACGACACTCTAAATAACTTCAAAAAAAAAAATATTTGTATGACTGAACTAATGTAATAATATAATTTTATAAGTATAGCTGTTTCAAATTATAAATACTAATAATTATTTTTATTGTACATATTATTCTAATTTTAACATTAATTTATATTATGATTATTTAATTATAGTAATATGTGTAATTCTTTAATTTAATTTCATCTATTATAAATATTTATTAGACATTGTATTTAACATTTTATATATTATTGTTTTATAGCCGGAAATGTTATTAATGCTGTGTATGCCTATAATTAATGCTTGTACTAGAATAAGTAATCTTATAATATAATAAACATATTCATTAATGAAATAATAAATTCATTAATGAAAAACGCGGTGGAAATCACAAAGTACGGGCCACAAAGGGAGTCTATTCATAAATTTGTGGCTGACTCTCGTTTATAAAACATTAAATATTTAACATAAATACATAAACTATACATAACAATTTTTACACTATATATATATTCACACACTATACACACATACACCTACATAATTGTAAATTAATAATAAATAAAATACGCATAGGCATCTATTAAGCCTTGAACTTGAGCCGTACGGACAGCTGATCGAGGTGACGTAATACTCATCTTTCCTCCCGCGCACCGCACCTCAGTGTTAACCGTTAGCGGCGCCCGCGCATCAACCGAAAATCTTTTCAAGTTAAAAGTTACTTAAGATTATTTTGTTTAGATTATTGTTTTTTGTGATTACAGTGCAACCTTAATATAACGTACCTCAATGTAACGACTTCCTCGATTTAACAAATTCTTCGTAATCCCCTTGAATTGTCCATAAGAGTCAATATAAAATATACCTTTACATTGCGAACATTCTTTGCGTACAACCTCTTTATAACGAATTTTCAACTATCAGGAAAAAGTATTCATACCTCTAATTAACGAATTTTGCCAACCCAAAACCTTTATATAAAGTTTCCACCAATAATATAACTCTTAATCTTATAATGTGATTCATGTCTCGACATGTTTCGCTTCGCTTTTGTTTGTACAGTAATCATTGTTGTTTTGATGGAAAGTAATGTAAACACCTCTGCTCGTCACTATTGTTAAAGATTTAAGTTAAAATGGCTCAGAAAAGTAAAAGGTGTTCCTTATCGGTCGCAGAAAAGCGAAACATCATTAATTATGTTGACCAAAATCCCATGACGAAAAAATTAGACATAGCTAATAAGTTCGGGATTCCCGCAAGTACATTGGCTACAATTTTAAAATTTAAAGATAAGTTTTCAGAAGAAAGTTTGAATGTAAACAGTAAAAGATTAAAATCATGCGAGTTCAAAGACATAGAGGAATGTGTGTTAAAGTGGTTAAAACAGTGCCGAGACAAAAAAATCCCAATCGGAGGCCCTATTCTTCAGGAAAAGGCTCAGCGGTTTGCAGTAGAATTGGGACATGAAGGGTTCCGTGCAAGCAACGGGTGGCTTCAAAATTTCAAAAAACGAAACGAGGTTGTTTTTCGAAAAATATGCGGTGAAAGTGGTAGTGTTAATGAACAAGTATGTGATGATTGGAAAGACAAACTGGCAGAGTTGACCACCGGATACGATCCCGAAGACATCTTTAACGCCGATGAAACTGGACTATTCTATAAATGTTTACCTGACAAAACCTTATCATTCAAAAGCGATAAATGTAATGGTGGGAAAAACAGTAAACTTCGCTTAACAGTACTGCTGGGAACAAATTGTACTGGGACTTACAAACTAAAGCCACTCATCATCGGAAAATATCAAAAACCGCGATGTTTTAAGAATGTCAATAATCTGCCAACAGATTACACGTCCAACCATAAGGCTTGGATGACCAGTGGTGCTTTTTGCAATTGGCTTAAAAGTCTGGATAAAGAGATGAAGAAAAAAAACAAGAAAATTCTAATGTTCATCGATAATTGTACTGCACACGGAGAAATTCGTAACCTGTTAAATATAAAAATAAAGTACTTACCTCCAAATACCACTTCAAAACTACAACCACAATTGACGTTTTACAAGCCATGTGGATGATCGCCAAAGCTTGGAATTTAGTCACTGAAAAGACCATTGCAAACTGCTTCAAGAAAAGTGGGTTTAAAGTAACATGCGAAGATGAGGAGGACGATTTACCACTCGCAGAACTTGCTAGGACCTGGCAAAGAGTTCAAGAAGAATTACATCTTCAAGACACTGACTTCGAAGACTTTGTTACCTTTGATAATGATTTGGCCATCTGTGGAGAACTAACTGATGCTGACATCGTCACATCTGTGTTGCCAGTTACTAATGCAGAAGCGGATGAAGACGAGGAAGAAGAGGGTGAAATTGACAATAAAAGATGCTTGTAATGCTTTGAATACAATAAAATCTGTGTTTCTCAAAAAGGGAGGTTTGAGTGACGATGTAGTGAAATCCATCACGAAATTAGATTGCGCTTTGGATGTCATAACTCATACCGGTGGTAAACAGACAACTATCAATGACTTTTTTTCTAATCAATGAACAAAATTGAGATTAACCTACTATATAACCACATTGTTAATTGTTTTTGATTATTAATGTAAGAAAAAAAATTTATTATCTACCTAATTGTTTTTAAATACATAGCAAATACATATAGTAATTTGATAAAAATGTGTTATCATTTATTAGTAGAAGTTGTTCGCTATAACAAGATAAGTACGTAATATTGAGGTGAATAAAACTATTCTTTTACCTCTTTATAACGAATTTTAGACCAATCTAACCTCAACATAACAAACCTCAGTTCAACGAATTACTTGATATTACGAATATTTTCTTGTTCCCCTCCGATTTGTTATATCGAGGTTGCACTTGTGATTATTATTATTTTTATTACCAAGGAGGGTTGACGTCAGGCAGGCGGCCGGTCATAAAACTTTTGCCAAATCCTTTCAGCAGTACAGAAGATGTACTGCGCCGACCCCAAGTGTTTGGGAAATGGGCAGGGAGAAGAAGAAGAAGAATTGTTTTTAGTGAAATAATCAAAATATTAATACAATAAAGCCTTAATTGCTATGAAAATATGGATTTTACACGAAAAAGGATGTTTACTATTCGTTAAAGGTATGTTTATCTTTTGTAGTGACTTATATAGGTATAGAAATGTATGGAAATGTTGTAACTTTAAGTCTCTATAAGTTTCGACTCCTTCGTTTCCTTAAAATATTTTTAATATATTTGAACTCCCTATCACCTCCCTATCCAAAAATACCACCCACTTCTCCAGAGGCCGCGTTGCATATACTTAACTTGTGCCCATCATTTACAGGATGTAACACAATCACAGAATATGCAAATACTTGTCGTCAATATATTGTTTCCAGTTGCTACATTAGAATGAATGTTGCACATTTTATGCATTTATATGCACAAGTCTGGAGTACATCTGCAAAACATTATATGGTTTACTTAAGGTTATCACAATTACATTGTATTGTTTTAAATTTTAATAAAGTGGTATGATTCTATACGTTTGCTTCTTTCAGTTGCAGTACAAAATCATTTAAAAATTATACCACTGGATGTCAAAACAACATTTCTTTATGAAGAACTAGACGAGATCATATTCATGAAACCACCAGAGGGCCTGTACCATGAAGAAAATATGATATGTAAACTTAATAAATCCCTATATGGTCTAAAGCAGGCTTCACGGTGTTGGAACAGTAAATTTGACTCTGTGCTTAAGAAATTTGGCTTTGTCAACAGCAAAGCAGACCAATGTGTGTATGTTGGTGAAGTCAATAAAAGGAAGTGCTATTCCATGGGCGGCGGTGATCACTTTCCATCAGGTGAGCCTCCTGCCCGTTTGCCCCCTTAGTCCCATAAAAAAATCTTTGCTTATATGTTGATGATGGGCTGTTATTTTCCTCAGATGAATGGGCTCTACAGGAAATAACTTATATTTCAAATTAAAATATTAACCAAACCTAAAAACTTTGTGGGAATGCAAATTGAACAGTTTAGTAAATGTATATTTATCCATCAGACTAAATATATAGAACAAATATTGGCCTAATTCAACATGACTAATGCTAATTCCAACAGTGTTCCAGTTGATCCCCACATAAAGTTGCAAAGGGGAAATAAAAAGCATATACCATACAAATAAAAATAGGTAAAAAAACTTTTTAAGTTAAACGGTTTTATGTTAAACATACATTGCAATGTTTAAGATAAATGTACTAAAAACCAAAAAATAATAAAATAGATACAGTCGTGGGAATTATAAACATATGCATAGACTAGACTAAAATAAAACCGTGGGGCACGTCAATTGTCTACAATCGTTGATTAAAATGTTTGTTTTGTAATGTTACACTATAATTAGGCAGTTGTTCAACCGACAACGATGGACGTGTGATAAGTAGGGCTAGAATGTGGAAACAAGCTAGCAAGCTCGATTATAAGCGAGTTTTAGGGTTTCATAGTGGTGAGCGAGTAGTACTTTTATCATATGTTTTGTCGATTAAAGACAAACTACGAGCAGTGAAACGATTCCTCGCCAGCCAGCAGTGTGAATGTCCAACGATAAACTAGTTGAAACATCTCTTTTATTTACATGGAGTGTATAACTATTGGAATTTCCATGAGCAAGAAAATAGTAAGTAATTTCCTCACCGTCTGCGGGCCAACTGCCTATTTTAACGACGAATTAAACGATTCTTCTATCGCACATTAAGTCGATAATTTGTAGACAATTGACGTGCCCCACGGTTTTATTTTAGTCTAGTCTATGCATATGTTTATAATTCCCACGACTGTATCTATTTTATTATTTTTTGGTTTTTAGTACATTTATCTTAAACATTGCAATGTATGTTTAACATAAAACCGTTTAACTTAAAAAGTTTTTTTACCTATTTTTATTTTCTAGTTTTTAGTTTTTATTTCGCATTCTGTTTAATTCATTTAGTGCTTCATTATTGCAAGGTTTCTTGCCCGTTAGTTTATTGCAGTCCAACTCCTCTATACGTAGTCCCTGCAAAGATCTTACTCTACTAAGAGCCACGTAGGCTTGACCTTCTTCAAACAATTCGCACCTAAGTATACGACTGCGTGATCCACAGTGCTGCCCTGCATTTTATGTATTGTAGAAGCCCATGATAGTATTAAAGGCAACATTCTTCTTTCAGCCGTCCCGTAATTGAACTTAGCTGGAAACTGTATGGCTTTCGGGTGTATAAAATGTACTCCGTCTCTTGCGAAATCAATTCGGACGGAAGGTACATCTGTTGCATACATCTGAGTTCGACGAAATTGAGGCCAAACGATTTCGTTGATGTAGCCTATAGCGCCATTTACTAATCCCTTTGAAACGTCAATATTGGACGGTAGCATGACTTTTGCCCCCACAAATATTTGCAGTTCCGCTGGTAAACCCCCAGTTTTGTTGATATCAGCTGGTATTATAGTAGCTATATCCACATTGTCTGCATTTCGTGTGGCGTGTACTAGCTGATCCTGCGCTTTTATTTTGTAAATGCGAGCACCATTATTTCTGTACAAATTCAATACAGCAGAGTTGTGGTCGTTAACTTGTTGATTTGTGGGGTATACCCTTAACGCTTTGTCTATTGCAAACTCATCACTCGTGTCTTGAAGAAGTCTTCCCATTAAAATACTAAAATGTTGGGTTGTTAGCTCACCGACTCTCAAAGCATTCAAAATATCAATAAAAGTCTGGTCACCTTGCTGACGCATATTTTCAGTTAATTCACACAGCGTGAATAAACGCCAGAGATGTGTAGCTGGTTGGAGATGTTCTGGCTGTTTGAAAACAGGTGTTCCTGATCGTTTTATAGGAGGCAGTTGTAAAAGATCACCGAAAAGTAATACGTTTACTCCTCCAAAAAACTCATTTTCACAGTTCTTAATTTGCCTTAATCGAGCGTCCATCATGCATAACATTTGATAAGACACCATGGAAATCTCGTCGACAATCAAAAATTCTGTCTGATGCCATTGGTGCCTCATTATTCGCAAATAGTTTCCGGACAGTGGTGACATACCTGTTATGCGACCGTCTTTCTGTACAGGCAATTTTAAAGTACTGTGTATCGTAGCTCCATTTATTAATCTAGCTGCAACTCCTGTTAGTGAGCAGACTTTAACCGCATCCTTTGCGTAGCACCTATTAATTTGGTCTCGTAATAACTTTAATAGAAAAGTCTTGCCCACACCAGCTCCTCCTGTAAAGAATATTTTTAAACGTTCTTCAGCACCTGACATTTGATTTTGTATGGACTGGGTAACTAATGTAAAAATTCCCTTTTGTCCTGCATTCATAGACTGCTTAGCCTGTAAGAACTGGTCTTCATTCATTGGCAAATAAGGAACTTCTTCTTCATGGTCTAGTTCCATCGGCTCTGCGTGTTCCAGTATCTGAAATGCGTGTACTTGCGCGAATGCATTTTCAAGCTGCCTGTCACGTTCACGATATATTTCCAAGTAGGCGTTTGTTTGTCTTCAACTTTCTTCGTTGGCGAGAAACGCATTTCTGGCACTATTAAATTCTCCTAAAAGTTCGGCCTCATTGCGATACGGCATATACTGGATTACTAAACTGTAATAATATGACTCTGGATCAGAAGCTGCTACGAAGTTAGGTACCCGTACTACAGCTGGCGTGTTTCTATTAGTCATTTTGGTGTTGTCTGTTAAAGTTATAAGACGCCTTCTTGTTGTTTGCTCGTGCGGTGCATAAGCATCGGTATCGATGCTCTCTTCATTTATAACTGGCGGTTTTGTGTAGTGTGGCTCAAATAACATCGCAAATTCTATGAGACACATATTGTTAAAATCATAGTTGGGGTGCTCTGCTGGTCGCTTTTCATATCGTTCGAAAATATTGGCACAATATCCTGCTGCTTGACCAGCTTCATTAAACTTCAACACTTTATACCTTTGTTCCGCTTTACGAGTATTGACAAAAATTGTTTTTCTCGAGCTGTCACGCATACTCAAATGGCATAGCCTGAATACGCATTCGCAGGCTGAAACTTGACGTTCTCTTAATATGCGCATGCATATTTTAAACAGCTTACGCGAGACGTCAGTTTCTTCTCTTCTAATTTGTTGAATAGCTCGAGATACTTCACCATCTAGGTTTGTAGGTTCTGATTTTGACACGTATTTAGCGATGTAATACGCAATCGACTCATTTGTACCACACGGTTGTATATCCATATTGGCTTTCCACATTTTTAGCAAAGCAGGACTGTAATTATTTACCCAACCATCTTCACTTTTTCTTTTCAGAACGCAAATGCGACCACCATGCCAAAGTTCGCGTCCAAAAAAAGTAAGTCTGTACAATCGGAAGAAAGTGAATCAAGGCAAAAGAAACTATTTGGAGTGCCTCGAGAAATTCATTTTTCTGAGCTTGGAGCTCATTGGCCTGTAGAATTACCCACCTATAGAAGGTGTCGCTTGTGTAGTAGTGCACACAATAATCAACGATCCAGGATACAATGTGATAGGTGTCCAGTGCCATTGTGTGCAGTGCCTTGCTTCAAAAATTACCATGAAACAGATACATAAATTGGTAAGGCTAGACTGATGGTGGTTTATATGTTGCCATCATGTTTTTTTCTATCTAATAAATAAATAAAAAATAAAATAAAATATTTAAAAAAAGCAAAAAAAATATATGATTCAAAGTAGTGAAGTTTTATTTCATTATCTAGGCTCATACCCTCTACCAGTTAAAGGGATAATAAAGTGTATGTTCGCGCCACTCGGGCGCGACGATTGGTTCCCTGATTTGCTTTCTCACTCTTACTCATTGATTCGGCGCGAGCGTCGCATTCGCGCTACCCGGAAGGAGTCACGCGTCGTCCTCGGTTCAAGAAGGGTCGTTAAAATTGAAAATATGTGTTAAAGAAAACCCCTTCAGCTCATCTGCTGGTGTGATAATTATTATAAGTATATTGCGGCTTCTATTAAAGTGAACTATACAGACAATTGAAATAATTATAAGGATAGTGAATACAGCGTATGATATAAAACTTTTGTTGCACGTATACCTATACGTGCAAAGGTATATTCATATTCAGCTCAGGAGCGTGTCATCCATCCATCATCCGCCCATCTACATTCCAAGTAAGTGCACACCCTTACATCTCCTACTCAATTTATTCCCATTCATACAGTCCAACCCCCGCTTCAGCTCATCGTCGATGTGAGGTGTCCCATGACCACCAATACAAATACCAGAAAAGCTACAATCAGCTGGCCATCACAAGGAAATTGTAAAAATGTCTGTATTTATTAAAGTAAAAAACAGTCTAAAAAAGGTAACAGATACGAAGAGTTTGGCTAACAATGACCGACGAACTTATCTGTAGCTGAACAGTTTAAAGAAGCAAGCATGTTAGAAAAAATATTTGAAAAATTTACAGAAAAAACACAAGAAAATAGGCAGCAGAACTTAAAACAAATTGCAGAAAAATTTATAATTGAAAAATTTACAACCTCGACTTGAAATGCAAACTAATGGATTTTTTTTTAAAACGAATGTATACGTTTTGATGTGACAACAGATGAAAAAAAAATTGAAATGAAGTCCCATAGTGACTGGATAAGAGATACCGTGGAACGTGGCAACTTTACCAAAAACTGTTAAATTTGCCAACCAACCGAGTTTTAAACAAAATAATTTATTATATCAAAGCCGTTTCTTTTTTAAAGTCTGTAAAACTCGGAAGTCAAATTCGAATAATTAGTTGGCAACATTTTATTTTATATGACAACCCAACTCTTATATAGCTGTCATTTTCAGCGGTTACTTTTTTCCTATGCTAGTTGTGAGTGACTTCGTGCTCCGAAACTTTTATGTAAATAAGTGGGATAATGTTTGTGAAGGTAAGTCAAATTTTTATACCACATTCCTAATAGTATTATTTAAATAAATTCATCTTAATTTACGTATCTTCAAGCAATTTAATCTAAGAAATTACTGTTGGCAAATTTACCATGCCAATACAAAGTTTTAGTGATGTCGACTTTGCCATGTTTTCTTAGGGGCTAGGGCTGTCAGAAAAATACATATTCTTTGATTAAGTTTTGTTTGCTACTCATTTACTTCTACTTTTATTGAATTCAGATGTGTAAACTTTTATGAATAAATAAAGTTATATATTAGTTATTTGTTTCTTAAAATAGTCCGTATTTAATTATTTTTTTTAGAAAATGAGCGGTCGATCGAGGCGTAAGTTGATTTAAAAGGGATTTTTAAAAAACAAGATCAGAACTTTAATATATTTGCATCGCATTGCAAAGAGAATCTGCCCGAGCTCCAACCTGAAGAAGAAATTTCAGAGTACATAAATCATGAAAACCCAGTTCCATCAACGTCAGCAAATAGTTTAATAACTAAGAAAACAGGAGTGTTACTTGAAGAAACTAAACCATGTAATGCAAAAAAGAAGATACAATATAAGTGTAAGTGACGACAGTAGCGAACAAGATGACAATTATTCCTTGAGAGATACTTCTGAAGATTAATGCTTTATACCATCGGAGTCAGAAACTTATGAAGATAACGAAGAGACTGTGCAAGAAATAAAAGAAAAATGTGAAATTTCGCCCATTCGGGTTAATACAACTACGTTTTAGTTCAATTTTGTGGGCCAAAAACGAACAAATACTATGTTGGAAAAGTTTTGGACATTAACGATGATTCTGGCATGTATATTAAATTTACGAGGAGAAGACAGGGTGAATTTTATTGGCCGCATGTCGATGACATTAGCTTTGTTATAAAAAGTGACATCGAAATAGTTTTAGGAACCCCTTGTGAGGGTCGTAGAGGTATTTTAAAATTTGACTTGATTGCCTTTTCAAAGTATAATATTCAATAGAATGGTCCATAGCCTAGTTTTAGTGTTTAAAGATTATATAAGCTATGTCCCACTACTTGTTGACGACTTGTGCTGTTGATTGATTCAAAATTTATAGAAATTCATTTAATTTGAAATTATTGTTATGTTAATATTACAAAAAAATTATACTCGCCTACATTTTATTGTGATTTATGTCGTACTCACAGTTGCTATATATAACTGATCGTACTAGTAACTGTAACCTATATATTTTATTATGTTTGTTTTGAATATTTCATTTTCAATAAATATTTACTTTAAATGTTTGTTATCTTTTAAAAAAATATCTTTTGGCAACCCTGACTGCCTTTTTCTGATTAGTTAGAAATAATCGAAATAAGGCGGGTACATTAACGAAATTTCCGTTGTTAGTGTAGAATAATCTCAAAATAAAGTTATATGTTATTCTATTCCTATATGTGGCAATGATAACTCTTATTTTTTTTTAATTATTTCTGTATTTTTTACGTACTATTTTAATAGGCAATCTTACCTCAAGTGATGGCTAATTTTGCCATATCAGATATTAGGACTAGAATGACATTAATGAATGAGAAAATGGTAGATATTAAATTGTATTTCAATAATGTATAAAATTTGCTATTTATTGAATTGGTTGCTTTGTATTATCCTCATACAATTTTTTTAAGTAAGACCTTTTCAAACTTTTTTTTCCGCCACAAAGTGGTAAAGTTGCCAGGTTTTACGGTAGGGAAATATGTAGAGACACTTGAGAATACAAAAAAATTACATAAATACAACAAACTGCTATTTGACAAGAATAGAAAATATGTTGAACTTATTGTGGAGGACATGGTGTACGTTGAAAATGGGAACAAGCTAAACCGGAAAAAATTAGATGAATAGAAAATTGGACCATATGAAATTATTGAAAAAATTTCTAACTCTATAAGGTGAAGGTTGCAAAGTGCGCCTAGCGGGCAAGTGCACCTACCACAAATATCTCGAAAATTACCGATTGGATACTATTAGTGACACCTTATATCGATGCTACAAACTAAATCATAGTTCTTGGTGAAAGTCACAGATGGCTCTAGTCATGTGAGTTTGAGACACGCGCCATTTTATTTTCATTGATATTTAAAGTGTTGAGGAGAGATGACTATGGGGTGATCATAATCGTAAATCTCAAGAAATCGAGTTTTTACCGATATACAAGTGAGGTAAGTGCACAATTTAAATATTTTGCTTTAAGATTCTGACTTTATATCACTCCTATCTAGTAAAATTTATATATTTTTTGTAAGTTGAATATTCTAACCTCAAATTTGTATAGTTGGGGAAGCGCGCCATACTGACTTTTTATATGGCGCACTTCGACGCAATCCAGAGGTTACAAACTTTTTAAAATGTGTATTTTTTACAAGCTTTGCAATGTTTGTTTGCTTGTTTGTATGGTCGGGTCAAATCTTGCAAATGAATTGTAGAGCAGTTATCTTAAACTGATTTAGATGTAATTTACATAATATACGTTTATTAGTAAAACATATTTACACAAGTTTAATATCGCGACAAGTTCTTTTTTTATTTAAATTTTGTAGGTAATGTAGTACTTTGGTGGTTTTGATTTGATATAAAGTTTATTTTCTTTTTTAATGCATTTAAATAAAAGCTTGTTTTTAAAAATGTATCTTACTGAGTATTTCCTCTTCCCCTTGGACCGCCGTAAGGTGCTAACGTGTTGACCTGCTACTATTTCGCGTTTTTATATATTAAAATAGTAAAATTCAAAATTAATTCCGCATAAAATAATAGGAGTGCATAAAAAAAGAAGATATGTATCTACAACTACTAATCTACACTCAACGCAACGCTTCTGAGGCCCTGGTACTGTGAAGAAACGAATAGAAGTGAATACTCACCTATGCGAACCAATCTGCGCACACGCAAAGTACGCCATAATGAGGACCCCTGCGTAAGCCCTGCCCCCTTTTTACTAATTGGTTCGGACACTAATTACTTATCCCGCCTCTTTCGTTTAATTGGCTTTTGACCTTAATTACAAACACCTATAACTATTCGCCAGTGCACATTGGCCCCAAGTCGTTAATTACTTAACACCTTAGAGCAGATTCTAAACTCTTATATTACGATGGATACCTCGCTTGATAAATCTCTCTCGGAAACGGATTTGAATCAGTTTGGGACTAAAGAAACTCCACCGAGCTTCGTTAGCTCTCGATATAAACGCAGAGGAGAGAGTTATACTTCGGAACTGAGTGGGCTCAAGGACGAAATGAGATCTATGATGCTATCTTTATTCAAAGCTCAGAAACAGGAAATGGAGAAAATTGCACTTACTCTAGATGAAATAAAAGAAACTAACATAAGCATTGAAAATTCTATAAAATATCTCACTTCACAAAATGAAGAATTTAAAAATAAAATTGAACATCTAGAAGGTCAAATAAAAGAAGACAGGCAGTATTTATGTATCCTGGAGGATAAATTGGAGGATTTACAGATGTGGAGTCGTAAGTCTAATTTTGAAATGAAAAATGTACCAAAAAAAGAAAACGAAACCAAGGAAGATTTAATTACTATGGTTATGTGCTTGACGAAGAATATTGGCTGTGAAATTAATAGAACTCAAATTAAGGACATATATAGAGTGCGTGGAAAAAAGGTAAACGTACAAAATACCCCTATAATAGTTGAGACTACATCTACTCTCATAAAAAATGATATATTGAAGATGTGTAAATCATTTAATATTAAACACAAGAATAAGTTATGCGCCAAGCACCTTGGTTTTCGTACGGCTGAGGACACACCTATCTTTGTTTCCGAGCAATTAACGGCGAAAGGATCACGTCTACATTTTCTTGCTCGCGACCTGGTCAAATCGAAAAACTTCAAGTACTGCTGGACTGCCTATGGGAAAGTTTACGTAAGAAAAGATGATAACTCTCCTATTATATTAGTTAAAAGTGAAGCTCAAACTCATCAATTGCTACTGAATGCATGACTATATTATGTTATGTTAAGTTTAAAACAAATGTTGATATCTATTTCCTTTCTTTTTATTGCCGATTTGATTTTTCTCCGTGTTCTAAATTTCTTTATCATATTACTTGAATTGATAAGCACTAATACTAACTTTTTTAAACTATTACGTAATCAAATTATATACAAATACACTAATACTACACTATACATTAAACATGTAAGCAAACTTATATACATTTCTATAACTCTACAAACAAACACACTATGTAAACAATTTATATACAAACATAAAAACATTATACTCAATAGTTTTATGCACAAACCTTTACACGTTGCGTCTGACACTAGTTCCATACTATATTATAATTCTAAGATTGCAGTGGCACGTGACTTAATGCGTATCTTTTTTGAAACATTAACACCCGTAATAATTTTACATGGTTATTTTAACTATTTCCCTAATGGATAATTCTATTAGTACGCTTAATGAAATAGACAATACAATGATTGCCCATACACTACGCTGCGATACTGATGTACTTAGAAATAATATTCGCATTAAGCAACAGGATATCGTAATAGCAACACAAAATATCAGAAGCGTATACAGTAATTTTGATGATCTAATACTTACAATGGCAAGCTTAAAAATAAGCCTGGATATTTTGGTTCTAACGGAGTGTAGACTAAGACCTAACCTACCATTACCATGCCTCAGTAACTATAACTCTTTGGAATTCTTATGATTTATTAGTTAATAAAATGGATGTTTGGAATTCTTATGATTTATTAGTTAATAAAATGGATGGCTGGATGTTAACACAAATATTTTTACACATTATGGACGACAAATATTAATATATGCTATCAGTCCCTGCAGCGAGAAAAAACAAAAGTAAAAACCACAGAGTATATCTTATATTTCTAAAATAGGCAACCAATCAGTGTTGCCCAATAGATAATTTGTCGCCACACCACCCCCCTACGGAGTAAAGAAACCGCAGGTAAGAAAACTATAAATCTAATACTTGCTTAAAACGGACCCTGCGTCCTGATCTGGTCCTGATAGGCGCCGCTGGTAAGGGTGAAGGCGCGGGTTGGGGTGTAGCAGCTGGTGCAGCAGTGGGCTTCGTACTGACAGAGTCAGGCGCCCTCGTTAGTCTAGGAAAAGTTCTATCTAGGAAACATTCTAGATACGCCGGTTTCACCCTATCCAGACTTACTTCAACCTCCCTTCCTTGGACGGCTATACGTATGGTTTTTTTGTTCTGTGAAATTACCTTGTAAGGGCCAGTGTAGGGAGGCGAAAGCGCGCGCCGGACGGAGTCATCCCGGAGGAAAATGTGCGTCGCAACTGGAAGGTCTTTGTACATGAAGGTGGGTGTTCCATTGTGGCCTAGATGTCGCGAGGCTGGGACTGGTCGCACGTCAGACATATGTTGGCGAAGCTGACCAACTAAATCACTAGGGTCTTCAATTCGGCTCGATAGTCCTGGAATAAGAAATTCGCCAGGAAGGCGGAGAGGCTCACCGTACAGAATTTCAGCGCACGACGCATTCAGGTCCTCTTTAACCGCGGAGCGCATGCCAAGCAGTACAATCGGTAGGGCTTGCAACCAGGAGGTTTCGTGGCACATTACTGCGGCCTTTAGTTGCCTATGCAATCGCTCCACCATCCCATTGGCACAAGGATGGTAACTAGTGGTGCGCGTCTTCTTAATGCCGCAGAGACTCATGAGGCGATTAAAAAGTTCAGACTCGAATTGCCTGCCTTGGTCCGTTGTAACAAGCAGAGGGACACCAAATCGAGAAACCCATCCGGACATGAATGTAGCTGCAACTTCTTGCGCCGTTATGGTTTTGAGAGGCCATACTTCTGGCCATCGAGTGTATCGGTCGATTGCTGTTAAGCAGTAGCTGTAGCCTTCGATGGTAGGTGGTAGGGGCCCGATGATGTCCACATGAACGTGGCGAAGTCTTGCAGTGGGAGTGTTAAAATTTCCCAAGGGCGTTTTGACATGTCTCGTCACTTTTGATTTTTGGCAGGGGATGCAGGCACGTGCCCAGGCATGCACGTCTTTCTTAATAGAGGGCCACACATAACGATCAGCCACCAAGCGTACAGTTGTCCGTGCGCCAGGGTGACTGAGTCCATGTAGCTGTTCAAAAATGCTCTTGCGAAATTTGGATGGTAGCAGTGGTCGTTGTTTGCCGGTCGACGTGTCGCAAATTATGGACAAATCGGTACCTGGAACAGGTATCTTCTCCAGCTTTAAAGATGAACCGCCATCGTTAAAAAGTTCCTTGACTTCTTCGTCGTCCTCTTGGGCTGCTGCGAGCTCTCTACAGTCGCCAGTTAACAGTGATATGGCATCAACTCGCGAAAAAGCGTCGGCGACTATGTTGTCGGTGCCTTTAACATACACAACATCTGTGGTAAACTCAGATATAAAAGAGAGCTGGTTCAGCTGGGCAGGGGGAAGCTTTTCACGCCGCTGGGAGAAAGCGTGCACGAGTGGTTTGTGATCAGTATATATGGTGGCGTGTTGCACCTCCAATATATACCGAAAATGCTGAACGGCCTCGTACACTCCTAGTAGCTCCCTGTAGTAGGCAGGCCAGGTGGTCTGGCGGGGCGTGAGCTTCTTGCTGAAGAAAGCGAGGGGCTCCCACTGGTTGTTCACCCTCTGCTGAAGTGCTGCTCCGACATGCGTGCTGGAAGCGTCTGTAAAAATACCAAGTTCAGCTGTAGTGTTAGGATGAGCCAATATTGTCGCGAGCGACAGACTTTTCTTGCAGGCATCGAACTTCTCTAGAAGTTCAGGTGTCCAAAGAAATGGCTTGGCTCCCTTACCATTAATGTTTGTCAAAGCATCGACGAGAGCAGCTTGGTGTGACGCTGCTTTAGGTAAGAAACGCCTATAATAATTAATCATTCCGAGGAATCTGCGCATAGCCTGAACTGTCTTCGGCGGGGGGAAATCCAGGAGAGCCTTAATGCGCTCTTCAGGCGGCCGTGTGCCTTGAGCATTGATGCAATACCCAAGAAAAGTAACTTCTTTTGCTCCCAAAACGCATTTAGACGGATTAATGACCATCCCAAATTCTCTTAGTTTTTGAAACAGAATTCTCAGATGTTCCTCATGCTGAGATGCAGAGCTCGAAAAAACAAGGATGTCGTCGACATAGGGATAGCAAAAATCTAGACCACGAAGCATACCGTCGACAAACCTTTGAAATGTTTGCCCCGCATTCCGTAACCCAAATGACATATAGGGAAATTCAAACAACCCAAATGGTGTTATAATGGCGGTTTTGCAAATATCGTCTTTATGGACAGGAATTTGTTGGTATGCCTTGACAAGGTCAATAGTAGAGAATACAGTAGAGCCAGCCAAACTTTGACTGAAATCCCCTATATGTCTAACGGGATAGCGGTCCGGGACGGTACGGGCGTTTAAGGCCCGGTAATCACCACATGGGCGCCAAGATGAATCTTTTTTGGGGGCCATGTGTAATGGTGATGACCATGAGCTTTTCGAAGGTCGTGCGGTACCTGATGACACCATATCAGCAAATTCCCTCTGAGCAGCCTGTAGTTTTTGGGGTGCAAGGCGGCGAGGGCGAGCAGCGACAGGAGGGCCATCAGTAGTCAGGATGCGATGTTCCGTGTCGTGCTTCACCTCGTGCGGTACTCCGGGCGGCCTCATGATGTCTGGAAATTCGGATAAAATCTTTGCGTAATTTGAATCGCCATCATTGTGTATTACGGCTCTCACACTAGTTTGATCAACCATGGCAATAGTGCCATGGCTTGATAAACCTGTCTTAGCATCAATTAGACGCCGCTTAGTACAATCCGGCAGTAGGTGGTAATGCGCTAAAAAATCCGATCCGATAATTGCAGTGCCGACATCAGCGATGACAAATGACCATCTAAAGTCTCGGCGCAGTCCCAAATTTAAATTCATATTTATAAGGCCATAAGTTTTAATTAAGCTGCCGTTCGCGGCCTTGAGGTCGTAATCTGCTACTTCAAGTTTGCCACCCATGGCTGTTTTAGGGAAGCAGCAGATGTCAGAGCCAGTGTCTATTAAAAATCGACGTTTACTGTTAACATCCGTCACAAATAAACGGCGACTTACCATACTTTGAGATGGACAGTCAGCAGCCGCCATCACTGACCGTCCCCCAAGTTTTCCGCTGGTTTCCAGCTGCAAGGCTTAGTGCAGCGGTTGGCCTTTAATTTAAACCTTCGATGGTACCAACATAAGTCGGTGGCCTCTCGGTCCCTGGATTTAGAACGAGACCGTGTGGAGCTCCTGCTACTGCGATGCCGGTTGTGGCCAGTGCTCAGCGCTGCCACCTGTTGCGCCAGTTGGTCTAATCGGCGACTGATGGCCTGCAGTGGGTCATCTGAAGCAGGTGTGCTCGTTGCAAAAACAGTATTGGCAGTAGGTGATACCTCAACAATGCGGTCTGCTAACTCAGCGACCTTCTGTAGTGGCAGATCAGCCTGGGCAGCTAGGATGGCTTGAACCTGCTGTGGAAGTCGTCGCAGCCATAATTGGCGCAGGATAGACTCGTCCTGCAGGCTAGATCCAGCGAGGGAGCAGAGATGGCGCAAGAACTGCGACGGTTTACGCTCTCCCAACTCTACATCACTCAACAGCTGATTAACACGTTTTTCCTCTGAAGCTGATAATCTACGAACAAGTTCAGATTTTAAAAAAATATATTTATTATCCTTTGGAGGATCGATGAGGATGTCCTCAATATCTGCTGCAACCCTCTCAGGTAGAACACTCAGTACATGGTTATATTTAGTGTTGTCCACTTTAATACCTGAAATTTCAAAATTTGCCTCAGCCTGCGCAAACCATGCAACCACACGACCAGACCAGAATGGAGGAAGCTTTAATGCAATATGTGATACTTGAGGAATGTGATCATCCGAGGGGGTTGGTGCTTTACTATCAGTCATTATTAGCAATTGGTTAAAAACAATTCACAAGATAACAAAGAAACACTTATAAAAAAAATAATAGGTTAAAAACAATTCACAAGGTAATAGCGAAGGCTTGTAAGAACATTAAAGTGTTAAAACAATTCACAAAATAATAGCAAAACACATATATAAAAAATAATAATAATATTAAGTCTTAATTTAGTGGGTTAATATGCTAACACTTAATCTATTAGTTGCTATTGTTATATAAGTGTGATTAAAAGACAGATCATATTATTATACTATGTTAGAGGAAAAATAAAACTTAATAATAATAAGCTATACACATAATCTTGTCACTGAATTTTTCACCACTACCATTCACCAAGATTGTCAAAGTTTTAAAGGTGAAGAATTGTCTTTCTCGTCGGTGGAGTTCAGAGGCAGTCTGTATGCTGATAACGTGACTAAGCGGTCACTCATGTGATAACGCGAAGTTTACTATAAAATAGATGCGACTCGGTGCACTGATGATGTAAATTGTAACGGAGCTGTCACCAGTTTAGGATGAGGCTTGATCTATAGGTTAATCAAACTGGAGCATAACTTTTAAAGCCAATGAAATGAATATGTTATTTCGCCATATTGTATCAACACCTTGAGGCTCACTTGTAGCTGTATTGTATAGCCAATTGTCACACTGCACAATAGTCAATAAGCAGTTGCATACGGCATGCGTGTTCATATCACGTCGGGGTCACCATTTTGGAATTCTTATGATTTATTAGTTAATAAAATGGATGTTTGGAATTCTTATGATTTATTAGTTAATAAAATGGATGGCTGGATGTTAACACAAATATTTTTACACATTATGGACGACAAATATTAATATATGCTATCAGTCCCTGCAGCGAGAAAAAACAAAAGTAAAAACCACAGAGTATATCTTATATTTCTAAAATAGGCAACCAATCAGTGTTGCCCAATAGATAATTTGTCGCCACAACTCTTTTGCTACTACCCATCAGATAAATCAAAACGATGGTGTGGCTATATATGTTAAAAATAACATCACTGCTAATGTTAAGGAATTGAAATTGGTCCACGCATCTTGCTTACAAGTAGAAACTCTTAATACGACTATCTTGTGTATATACCGATCACCCTCTAATATTAATGCTGCGAATTTCATTGATTCTCTTAACTCACATCTATGCAGTATAAAGGCACATAAGAATATAGTAATAACAGGAGATTTGAATATAAACTTAATTTCAAAACAGTCTGAGGGTACTTATGAACGCAACAACAGAATAGATTACCTTAATATGTTGTGTTCACATGGTTTATTATCTGGACACTTTATCCCTACAAGAGAAAATAGTTGTCTTGACCATTTTATGCTTAAGATCGAGAAGGATAAAGTTGCTGCGCAAATCGCGGTTCTTAATACAACTATTACCGATCATAACATGGTATTGTTATGTTTATCTAGGCATAAAATACATCAAATCAAATGTACAAAAAGTAAATTAATAACAGATTATAATAAAGCGCTTCTTTCTTTAGCTGAGAGAAATCTCCGAGAACTACTTCTTTGTGACAATCCAAACTTAATAATAGAAAGATTAACTGATAGTATACGCAAATCACTCCAAGAAAATACAACTATAAGAAATATTCCTAAAAACAGACGCATAATCAAACCCTGGATTACTCCTGGGATCCTACGCTGCATTAGAAATAGAAATAATATGCAAAGAAAATTAAAAAGTGATCCATTTAATAAAGTTTTAAAAATTAGTTACAAAAGGTACAGAAATTATTGTAATAATTTAATAAAAAAGCTTAAACGTAACTATGACAGACAACAGCTGGACGCATCTATAAAAAATTCTAAGAAACTCTGGTATAATGTTAAAAATATAACACATTTAAATAAAATAAAAACTGACAATTCTCCTTTATTATACATAAGACCATCACCTGTAGAATCAGTAAATCATGTGAACACATTTTTCTCTAATGTAGGTAAAGACCTAGCAGAAAAAATATAGAAGGATAATACATTGGAAAATAATTCTCGAACAAATTATACTCATTTGACGTCATTTGTTTTGTTGGACACTGATGATATGGAAGTTCATGACACGATAATGTCTCTTAAATCTAATAGTGCTTCGGGATGGGATAATATACCATCTAGTTTCTTAAAATTAGCCACTAATGAAGTGACTCCCATCATAACTCATTTGGTTAACCTTTGTTTCAATAAGGGCATTTTTCCTTCTTTACTAAAGCAAGCTATTATCACTCCTGTTTACAAGAGTGGTGCCAGAGACGATGTCAACAATTATAGGCCAATTTCGATTTTGCCCTGTATCTCTAAAATAGTAGAAAAACTAATTAACAAAAGATTAATATATTTTATGAACAAATTTAACATCTTATCTGATTCTCAGTTTGGCTTTAGGCAAGCAAAATCTACAGAGGATGCTGTTACAGCTTTAACTTCATTAATTATTGAACAACTTGATGTAGGTAACAAAAGTCTTGCTGTCTTTTTAGATCTAAAAAAGGCTTTTGACACCGTCTCTGTCCCCATTCTCGTACAAAAGTTAGAAAATATTGGCATCAGAGGGACCCCTCTTTTACTTCTTAAAGATTATTTATGTAATCGTAAGCAGAAAGTAAAAATAGGACAACTGTTGAGCGAAGATTCATACATAACTTATGGCGTCCCACAAGGCAGCGTTTTGGGCCCGACTTTGTTTCTAATTTATATTAACGATTTGTGTACCTTAAACATAAACGGGGCCAGGATCTTTGCCTATGCTGATGATACGGCTATAGTTTTCAATGGGCCTACGTGGGATACTGTTCATGAAGCTGCAGAAAGAGGACTCCGTGAAGTTGCCTGTTGGCTAAGAGCAAACCTGCTTTCACTTAACACTGAGAAGACAAATTACATTTGCTTTTCAAAAAATATCCGATCACAACCTTCATGTAACTTTACTATTCAAATTCATTCCTGCAAAAGCACTACTTATCAAAACTGTAGCTGTCCTATAATCAACAAAGTAGCCACGACTAAATATCTAGGTATTATGGTTGACCAAAGACTTTCGTGGCACTCACATATTGAATTAGTTACTTCCAGAGTCAGAAAATTAATATGGATTTTCAGGAATTTAAGATATTCAGCTTCGAAAATACTATTAACTAAAATATATGTCGCATTAGCCCAGTCAGTGTTGTGTTACTGTATCTCAGTGTGGGGTGGAGCCTCTAAAGTTAAATTTCTGGAAGTGGAAAGAGCACAGAGGTCCCTACTCAAAGTGATGTTCTTCAAATCATACACATATCCTACTCGTGAATTATACTCAGAAAGCAACATTCTATCCGTTAGACAATTATATATTTTATGGGTTGTTTTAAAAAGACATAAAAATTTGGTTATTGATTCTAACATAGTAGATAAAAGAAGAAATCGTGGTGTTCTTATGCTGCCTAGGATCAAAACAGCTTTCGCTGCACGTCAGTACAAAATTCTGTCAGGACGCTTATAATAAAATAAATAAAACCATAGAAATCTATCCATTGAGTTATCATCACTGTAAATCAGTCTTAACTAATTGGCTTAAGTCGAATAAATATGAGGATACAGAAATGCTTTTGGAATCAATCTCCTGAATATGAAACACACACACACACACACGCACATACATACACTCACACACACACACACACACACACACACACACACACACACACAAACACACACACACACAAACACACACACACACACACACACACACACACACACACACACACACACACACACACACACACACACACACACACACACACACAAACACACACACACTATTTTACTAACAAATATTGTAAAACTTAATTTGCTATAACAAGTTACTTTTGATGTGGCTATGGAAGAGCGAGATTGTCTGTCACAGGTGTTTTGTACACTTAAAAGGCGATCTCAACCTTATTTGTAATTTGTAAACATTTTGTTAATGAATAAAATATTTTTATTTATTTATTTTTTTATTTATTTTTTTGTACGTGACTTGTTCGTGCATGTATTTTTAACCAACTTCATTGTTTCTATAATCCACTGATTTTTTTTCAATTCTTGATGTGTGCTATTGTTGGAATTACTTTGAATCCTAATGTCATCCGAGTGTCATAGAAACCTTAACTGCCAAAATATTAGTAATTGTGTTATGAGGCTACCCTAGATACATACACACTACACACAAACAAAATAGAGCAGTAAAAGTCACAATTATCAAAAATTATTATTTAATTGTTTATGATTTTTGTTTAAGATGGGGCGCTATGAAAGAAAAACTGAAGGTCCTTCATGGTCCAGAGAAACTTTAAATGAAGCAGTCGAAGCTGTTCGATCGGGTAGGATGTCTGGGTATGCAGCCGCATCAACCTTTGCTATCCCAAGAAAAACTATTATGGACCACGTCACAGGTCGAAGGGGCCAAAAGTCATTAAGTTTAGGCAGACCACCAGTATTTAAATATGAGACAGAACAAAGGATGGCAAAATGTTTGCATATAATGGAAATAAATGGCTTCGGCCTGACTCGTACAGAATTTCTAGATATTGTTAAGGGATACGTCAAACAGAACAATCTAAAAACACCTTTCAACGATGGTACTCCCGGCAAAGATTGGTTTTTAAGCTTCAAAAAGCGTTATAAGTTATCTATTAAAAAGCCGCAGGCTGTAGAGGTTGCTCGTAAGAAAGCCGCAGATTCATTTGCCATCCAAGAATTTTATGATATTCTAGAAAGAGTGATTGCCGAGTTAGGACTTCAGGACAAGCCTGAAAGAATTTACAATTTGGATGAAACCAGTTACTGAAGCGATCCACAAAAAACCAAAGTCATAGGTCTTAGGGGATTTCCATCGACTCGAACTACATCATCCTCCGGAAAGTCAAATACGACAGTCTTGATGGCGAGCAACGCTACTGGGGAGAAAGGAGCTCCATTCATAATTTTTAAAGGGAAGCACGTCTGGAGTAACTGGACCTCGAATTTAGCGTACCCTGGAACGTTGTATACAGCCACATCAAATGGCTGGATAGAATCGCAAGCCTTTTTGGAATACAGTAGTCTCTCTTTATAACGATTCTCCCTATAACGATAATTCCCCTATAACGATGTACTTTAACACCGATGTTTGGTCTACCATAAGAACAATGTAATTTATTCTCTGTATAACGATATCGCTCTCTCTATAACGATGTTTTCAGAACAATTGTGTTTATTTACAAGTTGATTTTAAAATAATAAGCGGGTGTTTATTTCCAACTTAACTCGCCCAACGATCAGTTCAATACTCAACGTCTTTTGTTTCCCGTTTTAGGCCATAGTGGCGTGTGGCCTTGAGCGCCTACCGCCTCTGCCAATTGTCATTACAGGGCCGATTATATTTCACACATTACCAGTGTGATTACTCAAGATGGTAGAGAAGTAAGGCTAAACCTTCCACAGATTGCAATACCAGAAGGACCAATACTGCAGAATAACGTTGAGATCGCGCCTAGTGGTAGCTTCGGCATACTGAACGCCGAGACGCATAACGCGTACGAGTGTTACATATCACCCTTAGTAACCTCGAATAGAGTAATAGCTTCAGCACTACGGCAAGTTGACTACGATCCAATCCCCCCCGACATCATCGTAGGGAATTTGGTCCCAAATAGAAACCTCCTTGGATATGAAGCAATTGATATCCATAGCGTCGGAGCCATGTCAAGACTGGCTGGAATAGATTTCCCCAACGACGATACTCTTGAAGGGAGGTATAGATACTCGGCTCAACTACAGAATAGAGTATACACAGTATTGGCCGAGATGAAAGATCCCCACGGGGAACTAGGAGCTCAGTTCGCTGCGCACTGTCTGGCCGTTCATATCGTACTAGCGCCAGCGTTATAACCCCCAACTGTCTGTTGTTCTTTTTATGTTTACTGTATGTACTGTTTTAGTGTTGCGTGTTTACAGTAAATTAAACATTTGTATGTGTACAATTGAAATGCTTCCAACAAAGCGTAAAGTGCTCACCAGAAGATAGAAGATATTCGCCAGAAGATATTTTTAACGCTGACGAAACTGGATTATTTTACAAGATGACACCAAACAAAACTTTGAAATTCAAGTCAGAAAAATGTATCGGAGGGAAATTATCAAAAGAAAGGATCACAGTTTTGGTGGCAGCTAACATGACAGGTTCAGTAAAAAGAAAACTTCTGTTAATTGGCAAGTCTAAGAATCCACGTTGCTTCAAAAATGTTAAGCGTCTGCCTGTTAATTACCAAGCAAATAAGAGTGCTTGGATGAAGTCTCAAATTTTTGAAGAAGAGATTCAAAAATGGGATTGTGAGTTGAAGGGCAAGAAAATTTTACTCTTGGTTGAGAACTGCCCTGCTCACCCTGCAATACCCAATCTCCGGAACATAGAACTTGGATTTTTACCAGCCAACACAACAAGTATCCTTCAGCCTATGGACCAGGGTGTCATAAAAAGTCTAAAAAGTCATTACAGGCAAAGACTTCTAATGGAACTGGTGGAGTCAAATGGACATTTTAAGCCTTTTTTTTTTTTTTTTAACGTTGGGAAATGCATTTACGCACGAGGTGTGGGACTCACCGGCAAGGCCAGTACTACCCACTAAAACCCAACAAAACCTTCTCCCGTCTTAAAAGGGCGTCGCAGGATCGCTTACGCATTCAACTACGACGCCCCGACGGCAGGTCTGCCGAAGCAGACCACAACAACCACGGGGTTGCTCCACAGTCCACTCTGCTATCAGAGAAGTACCAGGAGCAACCCACATGATACACTGCCCTCCGAAGAGGGCCACCTCCCACCGCCCACCGGAGTGGGCCACCTCCCTGTGCGTTTCTTGGCTTCGCGCCCGGTTGGGTTGCCGGGCACTACTGAGCCCCCCCACCACGACAAGGTGAACGCACGTTGGGGGGGGGACATTTTAAGCCTACTATCCTAGATGCTGTACAAATTATCAGCAGAGCATGTGCTGAAGTGACAGAGAAGACAATAAAGCACTCGTTCAGGCAGGCAGGATGGCTGGAAGACCCGGTACCAACAGAAGACGAAGACGACTTGCCTCTAGTTATTTGGGCCCGACAGTTGGAACTTCCAACAGCTTATACGCCAGAGGAGTTACAGGATTACGAAAACATAGACGAGACAGTGGCTACAGCAGCAGGAGTTTCAGACGAGAACATTCTGAATGCTGTTCGTGTTGTTGTTGATGACGAAGAGCAAGAGGAAATTGATCCAGAGCCGGAACCAGTCCCAACCCTGTCTACAGGCCCTGGAGGCTGCTAAGGTGCTCCGCAAATTCTTTGCTCACCATGAAGAAGAGCCAACTGCGTCAGAGGATGCTTCGCGTCTTGAAGATAAAGTGAGGTCTATGCTTTGGAAGGCCAAAAAAAAGCAAACAACATTGAAAGACTTCTTTAATTAAGCATTATGTAATTTTATTTGTGATTTTTTTATAACAATTTATCTTTTTTATCATTGTGCTTTTTTATTGTTCTTTGTTGTAAATACTGTATGATAATACATTAAAAATGGTACTATAGTATGGTCTTTTATTTTAAAGCATTACTTGATTAAAAAAAATATTTCTCTCTATATAACGATCTCTCTCTATAACGATGAAAACATCTGGTCCCTTGAGATTTGTTATAGAGAGAGTCTACTGTATATGTGCATCATGTTTATATATTTGTATCATAATATGTATTAAGTATATCATATATATTATATATAATACCATATTATAGCAAGTACACCGCCTACCTTTTCTCTCACACTCTCCTTTACCTGATAGTTGGTTGCCTGGAAGAGATCGCTTTAAGCGATAAAACTATGCATCTTTGTTTATTTTTAATTACTGTCTGCATGTATTTTCTGTTTGGTGTACAATAAAGAGTATCATTATTGTTCTTATTAATAGTTTTTTTACTTGTGTGATTTTTTTATTATTATATTTTCTGGACTAAGAAGGTATTTTTTATTACATAATTATATATAAAAAATCATTCACTAAAGGGTTATAATATCGATAGTAAATATGAATTGTTTTGCTCACCAATTCAATACCTACCTAACCTATTTAGTTTTTTAAAACACCACGGTATCTAACTTGCGTGTACTACAGGGATTGTACCTACCTTATTATTCATCGTTTTTTCTTTAATTAAGCTTGAAATTGCGCTATCAGGCGCAATACATTCTACCATATGAATAATTACATCTGACAATTATGAAAAGAACAACAATCCATTAAAAGCAATTTCGTTTGCAACAATAATAAAGTTTGCTATAAAAACATAATAAACAAGTATAAGTTTTTATACCTAGAGTACAACTAAAACCGTTCATATATGAAGACATTTTTTTACTTGTTCCGTTAATGTTTTACTGTCTTTTCTTTAGTTGTCCTAACATGTCACAAACTAATTAATAGCAAAGAGAATGTAAATTGTAACCACTACGATAGAATGATTAACCTCCTAAGTGTGTAATCCATATATATCTATACTCTTTGGTGTAATCCAATTACACCGTGACTGTCACAATGACGTCTTATTTAAAGTCTGATAATGATTTAATGATTTTTAATTCGACGAAATTCTGACATTACAGAAGTGTTGTCCACATTGAAACATTGCCACTACAAACGGAAAGCAATTAAGCAAAAAAAAAATAAACCTTTCTTGAATTCAAGGTTTCAATTAGAAAAACTAAGAGTTAAAAAATTATTGATAACTCTAAAATGGTAATTATTTTCTAATTATCATATTTTTACAGTCACAACAATTAGTAAGGAAATTATTTTTCTATTACAAGAATCCCTGTCCAATAATCCATAGGTTGCAAGCCTTTTTTAGGAAAACTCCTTTGTTTGTAAAATATATTGTTTTACTCTGTTTTATTCATTTAACTATTCAAAATTTACATTATAGTTAGCATGCATTAAATGCACAAAACAAAGACTATTAACGTCATACATATAGTTTACTTTATCTATTTCTGTTTCATATTTTTTTTATTTTATATTAAAAAAATACAAAGCAGAAAAGGTTTATGATTTTTTGTTTCCCGGCGTTTCGAATGCTTTACAGCATCCATGGTCACGGGAGAGACTGAGGTGTTACATGTTTTGAAGGTATAGTTGTTACAGACAGCCTACCCACAAATTGTAGGTAACAAAAATGCAAGTAAATCCGCGACAAAATCCGAAAAGATAGTTTTCTTAAAAATGTTAAAATTAATTAAGAATAATAATTACATAATTATAACATTACGGGATTTAAACGCGTGGACTCACATTTAATTCCCGTAATTTGCGTTTAAGTCCTGTAGTGTAATTATTATATAATTATGGAACGCGATAAGTTAAAGAGAATAATATGTAAATTTAATTTACTTTACTATTATTTAAAAAAATCTAAATATTAAGCAACACTATTACTACATAGATATACAAATGAAAGATATTTATTTGAAAAAATGTAATTTTAAATAATAAAGTCTATATGTGCGTAAAAAATGGTTATGTTAAATAGTTTATGTTTATATACTTATTTTTTAATTAAATTCTAAAAGTTTTACTATGTGCATCACTATTCAACCGCTTATCAATAGGTGTGTATAGAACATTTGCTTACGTTTCGCATAATGGACAATGAGCGATACGCGCGCTCTATAGCATATGTATACTCTAAGTAATTTTCTAACCAAAGCAGATTATTAATCGACCACAATCGATGGTGGATAAATTTAATCGATTATACTAAATAATCGTAAATGAGTGACTAATTTAAGATCAGTGACTGTTTAGTTGGTACTACGGTAGACAGACAGATTTTCCAGAGTAGCATTATGAGATATTATTACTACTACTACTAGATGAACAGCATTACATAATGAAACTTAAAAGTGATTGATGAAATATTTTTATTAAAAAACAGTTGCTTTTTTTTGTTTAGTTTTTTTATAGTTTTAGTATTTTTTCATAATAAAACACTGATTACATAATTTATTAATCTATTTTTACTCATTTACCGCCATTTCGGCCAATTTCAAATGTAGTTAAAGTTCTTTAGATAATTGATAAACATATTATGAATATAAACACTAATGACTGCAGTATAAACATTCGCGCTCATTACACTAATGAATGCCCCCAGCGGAACTCGAACCCCCAACCGTTGGCACAGCAAGTACTACTACAAAGTACAAACTGATTTTAAACATGTCGACCGACGATGGTTATTTTTTTAATCAGAAACGTCATTGTCAATGTCAAAGTCATTCTGATTGCTGACAAAAATCAAAATTGGCAATAGCGGGATATGATTTTGAGTTGGCGTCCCTCTGAAAAGAATATTGTTATGTTTTGTAAATAATGGTGGCTGGTCAAAAGTTTTATGTACGTGGTGGAGGTCGGTGGCGTGAAATTGATACATCTACAGGACGAATAGCAGGTTGGGGCCCTGTACAATTTGTAAGCGTTCGGCGCGGGAGACTGCAATTGGCGCGGAAAAATTTAGTTCTACGCGGTTTACGAGCCCTAGCATGCGGTAGACCCACATCTGTACAGGATGGCCCCCAACTTTCAATACAAATAAGGTAATTTTTTGATTGTGAAGGTGATATGTTTTAAATACATAAGTCTTCACTGGGGTCTTTTATGGGTTTTTTTCATATAGTTTTTATTATTGAACGTGACTGAATAAGGTATGAAAAGCTGATAACCTTTAGACTCCTGAATGGTTGAAAGAAAACTTGACTATATTTTGTAAATAAGAAAATAACCTATACAATAACAAGCATGTTTTATTAATGTCGGAATTCAGTCAAAAACTTGCTTAGCTAGCTAAGTGGCCTAGCTTTTTTCATGGATGAAATAAAAAATAGTAAAAACTTTTAAGGTATACTATAAGTTATAGCTACATGAAACATTTTGACAACATACATACATATACTGCCTAATTACTATTGTGCTATACATATTATAGATGGCCCTCAACAGATTATATTAGATAAATAATTTTAAAAAGTCATTTTTTTTAGATGTGACAAAACCCAAGGTATCGAGAAAGCACAGCAAGAGCTCAGTGAGCCCAAGTCACATAATCATCAACATTGCTGCCATCATAATATCCAGTAAGTAGATTAAAAATATTTCTAATTTCTATAATAATTTTACAAATACAAGTGTACATATATGAAGAGATATGAAGAAAATTTGGCACAAGTTTAGTATATGGTATGCAATTTCTGGAGATGAGGATGGTATTTTTTGAAAGAAGAGGCGATAGAGAGTATAAATATATAATAATTATTTTGAGGAAATGAAGGAGATGAAAGTTCTGTAACCTTTTGGCTAAAATTATTGCAAGAAACTGTCTTATTAAATTTCGTAACTCTCTTAAACAGCTATAGATCTGAGTTTGAGTCTCAGATTAGACCCAGTATTGGGTCCCTTTACATCAAGTAATATTGAAAGTGGGGTAATTCTTCAGACTTCAGTCAATTTTATTAGTGAGTAATTTTTAAGTGGTTGTGTTGATATTGGAAAACGCATACTAATATTATCAATGTGAATTTTTGTGAGGATGGATGGATGTTTGTCACTCTTTCGCGCCAGAACGGCTGAACGGATCTGGATGAAATTTGCCACAGAGATAGATTATAGTCTGGAATAGAACATAGGTTACTTTTTATTCAAAAAAAATGTATGGTTCCCGTTGGATACATTTGTTTTTGTCTAGGGACAAACCCAAGAGGAAGCAAGGGTAAGTTGCTGGTCCTTCATACTTTATGAGTAAAATGGACACAGAACAATTATTTTAACACTAATTCGACTTAGTGGTCAGAGTTAACGTAGTAAACTTTGTGTACTGTGTGTTGGTTACTTGTTGATGTTGATATGGCCCGTCAGATTTGGATGTTTAGTAGAATAGTACTATGAGTTGGAGTAAACACATATTAGTGTTAGATATCTAGGGATGAATCTGTCATTACATGGATTATAGAAAGAACATGTAACTGTTAAAATAAATAAACCTTTTGAATTTATGAATGTTTTTTTTTTCAGTTGTAATCCGGATGCTATTTTTAACAGTATATTAAAGCCGATAAAAAGCACAGTGGCTGTACAGTGTACTATCAGTAGCCCAAGCAGTTTGAATCAACCAATAAATACAAATTATAATAAAGAAAACAAAGAAAGAGCAGCCAAACGCAATAGATTAAGTAGTGATGAGAGTGATGTATCTAGCAACAGAGTTACTTGTAAAAAAAAAGAAACTAATAACCAACTTAGTTCACTACCGCAAAAACAATCTGAACGACCTGAATGTAAAGAATTATTAATTACCGAAGAAGATATCCTCTTGATAAGATCTTTTATAGAGCATGATGATGAAAATCTTTTTGATGTAGACTTAGAAAAATTCGATAGTGACGACTTTTATAAATGCTCAGTGTTTTATAAGCTGAATCCTTTAGTGACTGTAGAGAGGAGCAAGTTAATTGCTGATATGTTACAAAGGAGAAATTCAATAACTTCATCTGTGTCTCTCAGAGATTTCATAACGAACTTAGGCCTCCAAAGGGTTGAAGAAGCTAGTCAAGCTAGCAATAAGTACAGAATTCGTCGACGGAAACCCGTTCAAAACCATTCAAGTGATAGTGATTTTGATAAAGAAAATATAAAAAAAAGTGTTATATCAACAAAATTAAAAAAACGTAGTGACTTATTAGGAAAAAAATACAATGGAGTTGTAAGAAGAGATCCTGTGACTGGAAAATTTAGGTCGGCTAAAAAATTATTGAGGGAAATGAGGTCAAAACAACAAGTGAATGAATCAGTGAAAACGAATCATTCACCTAAAGTGAATGATAGGGCAAAAGTAAATGAGTCGCTTAAAGTGAATGAGTCAGTTAAAGTGAATGATAAAGTAAAACTAAATAATTCAGTCAAAATTAATGATAAAGCAAATGTGAATGACAAAGCAAAAGTGAATGACAAAGCAAAAGTGAATGACAAAATAAAAATGAATGATAAAGTAAAAGTGAATGATAAAGTAAATGTGAATGACAAAGCAAAAGTTAATGATAAAATAAAAGTGAATGATAAAGTAAAAGTGAATGATAAAGTAAATGTGAATGACAAAGCAAAAGTGAATGATAAAATAAAATTAAATGATAAAGTAAAAGTGACTGATAAAGTAAAAGTGAATGGCAAAGTGAAAGTGAATGAAGGTGTTAAAGGAAAAGAAACAGTAGAAATAAGCGGTAGTGAGGATAGAAAACGGTAAGGTTGTTATTGTTTTTATTACTATATACTATTTTTTCCTGTCTTTGTGTAGATGTAAAATGTACTGATGATTGTGTGTATGTGCGTGTGTATATGATATGTTTGTGTATGTTTGTTAATCCTTCAGGATGAAAATGCTGGACGGATTTGGATGAAATTTAGTACACAGATAGACTTTTGACTTTTTTTTAATGTTGGGAAATGCATTTATTCTTACCACTTTTATACCTACAGGTGGTTATGCCGGTCTCACTGGCCAGAAAAGCCAGTACTACCCACTAAAACCCAATAGAACATCCCCCGTCCTAATGGGACGTCGCAGGATCGCTTACGCACTCAATCACGATGCCTTGGCTGCATGCCGAAGCAGACCACACAGCCAAGGGGTAGGTCCCACGTTTCCACTCTGCCGTCTGAAAAGTACCAGGAGCAACCCGTATGGTACACCGTCCAACGAAATGGGGCACCTCCCTGTGCGTTTCTTGGCTTTTGGCTCGGTTGAACTTGCGAATGTTGTGGTCTGCTTCGGCAGACCTGCCGTCGGGGCGTCGTGGTGAGTCCCACATAGGTGGTTATGTGGGACTCACCACGACGCCCCGACGGTGTGTACAGATGTACAGGTGATATGCGTAAATGCATTTCCTAATTTAAAAAAAATTGGCACCTAGGGCAACCCGAACAAAGCGAGAGTGACTGGCTAGTTTAAAATAAAACTATTATTTTATTTTTATTTTTGCTACACGACCGGTATAATTTTACATATTAATAGCAGTACTCGTGGCTTCGGCCGCGTTCAAACTATTAAAAAAAACTCTTTGACACAGCGTTACCTAACAGATCTATTTGTGGGCTATGTGAACTTGGCACCCGACTTTGGAAAAATTGTTCTTTTTTAGGTTTATTGGAACGATTTCGGTTAGTAGTAGATAGTAGTGAAGCTAACTTCGTTTGTAGTAGTGCCAAAAAAAAAATACAGACAACAAAAAAAATGTCATCCCCCGAAGTTGGTAAAAAAAAATTTTTCCGCTTGATTCGTATAGATAAACGTTAGTAGTGGTTTGTAGTGCAATTTTTTTCGATTGTAGTAAAACCAAAAAAAAAAAATTTTTCGAATATTTTTGCGGAACGATTTTTACTACATACATTCATTGTTTCGTTTGTAGTACCATTATTTCATTTGTAGTAACGTTAATTTTGGTTTGTAGTACCATTACTTCGTTTGAAGTAACGTTAATTTCGTTTGTAGTAACGTTAATTTCGTTTGCAGTACCATTATTTCGTTTGTAGTTGTTTGTAGTAACGTTAATTTCGTTTGTAGTACCATTATTTCGTTTGTAGTTGTTTGCAGTAACGTTAATTTTGTTTGTAGTACCATTATTTCGTTTGTAGTACCATTATTTCGTTTGTAGTACCATTATTTCGTTTGTAGTACCATTATTTCGTTTGTAGTACCATTATTTCGTTTGGAGTTGTTTGTAGTAACGTTAATTTCGTTTGTAGTACCATTATTTCGTTTGTAGTTGTTTGCAGTAACGTTAATTTTGTTTGTAGTACCATTGTTTCGTTTGTAGTAACGATAATTTCGTTTGTAGTACCATTATTTTGTTTGTAGTACCATTATTTCGTTTGTAGCTGTTTGTAGTAACCTTAATTTCATTTGTAGTACCATTATTTCGTTGGTAGTACCATTATTTCGTTTGTAGTACCATTATTTCGTTTGTAGTTGTTTTGTAGTATAATTATTTTGTTTGTAGTACCATACTTTCGTTTGTGGTTGTTTGTAGTAACATTAATTTCGTTTGTAGTACCATTATTTCGTTTGTAGTACCTTTATTTCGTTTGCAGTACCACTATTTCGTTTGTAGTGGTTTGTCGTAACGTCAACGAAATAATGGTACTACAAACGAAATTAACGTCACTACAAACGAAACAATGGTACTACAAACAAAATTAACGTTACTACAAACAACTACAAACGACATAATGGTACTACAAACGAAATTAACGTTACTACAATCAGCTACAATCGAAATAATGGTACTATAAACGAAGTAATGGTACTACAAACGAAATAATGGTACTACAAACGAAATTAACATTACTACAAACCATTACAAATAAAATAATGGTAGTACAAACGAAATAATGGTACTACAAACGAAATAATGGTACTACAAACGAAGTAATGGTACTACAAACGAAATAATGGTACTACATACGAAATTAACGTTACTAAAAACGAAACAATGGTACTACAAACAAAATTAACGTTACTACAAACAACTACAAACGAAATAATGGTACTACAAATGAAATTAAGGTCACTACAAACAACTACAAACGAAATAATGGTACTACAAACGAAATTAACGTTACTACAAACAACTACAAACAAAATAATGGTACTACAAACGAAATTAACGTTACTACAAACGAAACAATGATACTACAAACAAAATTAACGTTACTACAAATAACTACAAACGAAATAATGGTACTACAAACGAAATTAACGTTACTACAAACAGCAATTTTTTTCTTTTTTTTGTTTTACTACAATCGAAAAAAATTGCACTACAAACCACTACTAACGTTTTTCTATACGAATCAAGCGGAAAATTTTTTTTTTACCAACTTCGGGGGATGACATTTTTTTTGTTGTCTGTATTTTTTTTTGGCACTACTACAAACGAAGTTAGCTTCTCTACTATCTACTACTAACCGAAATCGTTCAAATAAACCTAAAAAATATCAATTTTTCCAAAGTCGGGTGCCAAGTTCACATAGCCCTATTTGTGAATTTAAACCTTGCAGCCACTAGAATATACACAAAAAATATCATTAAAATCGTCCTGCCATTTAGGAGAAGATCAGTAACATACCAACAGCAGCGCCACCTACCGAGTCCAATTGTGTTTTCAAACCATCCAGGAGTCCATTGAAATATACACACAATATTTCATCCAAATCGGTCCAATCCTTTAGGAGGTACAAACACACGTACAGAAGAATTATATATATTAAGATATGTTAAAATTAGGTTGTACAACAGTGGGAATGCGCCGAGGCGAGAGTATAGCCAAGCGGAGGACGTGGCCTTAGTGCAATGGGTGCTGGAGGAGGGAAGGGCTAAATATGTCAACGGTAACCAAATATGGCGGGAGTTGCAACTTGTACACCATAAGAAAACTGGACGTTGTGAGTCGCTTTTGTATTGTGTTTGACCTTGCAAGTGCAAAGAACAATGTTGTAACTCAGGTTTTGGTAGATAAAATTGATTTTGGTAGATTAAATTTTGTTTGAACCGTATCTTATTGTGTTACATAGTTGTTCCTCGCAGATGTTGATTTATATTTGTGTACTAGGGCTCTCGGTAGACAGACATTGCCCTATCACAGACATAATTTTTTTTATTGGAAAATAAAAAAAAAATAATGTCGACAACAGCGCCACCTATCTGTTCCAATTATGGGTAAAACCCGTGGTGATTGATGATTGGTGATGATAAGTCCACAAAAAAAAACATTAAATTCTTATAATACAGAGGCCAAATCTATAGTTTTTAAAAATTTTATCTGTCTGTCTGTTTGTCTGTGACTGCATCACGAGAAAACCACTGGACAGATTTTAATGAAATTTAATATGATGATAGCTGGTTATCCGGCTCCAACATATAGGATACTTTTTACTGCGGGAAAATATCTCATCTCTGAGAAATCTATACTAAACGTTAAAACGTAACTGAATGGTGAGTCGCTATTTTAATATACTTGAGTATTACATATTAATTTAATATAATTATATATTATATTTAATATTATTCTTAACTAATTTTTGAACTCGGTTGAGTGATGGTGATAAGTGCATAAAAAATTTCATCAAAATGGATAAAGCCGTAATTTTATTATTTTTTTCATTTTTTTTTAATTATTTGGGTTCCATTCATATTAGTATAAAAAATATTATTATTATTATTATTAAACTATATCACTCAGTTGATGTTTTTATTAAAACATAAATAAAGCAAACACATTTTGATTGGACTATACCTGTTTTATAGTTCGGTCATGGCATTCGCTTCGTAACCGCTATCTTCGATATTTGCTGCCAACATTGGGCAATTTGGAGATACCGGCGGAAGAAGCAGCGCGTTTGCGAGCCGCGGCCGCTGCTGGTGTGTATTTGATATTAACATTATAAATATATTTAAATATATAATTAATTATATATTCATATTTACGCCCTAATTATAAAATGTTAATTATATTCTTGAAATTATACTTCTTTTGGCACGTTTGGAAATAGTTATAAGAGTGAAATTTTTACGTGTGTGCGTGACAGCCAAAAAGCGACATGATAAAGTTAGCTGTGTTCATTTTACAAACAGATTTGTGACGTACGGGATAAAATCTTTAGCTATTTTTGTTCTGTTAAGCCAAAGAAGTGTAACTGACTTAAGTACACACACACACACGTTTTTTTTTTTAAATTAAAATTGTGACGGTTTTAGTTTTTTTTTCGAATTATGACGTTTTTTTGTTTAAATTATAATTGGTGATTTAATGTGATTTTAAGCATGTTTTAGTAACTTTTTCAAAAGTATTAGTATTCCACGGGAACTGCAAACCTAAAGAATATATGTAAAAGTACATAACCTAAATTTGACAAACATACATACTTTCACAATAATAATATTAGTTAAAAATCGTATTAGATAGATAGATAGATAGTTTATTGTACACCACAAAGAAATGTACAAAAAGAAAATATCAACAATAGATGCACAGGAGGCGGCCTTATTGCTATAAGAGATCTCTTCCAGGCAACCTTAGGGCGTAGGAGAAATTATATGTAACCGTAGGCGGTGTACTTACTACACACAAATGCGTATCCTAATACATACATACACACACATACACATCCATACATACATATAAATAAATACAAAACAAAGATGTAGATTTAAAAAAGATTTCAATTTTTATTAATTAATACCAGTAATTTTTACCACGTTTTTTTATTGTTAATTATTTTTCTTTCTTATTTTAATATGTATGTATTGATATTTTAGAAATACTCTTTTTTTGAAATGTACCATCAGTTTAGAAAATAGCGCCTCTGTTCTGAGAACTACTTTAAAAAACTCGGGCAGATTAATTTTTTTTTTTACATAAAATCTACAAATTTTATTCAACTTGAAAACTTCCTGAAAGCCACCACATTATTCTCAAAATCTTAATTTTTTTTTAAATGTAGCTTCTAGCAAAATAAGCATTTATAAAAGAAGTTCCCGTGGTATATTTACGAATGAAATGAAATGTTCAAAAGGCTTCTATCGCCAAATTCAAAAAAAATGTTAAAAAACGTTTGTGTGCTAAAGGCTATTATACAATAAATGATTTTATAGAAGATGGCACACCTTGGGAATGAAATGATCGCCTCCAGGCTACTTCAACTTGATAGAAATATTGTAAATTATAATTTTACTTAAAAAAAAAGATTATACTTTAAGAAAAGATATTGGTCCCGTTGAGTTTCTTTCGCCAGTTCTTCTCAGGTCTGAGGCTTCTTCTTTCCGAACTGGTAGTAGACTCGTGACGTTCAGTAAAAAAATGTAATAATTTACTTAATGCTGAATAAAATATTTTGATTTGATTTGAACATGTGCAACTAACAAAAACGGCAATTAAATACATTCTGAAACAATTTGATTATGAACAGCAAAGAAGATGACGAAAATTCATTTATGGCAAGTTACATTTTTACAGGAAATCTAAAGGAGCGGAAACAAACTCTTTTAGTTAAGGAGAAACGTGTCATCAGCGCTTGGTCCCAACGACCCCGCCCACTCCCACGTGAGTCCCTCTCCCCTACCAAAAATCAATTATCCCCAAACCCTTCCAAATCTAGCCGTGACTCTACAACAAACCAAACATCCTCATCTCCCACCCCTTCTAAATCTAGCAATGATATAGATTATTCGTCGTATTTAAATCGAAGTCTGTCAAAAAATCAAAATACAGGTAATTTATAGTTGCTAATAATGTTATTTATCGTTTATTGTTTGTAATTTATGCAGGACAAGCGTAGGTACGCTTTAATTTTTTTTGAGCGGAACCCTAATTCCCTTTCTAGAATAAAAGTAGCCTATGTTACACCCTATAACATCAGCTATTTGCCAGTGAAAGTACCGTCAAAATCAGTCCGATCATTTTACTAGTTAGCTGGAACAAACAGATAGACAAGCAGACAAAAATATTAAAAATTGTGTTTTTCTTATAAGTACAGTATATAATTTCATATGCATTTAGTAAAAAGCTGTTATCTTTACATAACAACAGACACTTCAATTTTATTTATCTGTATAGATTAATGTCAGTAATATTATGGTTATTATGTGATATTTTATTCTTCCACGAATATTATTCTACAGTCCGGGATAGTAAGTAGCCTAAATCCTATTCTAGGTTTTACAATATTTGATTAAATTTATCGTATTTGATTTTAATATAAGTTTTTTTGTTAAAATTAAAAGAAAACGTCTTTTTTCTTTTGTCTGGTATCTCTGGAATTGAATTTAAATGAAACTTGTTAGTAAGGGGGTTCCGGTGGGGGCGAGTTACACTATTTTTATCCCATGAGATTAAAAGATTTTACTAGGAATAGTAATAAAAAGGTTTAATCAATATTTAACGGTTAGGAGATTTGGGAGGGAGAGAGATAAAATGTTTATTCATCGGAACACGTGGACGGAGTTGCGGGTGAAAGATATTATTTTTATTAGCGATATTGTTTTTTTTTTTCAGGATCTCGAGGAGATAAAGTTACAAGAACATTACGATCGAGTGCAGTCGGGACTCCCCCCACACGCACACACAAACGAGCGAACGACACCCACACACCAACTTATTCAGAACTGACTAGAAGATACGCTTTAAAACATTCTACTCCTGATTCTGATACGTCCAATTTTAGTAATATTAGCAAAGATAAAACTAATCGACAAACACGGTTAAGCATGCGACGAAAAACTAATGACCGAAAAGAAAATGATACTAGTGATGATTTTCAACAGCGAAAAAGTTCACGTAGTGACCCAAAAAAATCTAAAAACGACACAAGTCTCAATTCAAACCGACAAGCAAAACGTTTGCGTCCTAGTAAAAATAGCGACACAACTGACCGACATGACTCACAGACTGATACAAGTGATATAAGTGATACAGAACAACCGATAAAAAAGCTCAGATCAAGTCGTATAAACACATCTGACCGACGAGATTCGAAGGCCGACAAAAGTGACCGACCACGAACTCGCCGACTCTATAATCCAAACGCTACTTGACAGTTAAAATTAATTTTTAAAAATATTTCGCGTTCTTCTAAATTATGGGACAAACAATACTGACCGACATGACATGCAAGTTGACAAAAGTGACCGACAAACTCGCCGACTGTATAATCCAAAAGCTATTTGACAGTTTCAATTGAATTTTAAACGTCATAATTTACCACTTCAAAAACAAATAAATGCTCACAGTTAATCTGTTGTCAGTTGAAAATTAAGAAACAAATAATTATTGCCCAATTTCGACAATACTCTGGTCATAATTTAAAATTAATGTTGCCAAAGCAAATACGACTATATAAATCAACGATTTCGCTTGTGTTGGCTTTGTTTAATATCTTATCTTGTTCACTCTAAACCAATCTTTACTTTTGTTAGACGAAAAACTCAATATTTTCATCTCCTCAATCTATCAAAAATTATTTCTTTTTTAATTTTCGCAAAGTTAAACTGGCACAAGTCGAAACTATATAGGAAATATTGGAATCATTAGATATTTAAGTATTTAAACTATAGTGTGTACGGTTAATCGGAACGCAACTCGGAGTGTATAAAAAATCACGAATATAATAATTATTTCTCTAATAATTTAGTAGAAAACAACATGGATGAGCAAATTACTTTTTCACTTTGATAAACTTCGTTTATTGATAAAATGTAACATTATTTTGGTAATAATAAATTTTGGTTGGAAAAAATATATAGAGAAAAAAAATGTACTTCCCGATAAAAAAGGTATCGGGATTTCTTTGATAACAAAAATTATGATAGCATAATATATGAAACTGCACTATTTCAAAGAAATCTTCGCCGACTTTTTTTTATTTTTAAAACAGCTTTTTTATATGGAGAAGGTTTTTGTGCTATTTTTCTGCAAATTGCGGCTAGATGGCGCTACTACGTTAACTTCTAAACCTTTTTTACCAATAGCCATGAAAATTAGTATACAAGCGTGTGTATTTGAATAAACAATATTTATGCGGGTAAAAGCTTGTCTGGTATAAATGTGGGCCTAAAATTTGTAATTTTTATTACATTTATTAATTATTACAATATAATGCAACTTGTGTCACTTTTGTTCTAATATTGTAATTATATATATATATATATATATATATATATATATATATATATTCGCCATATTATTAGTACTGTGCATGTTTGTGAGTGTCAATGTCTAGATCTCGCTAAGTTGTGTTTGTATAAAGACGAGGAACTAAAAATAAACTTTGATTTTAAAATGCCAGAAGAAATATTTTATAACAAGCCTTTTTTATATTTCTTCGCTGGTTGAAGAGAAGGTTTTTTTTTAAGATTGTGTCTATAAAAACATTTTTCACATTAAAAGTGATGTTTTTTTTTCAATATTTTTCTTTTCTTTTGTCTGTACTTTAGATAATAGTAAAGAGAAAGTAAATTATGTGTTTTTGTTAATTAATTATAAATATTTTATTATGTACACTTGGTTTTCTTTTTACCTACCATCATCTATATAGATAAAAGAAAACAATATGGAATGTGCATATTACAAGACGTCCGTAACGTTCGTAAACAATAGCATTCCCAAGGAGGGTTGACGTCGCGCAGACGTGAGGCGGCCGCTCTACGGTCGCTACATGAAGACTAAAAAAAATCGAATGTCCATTTTTATTCACTGCACACTTTTTATTATTGTTCAACAGATTGCACACTGCACACAATATCAACCAGTTTTTTAAATACCATATATGTAGAGAAATGACTTATCCTCGATTCGCTTGGGTTTGTTTCGCGGATTTTGTTCGCAATTTTATGGATTTTAATATTTTTGCACCGAATCGTGATTATTTAAAAAAAATAAAATTCGCCGAGTTTTAGCTGTCACCAGGGTGCGCCGGCGTTCGATAGAAGCGCGCCTTTAAGCTTACCGCTGTTTAATATGTTGAACCGTATAGATGTCTCAATTTACATTGGCAGCTCTGAAATTATCGTCCAAATAAACTTTCAATCATCATCGTTTTACAAACTACATCCATATTAATATTATAAATGTGAAAGTGTGTTTGTTTGTTTGTTTGTCTGTCCTTTTACGTCAAAACGGAGTAACGTGGAGTGACATAAGTTGGAGAAAAGAAGAAAAGTGGTTCCCATCACTAGTAGCAAGTGTCGCAACCTTGAATTAACCAATCAGCGTGCATTTCAACCGCCTCCCCCGTGACGCTTACCTCAGACTTTTGACTGACACGTTTGGGTGCAGAAGTATATAAATTAGGCGTCTATCGGGCTAAGTAGTCGTTGAATGAAACACAATTTAGTACGAACACGGTAAGCTAAAATACTACGTCATACCATCGCATTTATACGGAGAAACGTCTTAGAAAAAAAAATTTGCGCTCCAAGCGTGAGATTGCTTTTTTATTTTCAGAAATAGACATAGTAATAATTTATGTTAATTTTTTTAATTATTAATTATTTCTATTTATTAAGTTAATTCAAAAAATAATTATGTATAAAATGAATGATGGATTATAGGATTTCTAAAAGGTAAGACGTTGGGAATCGTCTTGTATGGACTTTTCGCTACTGTTATAAACTTGTTACAGACAGTGCACACCATTTTACAAAATGATTTTTAAAATTCGAAAACGGCACCAAAGTCCTAACCGTCTTATGGTATCTTATTATTATAATTTTAGGTAATTATAATTAAAATAATAACAAAATTGAACTGATTTTATTAACGAAACTCTATTTTTTTCTTTATTTTACTCCATATTTGGTTATAGGTTGTTATTAATTATGAATTCTAATACTACCATGGATTTTTCACATCTGCCGGTTGTCCAGTGACGGACAACTTTTTTTTTCTTTTATGAAAAGAAATCTTAAAAAATAAAACTATCTTTTCGGATTATTTCGCGGATTTATTTTGATTTTTGGTTCCCGACGTTTCGAATGCTTTACAGCAACGGTCAGCAACAGGCGGACCGCGGTCCGTTTGCGGACCGCGAAAGGTCGAACCTCGTACCGCCAAATATTGTATCGTTTTGTATACCAAGTATAAATTAATACGTGGATAAGTTACACTATACCTTTATTAATTAAAATAATATTTTTAAGCCACAGAATTTAACTTAGTACTTATTCTATTTTAAGTTTCCTAGTTAACCTCTTTTACAAGTACCTACAACTGATATGGTTTGATTCAATCAATCAAAATATTCTTTATTCTAATTTAAGTATATACAAGTTATTTTGAATCGTCATTAGTTTTGTCATTATTAGTAAATCGGATTAGTTTCCTATCTAGCCTGTGTGCGTATGTTTGTGCGAATTATTTATAACTGACGTGATTTAAATATTTCTAAATCTTTGTTACGCTCACGAAACACGGTGTAGTTTCTCACATTAATTTTAGGTCTTGTGTTTTATAATTCAGAATTTGATTTGAAACCAAAATAATACATAGCACTGAATTATTATCAGTTGTTTTTTCTGGACCTCCTTAAAATTTTCCCACAGTATCCGGACCCCACCTAAAACTACTTGCCGACCGCTGCTTTACAGCATCCATGGTCACGGGAGAGACGGGAGAGACGGGAGAGAGTCTCTCCCGTGACCATGGATGCTGTAAAGCATTCGAAACGTCGGGAACCAAAAATCAAAATAAATCCGCGAAATAATCCGAAAAGATAGTTTTATTTAATAATGTCGAACATTCGCGTAAATCTAAGAAAGTATTAAATCTTAAAAAAATATAAACGAATGCAATAACAATTAATATATCGATTGTTCTACTTATAAGGTATTGTTGGAAGTTATCTTGTTAGCCCGTTGATTATAAAGTAAATAAAACTGCAAAATACAAAATAATTGATTTATTTTGTTTAGTTTCTTAGCAACAACTGTTGCGAACATACATATATACAAACACCCAAAACACGTATTGTTGACGATTAGTGCTTCACATGTATACCACAGACAATTAAAAAAAAAAGTTTGTCTATGCTAGAGCATAGAATCTAGTGTTTATCTAAACATGAAAATATACAGCGAAATATGCAAGCCAAAAATGTATATTAAACATAAATATAATTTTCATTAATGTTACATGTTGAAGGAAATTCAAAAAAAAATATCATGGCGGACATTTTACAATGTTAGGTCGTCCATTTTAGTTGAAACAAGATGGCGGATACAATAAACCCACATACATTGAGCGTTGAACCATTTTTGGTCCTTTGAAATATTTACAAGTGAAAACGTTCCATAATAAATTGTATTCGAGCACTATTATTAATCTTACACACTATACAAGATTCAACCTTAACGCTATTGAAATAAAGTACACACTAACTTACATTAAAACTATGTAAGGGAGATCACATCATTTGCAGTGACATTTGTAAGAATCAAAAACCATCCTAATTTATGTATTTTTTCATATACATACGAATTGTCAAAAGAAATAAATAATTAAATCACTTTAAAGAATTTAATGGCAATTTTATAAAGTAAGTACTGCATTATCATTTTAACTAACTCAACTCTGCCGGCAGAACACAAACTGACTCAAAAAAAACTAAAAAACTCAATGGGTATGCTTCATATTAACTCATCAAATCCCTAAGCAAGGTTTCTCAAAGTGTAAAGGAAAGAGTACATACACACATACATAATGTAAAAAAAAAACATATATTTTTAATTTCACGCAAAAATTTACTAAAATACTTTTTAATGTACATAGCAATTTTACGCGAGATATTTGAGAAACCCAACCTTAAGGATAAAAAAGGCAAAATCTACTATTGTTTACACATCCTAGATTTTGGATTAAAAAAAAATAATTAAGAATTTAAATCGAGTCAATTATCTTCGATAAACACGAGTCGATTAAATCGATTATTGACAATTGTACTGACACCTAATTAAATTCACTAAACTAACTAAACGCAGGTACTGCGGACGTTAATAAACGATTATATCACTAATATCGATATTTTAAATTAGAAAAT